AATAAGTAAATGTTAAATCACTTAATCAAAATCAATAGCCCGTAATTTTATAAAATAAATAAATAATAATGATATCAATCAAAATGCCAGTAAAAATAATAATAGTAATAAAAATGATACGAACTTGCTTATTGATATACTTACCAACCAGTAACAAACTAGTAACAAAATCGATCCATTATCGTCATTTATAATATTAGGCACCTAATATAATGTATCGAAACATAATATCAGGCCCCCTTATAATTATGCATCACGGAGAACCCCTGAAAACGAAATAAAAATCTACTACTTAACCAATATAGTGGGAAGCACTTCGTGTATACCTTTTTTATGGGATACAACTAAGGTTCACCGGAATATAGCGGGGAATTAAATGTATATCTGTACGTAATATTTATAATTTTCATTAAAATTTGATATTAGGATACGTTAAATTCAACTTTTTCTTGTTACTAAGTAATACTTATAATGAAACTCCTGTAAAATGTTCAAGCATTTCTGTTTGGTCTAACAATTTTATCCACAGAATACCTACCTATTGAGTAAAAATTACGTAAAAACTAGCAAAATTAAAGTGTCTATAAATAGCTCAAATGAGGCTTAAATGATTTTAAAATTGCATAACATTTAGGAAAGGCAGATATATAAGCTTTCTATCGAAACGTCAAGTCTCTACGAACATTTATTACCGAATTACAATAAAAAAACAAAACTGAAAATAATAAAAGCATTATTTTTGTAAATTTTCCTGTTATTTTTCCAATTATTATGAAAACCATTAGGAAAATCAAAAAATGAACTCTTTTAGATGGCAACTAGATTGAATTTTCTTTTAGGATAAATGCTACATTTGAAAATCGGAGCAAGATTGACACTTTGTACAAAGAATAAAAAAACAATTTAAAAAAAAACATCTTTGTAAAATCAATACATTCCTCGCTTAGCTCATAGTCAAACAATGAGTCAATAAAGTCGAAATCGTTTTAATTGTATTATGAAAATCAAATACAGATAAAAATAATTTAAAAAAAAAAAATGGCAGCTAATATTGTTAGAATATGAAATTATCGTGTTTTTTTTATTATTTTACTATGACAATGAATTATTATTATTTTTGTTGACAAATTGTGTAAAATATTAAATCGGAAAGGAGAAGGTGGGTGTCTTACATTATTTTTATATATTTAATAATTTCATAATATTATAGATTTTTCACATTTTAAATTCCGAGTGTTGCCAAGACGCTATTATAGCTTGACAAAAATGTCATTTTTTTCCTCGGAAAATGTTCAGATTTGTTTATGTCATACCTTAAAAGACTTTAATGTTTTGCCTATAGGTACTGTATTAAAAAATTATTAATAATATTTTCAAAATTGGGTTGTATGTTTTTTAACATCTTATCGGATAGACCAATAATGTTACGATTTTTTCATGCAGTACTTCAAAAGATGTAATTTTTTTCCGGTGGCACTGTATATTCCAAAAAAAAGACAAATTAACGTATAAAATTATTTTTTTTTTTTTAATTTTAAAAACAAATCATAACTCTAGAGATAGACGTGTGAGACTGAAATTAGTTTATGAATACAGTTCTATCTTAACCCAATAAAGGTTTTAAGGGAATTTCCCTTAGTAGAAAACCAACGAATGTCATAAAGTGAACAAAAATAACGTGGTATTTAATGAACAAATTATTATTATTATTATTATCTTGAAATCAATTAATTTATGTCTTATACTTGCATGCATAATTCTACGTGTAATGGGTATACTTTGTACTTTGTTACAATAAAAACCGTTTTTTAAATTTCTTTGGTTTCCCCCGACGCTTTTGCCCGATCAACCGTTAATTTTCCCACCAGCAAAGTTACTGAAGTTGAAAACAAGTTAAATGAATTTTTTGGTAAAAATAAAAAATATAAAAATACACATTATACAATCAATACTAATCAATATTTAAAAAATTATTCTATACGGCATCAGTGAACAATAGTGATAATACATTCATTCATCACTATAAGAGTGTGAAACGTTATTGCTATTATTATAGCAATAATTTTATTTGTTTGTAATAAAATCAATAAATTGGCTTTTTTCCCCTACATTCACTCCAAACGTACATAATATATTTATACCGAAATTTACGGCGGCAATGGCTCGGTAACGCGTGAATAGATACGGCTCCGCCGTGCGCACTTCTCGTTCGTAACGCACGCAACCACCCCGTGCGCGTCCCGTTTTCCCAACAGCCCGCCTACACCCAGCCGGCAGTGTGTCGACTTTTCGGACTGTAATAGAACATCGCGTTTGGCTTTATCGCCCCTCGTGGCCGTGTTGTCGTACACGTGTTCGGCGCGTATCCAATCGTACCGAATAAACAACAACAACAACAACAACAATAATAATAATAATGACAATTCGATAACATTATTTCCCCCTCCCGCCCGGATTCCTCGAGAGCCGGCCAACGGTCGTCGTTATCGGGAATACGCGTACCGGACGCACCGTAGGCTCGGATAATAATAATAATGTTATTATTATTTTATATCGCGCGGCCGGGCCCGGTCAACAATAATGCGTGTGTTAAACGACCGTCGTCTAATGCGTTTGGCAACACGTGATAGTAATAATCTCGGCGCACGCCGCCACGGCCACGTTGCGGTGCGCGCCCGAACGGCCGTTTCCAGACCCTCGGCAAGTGGCGTGCGTGCAACAATGTTCTTACCCTCCGTGCCCATTACTGCAGTACGATATTGTCGTGTTGGGCGGCCGGGTTTCGGCGTTTTCGGTACGGTTTTACGTAGTGCGTCACCGCCAAGCGCTGCGCACAATGGCGCGTCTTTTACGGGTACCTTCCTCGGAGCAGGTAAACAAATTTCGAGTACCTACCCGGCCGGCGAACGCGCGCTCACACACACACACACACAGAGAGAGAGAGTGAGCGAAAAACGGAAAAAAAAAAAAAAAAAAGGTTCTCCACGAAATATTCCGAAAACTGGTTTTCGAACGAGTGTGCGCGATATTTTTGTGCGCGCGTTCGGGTAGACGTATTATACATGCCCAATATATTACAATATAATACACGCTCATCGTGCGCCGTATTATATTATATCCACGCGTGGGGAAACGACGGGTATGTGTCGGTGAAAAGAACGCGACGGAAACCTCTCCGGGAGGAAAAAAAAAATATACGGGAAAAAAAAAAAAAAAAAAAAAATTTAAAACGCGCGCGCGAGATTACATTATTTTATTTCGACCAACTGTCCAGNCACGATAAGGTTATAGGCAAATTATAAATTCGTACTTTTTTTTTTTCTTATTACATTAGGTAGGCATTATTATTATTATTATTATTCCGTTCGATCGTAAAAACGTGTGTGTCGACTGTTGTCGTAATCGTACACGTCGTCGTCGCCGTCGTACGGTAGCCGGGATAAGAACGGACGGAGAAAAAAAAAAAATACGAAAAAAATAAACCTCGCCCCTCCGATCGAGAGTCCGACAACCGCGGAGCTCTCGCGGCGAATTACCGGCCGAATATCGCGTCTCGGATCGAAATCCTCCTCCGATCGTAGCAATAATAGTAACAACCCGCCCGCATGCCGACAATATCCTACCGATCGCGACGTCCCGACGTTTTTCATCACGACGCCGCGAAATCGGCGGAATTCAATGCGCGACGGCGAGACACACGCGATATGGTACCGCGAACGGGCGCCGTCCGAGATTGATAATTTGAAAAAAAAAATAATAATAATAAATACTATGCGTCGATATTAATCAACCTAACCTAACATACTCCGCATTGACGGTCGTCCCGCCCGATTGTTGTTACAGTATACCGAAAATCGACGTACGTCCCCGCGGACCAATCAAACCCGACCAAACTCTCGGGGACATCCATTGTACGGAGACAAGACTTCCAGATTATGTTTTTTTCTCCCGCACACATTAATTGCTCGTGAAAACGTTATGCTTGTTCGCGTTTCAAAATAATTCCCATACCCTCCCCCCCCCTACTGATTGTATCCTACGCGTATAACCGTTCGGTAATAATTAAGCGAAAAACGTGCGCGATTACGTATAATCAAAGAATTGATTATTAGTACAATTAATTCGAGTTTTTAAAATGCCATTAAAAATGTCATTACCTACCTAAAGTGTCTCCTCGGACTTCGAAATAGGGACCGATGATTTCACCTTGGATAAGAAGAGGGACTTCGTTCCACACATACTTAACTACTAACCGCTGTTATAAGTACAACGATATTCATACCCATTGCTCTTGGGTCCCGGTAATAGTCCGATAGGTATTTTGTAAAGGTTTCATTTCCACGTAAACAAATTTTGTTTCAAACGAATACGGTGTCGTGATGATTTTCAATGGGAATATGGTTATTCATAAATTGTCAACTTATTTTGTTCTATCTAATTTGGCAATGGGAATTTAAAAATCGGATCCACAAAAGTTTTTTCGTCATTTTCCATTAACTGTTTTTTGCTGGAAAACGTTAGGTTAGGTTTCAAGATAAAATTACTAACAATGTAAATAAGTACTAACAATTTTTGTAATTTTCAGCGCACGCGTGGGAGAATTAAAACCTTAATGCCTGGCCCGCACATTCCACTGAACGAGTGATATGTCGTCGATACATAATATTATAAAGATACCTACCAAACGGGAATCCCGGACGAAAAGTCCGGGGATGAAAAGTCCGTTACAAATACGATTGGACAAAAAGACAGGAATCAGTTTTTATTATCGGATAAAAAGTTCGAAAATACGAAATCTCTTATTGAATTTTCATTTATAATTTTTTAATATTTGTTATATAATGTATCCTATATCCGGTTGATGTCGGGTTCACCGTAAATTTTGGTTTTTTCCGTAAATAACGGCGGNTACTCGTTTATTTGAGTTCGACTTTTGGGATTAATCAAATACTGAACTCATCCGTTTTGAAATAATTACTTATTGTTTATTATTATTTATATTTATTTAAAAAGACATTTAATAGGTTCTACGTATAACTATACGGAATCGTTGTTTTAACTCGACTGCCGTCGTCGTTCGCATTTCATGCGCTCGGCGACGGAAGACGTTACCAAAAAATAATATATTGCTTACTTAGCTAAATACAAACTATGTTTTAAACCAAGGGTTCTCAACAATAAGTATGTTATAGGTACCGTAGTTATATAACAATATATAATTAATATTCATTTTAAAAATTATACATATAATTATACACCCATATAATGAATTATATAATTATAAATGAAAATTTAATAGAATATTTTGTATTTTTTGGACTTTTTGACCGTATACCATTAAATGGAATACGTTTCAAACTTTCAACCGTTGTATTCCCCTACATTTTCCGCGTTTCAAAAGCAGTTTATCGCTGTGTGTTTTAAAAACGCGCGCGTTTTATTGTGTAGCGACAGAAAATAGAGAAATCAAGGTGGATAATAATTGTATTATTTTATTCAACAACCAAGATAATATGGACTGTCAACGGAAACAATTTTTTCGGTCGAGTTTTGAACCGGAAATTTCGTGAAGGGACAAACAAAGAAATTTAATTCTTACAATCAAAAAGAGATAAACCGTAGTATTACTCTACACCACGATTTAAGATATTATATATAATCATTTAGTTCCGGAAACCATCGCTAAAATCGACTCCTGGTTGCCATTTCATGTTATTATCTTAACTTTATTATCCGGTTCGTGATTTTAATACGGAGAACCGTAGACAATGAAGAATGATAAATATTGTCAGCGTTTTATCTATGGCGATAACTGATAAATCGCCTCGGTTTTCCGCCCGTTTATCGCCCACCAACACAATAATAATTTGTTACATAAGTTGACGTAGGTATTCCATGTTTCTATCGGTTTTTTTTTTTTTTTTTATCATTAACGGCCCTATGGGAAATGGGCACGTCGCTATTTAATCATACCGCGCGCGAACGGCGACACTTGTTATTTACGGTTAAAACGCGTCGAAATTTAATAAATTATGGGATACGTTCGAAACGCAGTGAAAAATATATTGTCGAAAACGCGCGGAGCGGTGTTCACGTAGAGTCGTCCTTCGGGCCCGCCAAGGCCAGGGATGGCCGAATTTATTCGTAAAGGACCTTTCTACCTGTAAATTATACATTGTTATTACAACGAATCGCGTAGGTATCGTATTGGTACCTCCTCCACCGCGGAACGCGTTCCGGTGAGCGGTTTTCGGCACGCGTTGCTTTACGAAACTCGTCGTCCATTTGATGTTCTGAACCCGCGGTCGTCCGTTAGCTAACCGTTGATAGGAATTTATCTAAAACCGCTGTCCCCGTTTTCGGGGGGGGGAGGGGGGTTAGTAAAATGTTTTAACAATACATTTTTATTTCCCGTGTATAGTTCAACTTTCAATCGGTCTCGGCAACCTTTGTGTACGATAATCCATTATCATAACAATGGATATTTTTGTAACTTTTTTTCTTTACTTTCCTCGTCGTTATTGTTGTCCGCTTATTACTTGTAAATCGATACATTTATATTAGGTATCTATTATGGTTAAGGAAGAAAATAGGGGGAAAAAATAAGTGAAAAGAAACAAATATAATGAGAAAGTAATTTCTTTTAATGGAACCTAAATACTGTTAAACAACATTAGCAATCATAACTAACGGTATAATTCTCGTCCGCCGTATTTATTATTGTCGATTCATAGCATAATCTCCATTAAAAGACTAATAAAATAATTAAACATAATGTAACGTTTTAATGACAACACATTAAGTCTACAAACAAAAATTCCACAAACATTGTAATAATAGACGTTTCCCCTACAAGCTTCTTTTTGGGTTTTTTTATCGTTCACTCTCACCCTGAATAAATGAATTATACAAATTTCAAACTCGAAATTTAAAATAAATTAAAATGAAAACAAAAGTCTTAACTAATATTAATTTTTTAATCTTACTAAATTAGTTTTATTTCAGTAATATAGCTTACAGACAATAAAAAATGTTTTAAATATATTATTTAAATTATTGTTGCTCGTGTCCTACATTTAAAAAATTAAGTGCACTTGAGTTAATCATCTTCGAACTCTAAAATATAAACTCTTCAACTGAATATTAAATACTAAAAACAATATATTTGTTAGAAGGGCGTACAATGTCTCATCCTGAAGAGGCAAACGTCTTAGAATCAAATATTTTACAATTACCTAAGAGTTTTGAAAACAATTAAATTTTACTATATATAACAATAATGCATATTATGTGTTTATTTCTATTAAAGTTAACAAATTTACATTGATGAGTTACAAGAGAAATACATACATTTATTTTAGGTAGTAGTAAAAATATAAATAACTGAAAATTTAAAATATCAATTATAAAAATATTTGCTTAATAATTAAGCGATAAAAATGTATAAGAGTATTATACAATAACAAAAATAATTATAATCATAAAAACATTATTATCGTACAAATGAGCAGGTGCATTTTGTTGCCCATGACTAATAATTAAATTAATATTAAGCATTTAAGAGGCGATAGATCTAGCTCATTATATTATACTATTTGTAATTTAATAGATTATAATGGAGTTGACGGGGCAATTTTCCTAAACTTGTAATTTTTACTCTCAGGATTAAGCTCACAAATTTGTATATGATCATTCATGTTATAGACAGGGTTATAACAATGTGCACAATAAATTCGGGTACTAAGTTTAGGGGCAATTTTGGCCATTTTAGTAACTGGTATTTGAGCCTTAGTTTGATACCTTGTTTGATATGCTGATTGACTGATTACTACTGGTGTAGAACTGGCGGCAGATGTAGGAGGTTGTTGTAAAAACACCGGTTGCATAGTATACTGAACTGAATTGTTGGAATTTTTGGCATGATCCCCTAGAAATATCTGATAGGCAATGCCAGGCATTTGAGGTGAAGGCATAATTATCTGATGGGGAGTTGAAGCTTTTTCCAAATGTGAAGTGCTCGTAGATGCTATAGGTTGAGTCATAGGTAATATAGGCCTAGGTCTACGGCCGGTTCTTCCCCTTGGCTTTTTAATTTTTTCTTTGACTTCTTTAATTTTGTGAAGTTTTGGTATGGCAACTTTTGATAACTTAATTTTGAGTGGTGGTGGTTCAATTGGTTGAACTGGCTCAATTGGATCAATTACATCATCACATATAGGCTCTATTTTCATCTCATGCTCGTCAATTTCTTCTTTTATTTCTTCTATTTCTTCTTTAATATCCACTATGGTCTTATAATCATAATCTGGAATTTCTTCTTTGATTTGTTCTGTAAACAATTCATCTAACGGTTTCACCCTTAATCTTTTATCTACATGAACTATTTCTGTTTTCTCAATTTCTTCAATGTTCTCTGGTACTAGCAATTTTATAGTTTCATTGACTTCTTCAACTTCCTCGGTTTCTTCGGTTAAATGGTGTTCATTATCAAAATTGTCATCTTAAATTTAAAATTTAAATTATTAGTTTTAATTTAAAAATATCTAAAAGTGTTTTATTAAAATCAAATACAGCAAAGTAGTATTTCACCAGCGCAAGATGAATTAGTAATAATGAATAAAGCTACAAAAGCAATTTATGCACTACGTACATCATTACAAACTACAAAAATCATAAAAACAACAATACTATTTCGGAAATAGATTTTAATAAGGAAGTATACAGGAAAGAAGACAATATTAGTGTAGCTACCTTACAAAATTTGTATTATATAACATATATTTATTTATTCAGTGTATTAGTATGGTTGATAAGAAAATTGCAAGGAAACAATTATCTTTTCAACAATTTTAATATAAACATATAAATATATATACAGAAAACAAACAAATTTTTAAACATTTTTAGATAAAATATAATTCAATGTAATACACAAATGAAAAATAATTATTGTTCAAGTTGTACTGAACACATTTGGTCACAAATAGTAATATTTTGAGTTATTGTGACAAGTTTTGAACAGATTAGACACAAGTAAAATAATATATATTACTTTTTATTCGAAATTGATATTTAATATACCTTATATTTAATAATATAGTAATACATACTGGCAGGTTCTGATGATTCAATTATTCAAACCAACGAGTTTCCTGAAATATTAACAAGGCAATAAAAATAATTTAAAATAATTATACTTTACCGTACATATGGAGTTATTTTTGAAAATATGATCCAACATTTTTTTGACTATCGTCAAAATTGACACATAAAAAAACAAATAACTTGTGCTTATCAGCTGTTGATTTGTTTAACGAATATTGATAACAATAAAATAACAATGTTATCACAGATTCTTTTCTGTTTTTTTTTTTGACACTTAATGATCTTACCAATTTCCTTATCAACTGGCGTCTGGCGATGATGAACTACCTACTGGAAACAGGAAATTAAATTTAGTTTTAAATCAGTGAACTAGATTTATAGGTATTTATACCGTACTTATAGAAAGTATATATATTGTATAACTTATTTATGATTAAAACATAGTAACTTTAATATAGAACCCAATAATTAATATTAATTTAATTTATACAATTTCTTTCACCAAAGGTATACCATAGAATACGAGGGCGTACCCAAAAGAAACCGAACTGATGTTGTGTGGGACAGAGTTTTAGTTGTACCGATTTTTTTCCGTTAGGGGCGTATAAATATACTTCTCAACATTCAATATGCTAACGGCCGTCATCATGGGAGCTTGTGTTACGTTGGTGTGATATTTTTTTTAAAAGTTATTTTTCGTACTCGTCATTTTTGTAATGGCTCGTTGGTGTGATATTTTTTTTAAAAGTTATTTTTCGTACTCGTCATTTTTGTAATGGCTGATTTGCGTGTCGTCATTTTTGTAATGGCTGATTTGCGTGAACATTTAAAAGTTATTTTTCGTACTCGTCATTTTTGTAATGGCTGATTTGCGTGAACAGCGCGCGCTGATTTGCGTGAACAGCATGGCTGATTTGCGTGAACAGCGCGCGGCCGTCAAATTTTACTTCCTGCTCGGAAAAACTTTACTTCCTGCTCGGAAAAACAGGCACAGAAACCTTTGGGATGTTGAAAACAGCTTACAAAGGTGATGCTTTAGGGAAAACTCAAGTATTTGAGTGGTGTTCCCGTTTCAAAAGTGGTGAAATGTCGATAGACAACCAAGCTCGCTCTGGACGTCCTTCGACGGCGCGAACCAACGAAAATGTAGAAAAAATNAATCGAGCCAATGGAAGACTCCAGCATCGCCTCGCCCTAAAAAAGCTCGTCAAGTGAGGTCAAACATTAAGACAATGCTCATTTGTTTTTTTGATGTGAGAGGAGTCGTCCATTCGGAGTTTGTTCCACCTGGTCAGACAGTTAACCAGGCATTTTACCTAGAGGTGTTAAAAAGATTACGCAACAGTTTGAGGCGAAAAAGACCTGATTTGTGGCAGTCAGGAGACTGGTTTTTTCATCACGACAATGCTCCTGCTCACACAGCCCTTTCTGTACGGCGGTTTTTGACCAAAAATGATATGACCACTGTGTCCCATCCACCCTATTCACCCGATTTGGCTCCCTGCGACTTCTTTTTATTCCCCAGAATGAAAAGGAACATGAAAGGAAAGCGTTTCGCGGACATTGATGAAGTTAAAAAAAAAACGACGGAGGCGTTGGCAGGCATCACAAAATATGAATTTAAAAAGTGCTTCAAAAATTGAAACAAAAGATTGGACAAGTGCATTAACTCCAACGGAGAGTACTTTGAAGGAGATTAAATGTTTTTTGTAAAAAAATTAAATAAATAACTGTACAAAAATAGTTCGGTTTTTACGCCCTCGTATGTTTAAATTTATTTTATGCATATATTTCAAATAAATTTCTACAAATAATTTCTTATTAAATAAAGTAAACTATTGTCTAAGAATGGTTCTCAGCCTTTTTGATATTACAGACCTCAAAATGGTTTTTTTTTTTTTACTTATTTATTACCTACTTTTTTTGTACTATGTAATGACCTTTTTTTAATAATAATATAACAATAATAAACAAGACCTGATTACTGTTCACCACGATAATAGTAATTAGGATACCTCTAGGTTAGGCAGATACATAAACCAATATCTACTTATTGGTATCTATTGCCGAATATTTAGTAGGTATTGGTTGTGAAAAAAATATTCATGCTTGGATATTGTGTTAATCAAACCGATAATATTAAAATCAACTTATGAATTTTGATTTCAATTATCGGAATATTGGAAATTGGTAAAAGGTGGTATAAAGGTATTGATTGGCCCATCCCTTATAATTATTATCAACCCCTTTTGTCAATTTTTTTTAAAATTTGTATTTGGATAAAATAGTTTGACGGACTACCTATCAATTGGAAACCACGGTCTATTTTATAATTCTTTTGATAACATTCTCGTAGCATTATGAAGAAGTATATTTCTTAAAATTTTAATATTGGTACTGCTATTTGAAATATCATAGGTACATATGTTAAATATTGTTTTACAAACAAAATACTATGTACACTGTACTTAAAAAATGATTTATATTTTTTCTCTATCTCGCGTGGAATATGTCAAAAAAAGAATCTTACACCTTCATGATTATTATTTTCTGGCTTAAAGCATAGGGACTTACAATTCATAAAGAAAATTATTTACTACAGATACTATGAATTAATTTTAGATTCTGAGCAGAGCGAGTAATGTATTGTTTTATTTTCCGGGGAAAACTTTTCTACTAGCAATTTTGTTCAGATTTTTAAGGAGAGCACTTTTTTTTGAAAGGAAACTGACTAGGGTGGTACTTCAAGGAGGTCATTTTTTGATTTTCTTAGGTTTTTTTTAAAATAAATGGGAAAAAATAGGAAAATTTATTATTTTCAAATCATTACAATTTGGGGCTTTTAAAACGAGTATAATAGAACTCTGCTCAGAATCTTTTTTCATTACCAAAAATTTTTGTTGCTTACAGATACATTAAGTTCCATTCTACATCTTTTTACATACCATCATTACATTTACATTACCTTTTACATACTACAGTGGCCCATCGTGCGAAGTATGTCCATATATTTATTATTATTAGTATTTCTTAAAAAGTTATCAATGGTTAAAATTAAGATAAATTATGTCAAATTAAAACACGTACATCACAATAAATTTAAATTAAATACCAACATTTAAGTATTTACGTGGTTTTTATTATATTGATTTTTGGGTAGATTTTCTAAAATATTTTTATTAAAAACCAAAACTTAGTTAGAAAAAAATAGTGTGCTATTTATTAGCACATATGATTATAAAACTAAATTAAATCATTTTAATGTAATTCACTTTTTAAGCATATTTTTTCCATGTAAAATAAAAGCTTGAAAACCATTAACATGGTCTACAAGTATCTTTTGTATTGACTTGAGTTAATTAATATTCAAAATTGTTTATACTCTTGATGATTAAGATGCTTAGATTATTGATAACTGTTAATAGTTTAATATTAATGATTTTGTTGATTTATTCTTGGGGAAAAATACTTTTAAACGTCATTTAATAAAGTATCTTAATAACAATATAACTTTTTTAGCAATGATAATTTTGCAATTTCATAAATAATATAAATAATTAAAAAAAAAAAAAACAACAACAAATATGTATACACTGGTATTTTACTAATAGTTAAGGTTGTATTGAAAACCATGACTTAAACAAAATCACTTTAAAAGACTAGACTGCAAATTACATTCATTGCGTAACCTACAAAATTATAACAATATTACTGAAAAACTGAAATAATCATAAAAAAAAAATTAAATAATTCAACAATTACCATTAAATTATGTTTCATAACATAAATTAACAAATTGTTAATAAATAATATTACTAAAATAGAGATGTTAGTATTGGTCCGATTATAAAAATCACTCATGTATGTTATATTATGCAGTCATTAAAATAAATGTGCAGATACAACATTAGCATATTATTATGTATTTATAAATTGAAATATTAAATAATATAACTGATGAATACAATTTTCTAAGGAACTTATACAAAATAAAATAACAATTGAATTATAAGCGTCTTTATAAACGTGTATAATTGAAAAATAAGGAATAACGAACTGTTAAAAATACGCTTAAGATATTATGTTTTCTGCTGATGACTAATGATTAGTGCCGTAGTTCTGGGATTCGGCTAAAGAAGGTGATAAAAGTTTAACAGACTCTGGTAAGAAGTATAAACCAGTTGGTGTAAACTTCATCACTCCATTATCTAATGTTGGTGATTCTGATCTAGAATTTTCACTAGCTTCACAAGCTAATTTTTTACCTAAAATTAGGAATAATATTATCATAAAAACTGCATAAAATGTCTTTGCAAATAACATACTAGAACTAGAAAGTGGTGATAATGCTTCATATAATACAGTAGGTCGCAAACCTTCCGATTTAAACACCTGCATACAATGGGTCAATTCATCTAAATGGCGTTTACGTAATGATTCTAATTCAAAATATTGTCTGAAAAAGGAATGATATAACAATAATTATAAATAATTTTAAAATATGAATAGTAAATTATATTATTATTTGTATGCAATTTCACCTTTGTAATAAATTTTGAAAATCAGAAGATATATCTAATTTAGTATTTAATATTTCAACTTTATTAGTAGGTTTGAAATTATCTGCATTTTGGCCCAATAAATCCTTATGATCCATAATTTCATCATTCTAAATAACATAATTAAAACAATAATAATAAAGAACATATTTAAAGTCATGATGGTGTTCAAATAAGTAGCAGGTTCTGATTAAATTTGTATGCGTACAGAGTGTGAAATTGTTTGATAATTATCACAGTGAACATCTGTTTCCACAGATTGTGTAACATGTTGGTCAGTTGATACAGGTATTGAATGGAGATTGACTATGTTTGAGGAATATTTTTTTGTATGGATACTTGACAATTTCTAAAAAATATTATCAACATTTATTCATAAATATGGACAATTTTTAGATTTTCTGAATAAATTCATATTGGGAGATAATCTATTTCATTGACAGTAGAACCAACACACTGAACAATATCTAGTTTTGAATTAATAATAAATAAAATACTATTTCTTAAAACTAGAATTGTTAAAATGTTAAATTACAGTAAATTGTATTATGCAACAAACATTATAGGTATCTTATACAAAACTATTATATATCTTTATATTTTTTTTTATTTGTGATATATATGTTTTTAAAAACAGTTAGCTATAATTATAATATGTTCAAAATAAAAAGGTCAATAACCATTGAGGTGCACACATTTGATCCAAAAATTCTATCATTAAATTAAGTAATGATAATTAATATTTTTAGTTTACATTATCACTTAATATATTGTTATATAAAGATTTTAGACTAGAGGTTATCACAATAAATTTTTTTCTTTTTTTCTTTTAGAATAAAATATGTAATTTTGAAAACTGACCATATTAAAAAGTAAGATCACAAATTATATTAATAAAGGTATACTTCAAAAAAACTTACTTTTTCTAAACTATGTAAATCAACAGACTGAGCACGGCTAACTTTTCTCTCTTTAGTTTCATCTTTATAACTATTTGTATTACTTTCCAACTCCTAATAAAAACAAATTAATAAATTACATTAAGTTAATAATGTACATAAACTCCAAGAAGATAAACAATTGTATAAAATACTTGAACAGGTGGATCTTGATTATGAATAAATCTCGATTGAACCATAATGGAATGGCCGGGTAATGGTTGTACAACCATAGTTTGTTGATTTAAGTTTTCTTCTGGCATAATTACTCGGTGAGGTGTTTCATTGCCAGTTAAAATAGACTGGGCTTGAACTGCATGAACTACAATTGGTCCAACTTCATCACCTATGTGAACTTCATCAACCCCAATAGCAACGGGTTGCATAGGCTTAACAACTTCAATAGCAATGGGTATTTTTAATTTAGATGTTGCAGAACTGATTGCATGCAGAGTACTTTGTGGTGATAATGGTCCCTTTAATGATGAAAAAAATTGAATAAACATATAGATATATATATTTATAATATAATAATTAATGCATACAAGTATATTGCCAGCTGGCATTGAAATTGAAGCCAAACGCTTTTGAAGGTTGTTCATATATGTCTCATATCCAGTATGCGTATGAGGTGTACTTGGGTGAGAACCTATAGGTGGAGTACTATTAGATGCTAGTTCTGATGGTTGAGCTGTTAGTTGGATTAATTTTTGTTGTAGTTCAGATATAGTTAGAGAACCTCCTTTTTGACACAATCTACATAATTTCCATTCAGTCATCAGTATTTTAATTTATTGTGTAGTTTGTAATTTTGAATACATACATATCAGTTTGAACTTGGGAATGTGGTTTAGAGTCAGATATTGAACCAGTAATTGTTTCAGGATTTGAATATGATTCTTCGTTTGTAGTTTGACATATTGGTATATTTTGATTGTTAGTACTTGCTAATGTAATCATTTCATTCAATATACTCTTATGAAGTGATTCTGGACTGAGTAGTTCATTTTGTTTCACTATATTCTTATCAAAATTGCACTAATAATAGTTAAAATAATAATAAAAATAATTATAATAATAAATCTAAGAAATAAAATACTTACTTCCTCTAAAGTTTGTTCTGTAATAACGGGACTTACTAAGAACCTTGATATTTTCCGTGCCTATAGTAAAAATATTTAAGATTATTAGTAATAAATTAAAATTTTAAATTTTCAATATAAATTAAAACAAAATCTCAAAACTTAATAAAAAATATATTTGTTTTAAAGTATACCGGTTTCTTTTTTTCGGACTCCATTTTATCCTCAACTTCTTTAGTAGTTTCAGTAATAGCCACATTAGGCTGATTTATATTTATTTTATTTTCTATATCTTCTGAAATTGTTGATGTTGCTTCATTCTGGATATTACATGAGTAAATAAAAATAGGAATACTAGAAATGATTTTTAAATTTAATTTTAATTATTACCTCTTGTTTTGGTGGCGATATCCCATCAACAGAATTAAGTACAGATTCCATGTCTAATTTCAATTTATTTACCAAATCGTTCATCATTTCAGCTACTAAATCTACATGAGATAACTCTAACAAATCTTCAGTGACCTACAAACAATATGAGACTATAATTATCATTCTTACCTTTTTCATTTTTAAGTAAATTACTTACTAGTTTATTTGCCACATCATACGGTACAACATCATCAATGTTAAACTTGAATGTTACAGTTTTGTGTTTATTATTTTCTAATTGGCATTCTGCTTGACGATTATCATACACAGCCAAAAGATTTAATAAAGGTCCCGAAGTCCTACTTTTTTTTCTTGTTGCAGCTTCTTTTATCACAGATGATTCCTCTGAATGATCAACCCTATAAATACAAATAAAATGAAATACAAACAACATATTTTAATATAAATTAATTATACAGAAGAGCATAGACTAACTTAAAGTTTATTATAATGAAAATCATGAAAGATTCATCATAAAAATATAAATAAATTTTTTGAAAAAAAAGTAATGTTATACATGTTAAGATGTTTCTTAATTTAAATTACAAGTTGAAAACCCATTTAAAAAAATGATATAATAACTAAGAAAGTTGGATTCAGCTTAAATACTAAAATATTTATAATACAATGAAATAACAAATAATAATAATAAAGATATCAAAAAACAATTAAAATCAAAGCTAAATATTTATTTTAGTTGAGTTCTATCAGTGAATACCTCCCTTCTTATGTCACACAAATGCAAAAAAAAATGTTCATCTACATTTACTTATTGTGCTAAATTATATGTATAGATTGTAAATAATCAATAATAATAAAAACAAATTTAATAAATTTAATTTGAAAAATAAGATGACACGAACAAGAAATCAACATGGTCGATATGGCTAGCCGATAACAATTAATAACGATTTCAACATTTTTCCTTAACTCACAAATCTAAATTAAAGAATTTGGAAGTTGTAAAAATCTTTTGAAATGAACATATTCATATATAATTTATAACATTATTTTAAAAAGATGGACATACATCGTACATAATTAAGCCATTGTTCAGATGAGAATTTGAGAAGGTAAAGGGGAAATTTAATGTATATCTGTACACAACGATGAACCATAGCTAACGAAAAACAATTTTGAGCAGAATTTGGTTAATAGTATTGCTTTGTCGACAATATATAATATGGCATATTATGGTAAAATATTTCCATGTGCATTATATATTTTCTTTAATAATATTTGTTTAATATTGTATATATTTCCCGTTATTCCTAAGTTATTCCCCATTTATTGGGAAACTCAAAGTGACCTTCTTAAAGTAACTCCTTAGTCAGTTTTTTTTCTCTAGATTATATCTAGATTTTTTGTATCTCCGCCTGTCCAAATAGATTAGATTAGGATTTGGAAAACTCGAAATACAAACTTTTTTGTTAGAGCAGTCAATTTGGAGATTTAATAATTGAAAATAAAAGGAAAATCATTAATGAATAATATAAATAAAAGAAATCCTAGGATAATGGGGTCGGGTGAAACCATTGTTATAAGTAATTTAATGTACACCTCTAAGCAACGATAAACCATTGCTAATAAAAAAAACGATTCTAAAAGGAGTTCATAATGCTGCTTTGATAATAATATACATATATATATAGTATGATAAATTGCCAATTTTAAAATTTAAATGTTTTTTTTTTTTAATTTTTTATATTTATTGAGAAAAAATCCTAAGAACATTGAAAAATGACCTCTCTTAAGTATCTCAATATAGAAATTTCCTTTTAGAAAAATATCTGTCATTATAAGTTAGAACAAAATTACTGGTAGAAAAGTTGTCCACAGAAAAAAAAAATATATTAAATATTGTGGTAAAACCATAAGCTTCTTCGTTCCACTCAGAATCTAAAAGAAGACCAAAGTGTGAATTTTATAGTAGGGAGAACAGAACACCATACAATTTGAAACACAATAAGAAACTTTAACCGATTATGTATAAGAACTTAAATATGATTTAACAAAGATACCATAGATAATAAAAGAAGTTAATTCATATAGAAATAGGTTGTCATTGATTTTATTATACGCTTTTCGAGTCTGCATAAACAGAATTTAATTAAATGTAATCATTTACGGCTTTCAATAAATTAGACAGAAAAAAGTAAAAAAATAATGGAAATAATTTTCATTATTGATAGTTGTTATCATTTAAGATCTAAATTATGTTTTCATATGTAACTTAGAATATGTATATTTGTATAAATAAATTTATATTACGTATAATATGTGTACAGAATAATAATCAAATTTAAATATAATCAAATATTAATATTGAATAAGAAAATTAATTACATTTGTTAACTGAATAATTTATATTTTTCTTTTATTAGACTCGAAAAATGTAGACTTTTTTCAAAACAGAATTTTTGTCCATGGACTATTTGTCTTGAATTCAGTAATAAACATACGAATCACTGAATTTAAATTTGTATGAATATATTTTTTATTTTTTTTTGATGATAAATTTTAGTCTTGGCTACAAATTTTATACAGTGAGTGATAAATAATTATGTACAATTTTCCAATAATTTTATCAAAAGAAAATTTTTTGTTCAGATTAATGTTAAAAAAAAAAAAAAAATTTAAAATTAAATTTAAATTTTTATAACAAAATAAATAAGAGTTCACTAATTGGGGAATTAGAAAATCACATAAGAAAATCTAATGGTGAATGATAATTATCAATTTACAATACAAGGGATTTTTAAAGAACAAGTAATAGTAGTAAATTCTGCATTAGTACTTACAAAAATATATTTATATATTTACCTTAAATTTTGCTTAACATCAATTTCTGCAGTATTGGTTGAACAATAAGGTTCAACAATATCTACACATTTTTCTTCAACCATTTTGATTTCTTCGGGAAGATTAAGTTGATTATAGTTTGGACATAATGGAGTTTCTGAGAAGGGTGGTATAGTTGATAAATAAGTCTCATTGGAAGGTGATTGTGCATTACAATAATTTATATTTTCAGTCTGGTTTGCATTAATTACCTCTTGATTTTGAATATATGCTATATGATTATTTTGTATTGCATTTTCTTCGTGTATAATAGCATGATGCTGAATGTCTTGTAGGACAAGTGCTTGAACAGAATCAGAAGATAATGATGATAAATTGGAGATAGTAGATACTGATGATATTTTTCTTTGCAATTCATCATCCATTGTTGTAGATGGTTGATTTTGTGCAGTATTCACTTGGTAATTCCATTGTGTTATTGTATTTGGAATATATGTGGGGGCATCTTGATTAATTGCAGGGTCAACTTGTTGATATATTGTTGAATCTTGATGATAAATATTGTCATTTCCATTCGGCACATAGTTTTCTGATACAACTTCCACCATATTATTTGGCACTTGGTTTACATCAGAAAGCTGTTTATATGTCATATTGGTATCAGACGTATAAGCAGAGTCTGTGGATGCATTAGATATGTTTGAAATTTTTCTATAATTATCTTGCTGACATATTGTATCAACTGATCGAAGTGGTAGACTTTTAGATGGAGACGAGTGTAATAGTAATTGTTCTTGAAGTTCAGTAACATTAATTTCACTCGATGGTTGAATATGTTCAGATGGAATTGAAGTGTTATCATATTTATTTTCTTCTTCCTATAATATAAACACGGAAATAAATAATTTCTTTTTAACATACAAATTTGATAAAAACTAATTTACATACTAAAATATATTATTTTAAAATAACAATAATAATAAATAATTTGTAATATACCTGACTAATAAAGTTAGGTGGTTGGTACATAACAACAGTTTCTGGTTGTCGAAACGACAATCCATTAACATCTGAATTGATATCGTCTAAATAAAAATGCATATAGTCTCTTAAATTAATCTTAACCCCAAATAATATTATAAAAAAATACCCTTATATAATTCTTCATCAATTGGTACATCTCGTTTATCATTGTGTTCTTTGTTTAGACTATAAACTTGATTGGTTAACATCTTGGCAATAATTTTACTATCTTCCTCTAAAATTAATCCAGATTTTGCCTAAAAATTAGACAAAGTTAATGTACTTTATTAAAATATATATATACATGTATATTATTTTACCATTTCAGATGCTACATCGTCTGCATTATCATTATTAATATCAAAATCAAATTGTATTGCTTCATTTTCTCGGTGTTTATTACTACAACGCTTTTTAGGATCAAGAACACGTAAACGAAATTCAATTCGACTGTCTGTTCTACTAACCATTTCTAATTTAATTCCTGGATCTTCCGTAAAAAAATCATGAGCCAATAATTCTTTAATTGATGGTCTAAACAAAAAAATATTTGATAACTCAAAAGGGCAATTAGAAAAATTGTAAATTTAAAATATCATTACCTTTCTTCCTTTTTTAATTTTATACACGATTCTATTATATCTTTAATTTCTGGATTTTCAATTTTATCAAAACTTAACGGTTTAACACCCTAAAAAAACAATATCACACATTTAAATTTGTAAATATATTTCATAATTAATAATTATTATATTATATGTAAAAATAACTTTATTAACTTACACTTATAACTCTTTTATAAATTTGAGCAGGTCCAGTGCATTCTGTATAAGGATACTCAGATGTAGCCATCTCAAGCATGCACATTCCAAAAGCATATACATCAACACTCTCATCATAATGTTCTTCATACATTTCTGGAGCCATAAATTCAGGTGTACCTATAAATATATGAAGCTAAATTAGTTAATTAATTTTAAAATAAATTATAATCATGTTTCAGTTTACCAATAACAGACTTGGCGAATGATCGGTTTTTAAGAGTAGCCAATCCTAAATCTCCAATTTTTACACAACCAGTTGTACCAGTAATAAAAATGTTATCACATTTAAGATCTCTATGTATAATTGGAGGTGTCCTAGAATGTAAGAAACTTAACCCTTTAACAATCTGTCGACACCAAGATTTCAGTACTTTAGGATTGATCTTTTTGAAACGGCGTAAATATGTTTTCAATGTTCCCGAAGTCATTAATTCTGTGACAAGTACAATATACTTGCGCTTTGTTAAGGAAACTTCCCAATAATCATAAAATCGAACAATGTTTGGATGCTGTAAACCCTTAAGCATCTCAGCTTCTTCTCGAAACCGGGCACGTTCAGTTTTTGTTAATTTATTTTCCTAAAATTTAAGTTAAAATTCATCAATTCAAATAATTCCATAGAGTCATTGTTTTATTTCACTATTTCACCTGCAGCTCACACCAAGCAACAGCAACACCAGTTTGGGTATCTAAACCTCGGAAGACTGTTTTGAAAGACCCATGACCCAATTCTTCATCAAACTTGAGAAATCTAATATGCATATTAGTTAAAATGTAAATATTAATTCAAAATAACTCATATTCAATAATTAATTACCTTCCATCAGGAGAATTTCCAGAAGCTTTTTCTTCATCATCATCTGAACGGTTGATTATAGTTGATATTTCTGTTGGTATTGGAATTGTAATTTGAGGAGAGCATGATTCTTCTATTATTTCTACAGAACCAGAACCTGTGTCATAATAGGTCTGTGCATACAGATATGATTGTTTGGACGGCATGTTTGCAGATGATGATTGGCATTCCTTATCAGATTTGTTATCCACAGTTTTCTTTGGAACAGTTGTTGTTGTTGTTGTTGTTGTTTCACGCCTGAAACGAGGAGATGGTGTAGCAGCAGTTCCTCGGCCTCTGGCTAACACCTATGAAAAATATATTTTAAAAAAAGGTACTATAAAAAAAAAATAGTAACTAATATATAAACCTTTCTTTGTGGAGTACTCGGAGAACTCAGACTGGATCGATTAATGTTTGTTTTTGTAATAGTCCGATTTGGAGTCCTACAGCTAGCTGCACAACTCGATTCGCCTGTCAATTGACTTAATCTGTAATTTTTATGGACGGTTTTATAACTCGATTCCACTGTTCCAGATTAACCCAAAACTACCTAGGAATTCTATTAACGCTCAACACTCTGTCTACAGAAGTCGCACTTCTATGGGCTTCGTGGTTGCCATTAATGCGATCATGCTCAACACTACTTGCTCTTAACTTTGTAGCACTGCAACAGTCGTGTCTAGTAAGGTTTTTATTCCTCGCAGGTGGTTCGTTGTTATTTTTGGCTGCGCGGGATAGCCGATTCCGAAAACTCATGGCTTACTGTGATGAAGAGAACCAATAAAATAAATTTAAAATCATATCAAAATATCAAAATACAATATAAGATAGGTAAAATCAACGATAAAATTAAACGAAAAAATAAAGACAAATTCTTTAGGTACCAAAGACACGTTCATTTTCCACGTATTTTAATAATTACAAGCACATAAAACTTACCTTATATTCACATATTATTACGATCGCTCATTGAGCCAAACACGTACGGCGCACTAACAAACCGATACACAAAAACACAGTTATGTTATGTCTCTATTGCGTCGAGTATATTTAGTGACTTGGTATTTTTTTAAATTGAGTTAAATTTCTTGGCTCTAGCCTATCCCCACAATGTCGCGCAAGCAGATTGAACCTCCGCTGCTGTGTGATAATAGACGAAACTACAAGAGTGACGGAACTTTGAAGAGAGATACGGTGAAACGATGAAGAGTTGGGAGTGGGGAGATTATAGTGGGGGACTCAACGAGGCGATGCCGCCCAAAGCAGCCTTGGTACAAGTGCTGCCACCACCCGTCGGCAGAGTCAATGAACGTGAAATCTCTATGGGAGCCAATTAAATGAAAAAATAATAAAAAATTGCACACAGTGCCACACACACACGCGCGTGCACATACACATCCGTTTGTAGCACACAATTTTATTTTATTTTTTTAATTTGATAGGTATCGATTTTTTTTTCATTACCTGTCGATCAGAAATTTTCATTCAACAAACTTCGTTCACGCCCGTTGTCTGGGGGAAACGGCAGTCAGAAGATCGCTAACAAAACAAGAATGGACAGTCTCTTAAGTTTCTAACCGTTTCGAGGCAAATTCTTTTATTTTCAATAACTATTTACTGTTTGGTTAGAACTCTTTTCCAATTGAAACGCACAAGAATGTCATAGTTTTTACGCCGTTATCGTCGATGATGTCACCGACTACGCCCACTTTTCGTTTTATCTCTGAGAACAGTCGGATTATCGGATACCGTCTGCCGACCGTCTAGTCTTATCTGCTTTTTAGAGTTATGGAAATTTACTTTTTATTAATAATGAAATTACAATATTACATAAGTCTTAAGAATACCTAATGCTTTTTATTTTCGATTACATTTTGAAAAATTATTAATATTAACTGATGTTACTTCAAATCATTATTTAGACGGTGCGTCATCAGTTTTGTCATTGATTTTAGTATAATATTCTAAAATCAATGGTTTTATGTTTGAAAATTATAATTTAAGTTATTTTCATCTTCACTAACACTATTTATAACCAATGATATTACTCATTAGCATTATATTTTGGCGTTACCCGATAATATGTAATAATTAATCACTTCTATTTCAGTAGAACTCTGAACTACTAACATTAGTAAGTACTAAATACCAATAAAAGATAACCCATTTGCAACGCTAGCGTTTTATGAAAAAATTTAGATAACATTACATAGTCCACAAGTAGGTAGGAGTTACCTACTACTTATCCAGATGTATGATTTACACCATTATAAAACGCATTCCTGCCTACTTGGATGGCTTATTTTTTTTTGCTCTTGATCTTGAATAAAAATATACCTTCAAGCATACTGTAAATAGTTATACCTACAAGTGTCGCATCTTGTACATAATATTATGTAGGAATCTACTTACTATCATTTCGTTTTGCAAATAATCAACGAATAATATTTCGGTAAGTAAAGTCAATACTTCTCCCTGCATTTATGCGAACATAGTATCTACCTATATTGGGCAATTAATGTGCATTTCATTTCAAACCATACCTACACCTCGAGAAAGTTCATCATTAATCCATATTCAATATTGTACCTACTATAAAACTGCACGGCTGCGTAATAAAACGACGGATAATGTCCGTTTGGACGGTAATTTAGAAGTAATATTATAATCATAAATTCATAAATAATGTTTTAAAGGTTTAATAATGATGTGTAGGCCATAATAGAACAAATTAAAAAAATCAGTTGAAGTTATAAAATTGATAATTATTAGTTCAATAACTGGCGAACAGCAGTAAGTATTATAAAGTGTGGGGGAAGAAAAATAGACACTTTTGAGAAAAGATATTTTTTCTTTGTACTTATATGTTACGAGTTATGACCACGAGTCTACTAGATGACATCGGTGAGTTTGTATACAAATATATTGGAAACTGGGATGTGTTTGTGAATGTGAGATTTGTATAGGTACTGTATAATATATACTGATATAGTAAAAGTATACTGATGATCGAAAAGAAGGGTAAAACATAGATCGGTAGTAAGAGAATAGTGTTTCCCAGTGCTCATAAAATACTTTATTTTTGTTTTAACAATTTGATAATAACCAGGGCTGTGAGTTCAAAACTAATTAAAATTATTGTTATATTTCAGCAACATGCCATCATCTGTTATCGTATAGCCTGTGGGTATATGGTATATGATCTAAGCTTGTAATCACTTGGCCTACAGCAATAGCAGCAGCTGTTTAATGTTTGGACTTCCAGATAATATTTTCCCACAGATAATACAACTAGATAGCCGACTTCCGATTCTCGATAGAAAGTAAATATAAGGGCGCTGTAGTTACTTTTACTAACTTTTAAACACTGTCTATGCTGTTAACTGATAATAATCAATTTCACATTTTCACAATGCCAATTATTTATTTAATTTGTTTTTTTTGAATAATTTAATTTATTTTATTCGATTTCATAATACCTAATCAAATAGAAAAAACATTTTTAGCTGACATTTTAAGTTTTATTGGTGACTAAGCGACCATTGATTTAGGATATGCAAATAATGAAATGTAACTACATTGATGTGTGGAAAACAAAATATTAAGAATTGTTGCTATTTTTCTTAAAACCAATGATCTCAGTGAAAAACATGTTTCTATGAAGTCTATGGAATTGTTAAAATCACACTTATTGCATAACAACCATATTAAAGTACCTGCCCATGGTACTCAATATTAATTTAACAGTTGGTATGTATTCTATATAATTTGAGTATTAGTTCTATTTTATAATAATAACTTGTTGTGAATTGTAAAAAATCATCTTTAATGAAATGTTTGTCACACACATTAATATTATTTGTTGGAGAATTAGTAATATTCATTTTTAAAGCATGCTCCCATTTCTTGTTTAGGATAACATTTTTAGGAAAAGTGTAGAAAGTCACATCCTCTTGGTATTAACTGTTGAATGAAAATCAAATAATAATTTTGAATATTTTTACACAGAGAATATAGTTTGTAAATTTAGTAGAAAAAAGTTAATATCTTACATTGTTTTAAATTATGGAACATGACAATATTTATGTTTTTTGTGAGTTTTTTAACACAATAAGCATGATCCATATTTATGGGCTGGCAGCTACCAAATGCGAAAGTGTAATCAAAATTAAAACACGACGTGTGGTTAATAAATTATGAAAAATCGGGTAAACCAATTCTAAAAATCTTTAATTTTGTATTTCATCAATAATTCAGTTTTCATGTCGTCCCTGTTATAACATTTCATGCTACCACCACCAGATGTCAGCCGCTTCGCTTTCTATTGCGAATACAAATTACCATCAGTGTATAATGAAGTCCGGTAAAATGGCTGACTTTTCTTATCACAAAGATCCTTGTTTACAACTTATTAATTTATAAAAAATGAACAGAAAAAGTTAGTTGTTTTATCTATCTATGATATGATATTGATTTTTTTTTCGGCTTATCAAATTTTGATTTTTCCCAGAATTTAGTGATTTTTTAGGTGCTTAGGGATTTGGAGAGAGGCTTGTAAAAAAATTGACATTTTGGGGATTTCTCAGGTAATTTAGTTTTGTGCTCAATACGAATAAGTTCAGTGCAATAATCATAAAATTACTATAAATTTATAATATAATAAGTCTATACAAATTACCCATTACCTCCATAGGTAATTCAAGAAATTTTTTACTATCTATGATTACCTCACCAAAAAATAATACTATAGACTAAGATAACTTTCAATTTGAAGCAAATAGAAAGGCAAACTTCACTATGTGCAGTTAAAGAAAAAAAATTCTGTGCAATTTATTAATCATTTCACTTGTTTACTCCTATGAAATCCAGAGCCTCCCAAGAGAAGTTTTCACTTCAAAAAAATTGCATAGATAAATATTTACTTAGACAGAAATAATTAAAAAAAGACGGTTGTATTACACGGTTATGACCACGAATAATCGTGGAGGAATAATACCTGTGCCAAATATCTAATGACTAACCAAACAGAGAGTACAACTACACAATGATTGATAGAATTTCAAAAAATGTATAGACAAGTGTGGTATAAAATTCGTAGGACAAGCTGATTTTTTGGAAGCCATTAAAATAATATTTGTAAACACATTTAATGGCTATAATGAGATTATTGATTGCTGGAACAAATATTTTGAATAAAATATATTTAGTAACCTAGTCTAAGACTTTTTATCTTTAAACGAAATGTCTAATCACTTATATTCCTGGGAAACCGATACAGAAATAAGGCATTTACCGTACAATTCCAATGGCAAATTTGGTAAATTTTGTTTGGATTTTTTAGAAATTTAACTAATTGAATGAAAAACATGTCACGAAATTTTTTTGCTCCTTAGGATTAAAACGCTAAAACATAAATTAAGCAATCTCTTCTAGGCATAAGGTACATTCAACATATGCATTTTGCGATTGAACATATAAAAGAAAACTTTTGACAGGAGAATCACAAAGTTACTTATTTCTAATTTTATTAAAGCGTCATTGACCCGAATTTATGACACATAAAATAAATTGATTCATATATTCTTCAATAGAATAAGATTTTTTCTCCGTGATAATATATACCTATAGGTATAATATTATTAAAATTTAAAACAAAAACCAATATTGACCATAATAATTATTTTAAGCTTTTTAAAATAGGAAGCCCATGAATATTAATGACTAACTTTAAAATATGATTAGGTGTATAAATATGAGCACTATTTTTTTTAAATAGGTAACATATTTTCTTTTCCCAAGTGAATATAATATAAACCATTAGTTATATTTTACAATATTATGAGTTTAGGGGGGGGGGGGTTCATTAAATTTCTTATATTGTTACTTTGAAACATTCACTTATTATCTGAATGAGAGAACTACAACAATTATGTGAAACATTATATTTTACAACCCAAGATCTTAATTTATTACAATTGCTAACAGATTCAAGGATTTTGTCTTCTACAATTGTTTGTATAGAAGCGGGCTTATTAAATAAATTAGGTAAATTGAAAAATGAAAAAGGACATTTTTGAAAAATTGAAGAATCTGCACCACTGTTGTATTGCCTGATTTGAATATTGTTGTGTTATTTGCATTAATAGCTGTACTTGTACTATTTATACAATTACAAGAATTGTGTATCATATTTGAATTGTATGTGATCTAAAAATAAACATTGATTAGTTAAAAAAACATCAAGAATCAATAGACATTGTGACTTACTTATGGTTGAGCTTTAATTTGTTTTTAAAATTGACGTTTAGAAAGATTATTCACAGTTTTAAGTCTTAGACTGTTGTGATTTGGGCAGGCTAATAATAAAATAAAAATTTATTATTATTATTAAAATAATCCATTCCACGAGTTTGGCTTTTTATCGGTATGACTTTCAAAAAGTCTTCTTTAATAATATTATCTTTTAAACAAAATCTAACAAAAAGTGTTAATTGAGAAGTAGAGCTTATATCTACTGACGAATCTAATGCTAAAAAAAAAAATTGGCAATCTATTAATTCGTTGATTACGAAATCGAATACTTGATTTCTAAGATGTGTGATCCTACGAACACATGTAGTATTAGATAACTGCAGATTTGAAATTTGGTCACGTAATTCTTTAAAATTGGATAAATTATAAAACAGAGTATTTACAACTGTTTCCATACATTTTTTCATTAGTTCGGCACCCGAAAATGGGTTCATGAGGTTTACTAACATATGTGTTATTTTATACGGTGCTTTTGTTGAAAGTTCATTATTATTAGTGAATTGTAACATTGATTGTTTTTTAGAAAAAAATTCCTTTTTTTAATTCAATGAGTTTTTCTTCTCTTATTTTAAGATTTTGGGTGGGGATAATTTTTAGAAAATTCAGTATGGTGAGTTGTTTAATGACAATTAATATTATGTTTTGGAATATTTATGGTTTTATGACAAATTAAACATAAAGCATGGCGTTTCTTACCAGAAATAAAGAAAAATTTAATCTCCCAACTGTCTTGAAATATTCTGTGTTCATCTTCGATTTTATGTTTTGGCATGATATAGAATTAAAATTAACAAATTACTCACAGAATAATTAAATATTATAACGATAATACGTGATAAAATACAAACGGACAATAAGCAACGGATAAACTGTTCATACAATACTACGCGGTGGAAATCAATTAACTCATAATCGTAGGTACCTACTTATCTGTCCAACTGGTAATTCAATACAATTTTAAAATAGAAAGATAAAATAAATAAAAATAATAAGATAAAAAGCGACGTTCATTTTATTCACTAGCGGACCGCGTAGTAGGGACCGCTGGATTATAGAATTTTGGATTTTAAAATGTACAATTTAATTTTAATGCGGGCCACACTAAATTTGCTAAAAGGCCGCGTAGTGGGAATCACTGGTCCAGATGGTACCTTAGGGGGATCATTTTTTGATTTTCCAAACGGTTTTCATATTATCTGGAAAAAACCAGGATGAAACGTAAGAAAAACGGGAAATGTACGAAATTGATGCTTTTATTATTTTATCAATTTTGTTATTTGTTGTAATTCAATTAAAGATATTCGTAAAAACTTGAAATTCGGACAGAAAATGTATATTTGTCTATTCTAGACGTAGAAAAATTTCAAAAAATTTCAGTTATTTTTAAGCTATTTATAGACATTTTAATTTTGCGAGGTTTGTACGTAATTTTTATTTGGTAGGTACTTTATGCTAAAATTGTTAGACTTAATAGAAATGCTTGAAAATTTAACAAGAGGTTCATTAAATTTTACTTTGCGGTGGAAAAAAATTGAGTTTAATATAGTATTTGTTTTTATAAAGAAATTTTGATATTAAATTTTGACGAAAATTGTTTTGTCAAAAAGTTAGTTTTGTGATTTTTCAATCGGTTTTCATAATGACTGAGAAAAACCGAGATAAAATGTTGGAAAAACGGAAAATGTACGAAATGTAGGTATTATTAAGAAAATATTATGCCTTTTTTTTTTTTGTGTGTACAACTTTTCTACTATCAATTTTACATGATAAATGTTATTAAAATAAGATAATAAATTCTACTAAAATCCTTTTAATCATATTTTTAAAGATTTAAACAAGTGGTTTTTTTATTAACACGTTGTTCACGTTTTTGTTTTCTGTTTCATGTCCAAATTAATATAAACAGAAACAAAAACAAATAACAATATAACAATCAAATTTTTATTTTTATATATAAATACAACTTATGGTGTACTTAATGTAAAATTGTTGAGCATTTTTCCAGGGCTGAAAAATGTAAATCATATAAATCGAAAATATTTAATATTCCATTTTCAACTGTTATGAAACTATACCGAATTTAAAAAATGTAATGTCAAGAATAATATATTCACTTGACATGTAATTTTTGGGTATATTTTTTTATACAAATTTGTATCTATGTATACTTGTAAAATATTCAAAAGGAAACAGAAAAAAAAAATGTATTTTTTGTATAGTATTTTCAACTTTTTAACTAGTATTATTTTATTTTAGTCTGTAGTAAAAAAAATTATCTCCTGAACTGATACCAAAATTAAAGGTACAAACAGCATTTAATGAAAGTAGTGAAAGTATAGAAGACATTTTTAAAGAATTAACCAAGATAATAAAAAAACCGATCAGATCAGATAAAAAAATGATGATAAAAATTGTGACATAGTAAGAGTAACAAAAATAAAAAAAAATTGTATTTCTAAAACATTTTGAATATCTGCTGATATTCTTAGGAATAACCATCAAACCACAAAAATCCAAAATCGATGGATTTAACATCTATCAAAGAAAGATTGTTCAATACATTCAAATTTCAAGTAAAAATAAGACAGTTTTGTTTAATGACACACATTTAAACAGAAAGTCTTGACGAGATTATTCTGAAAATAGTAATTTAGATACAAAGATTGACAATATCCTTAAGATATATTTTATTTAATCATTTTTAAAACTCATATGGTAAGTTTTAATACTAATGTTGTTATTAATATTATTTTTGTTTTAGCTAGTGAAAGCTGAAAATGATTTACAAATACTAGTTAATTCTTCAGCAGATCAGGTATAAACAAAATTTAATTAATTATACACATTAAATTGTTGTATTTTTCAATAAGAAAACATTAAACACATGCATTTTAAGAACACAAAAATATATATAGTCCCATACTTTCAACCAAAAGTAGTTTACTTAAGGTAGTTCGTCCCCTTACTATGACCCCCTAAGTCCAAGCACTGGTTATATAGTTGTACAGGGTACCTAGTTTAAAAGCAAACAATTTTATTTTTCATTTTTCATTTTTTTTCATAATTATTTGTTTTTATTTGAATTTTTGTGGTGCTGAAAAAAAGGAATTTTTGTAACAAACTATTAATTATTTTTAATATTGTATTGGTTTAGCCTAGGTCAAAAATGGTTTGTACTAAAGCACTATCGGTGCATGATGTAACAGATAATACTTGAAGTACTAAAATAATGACGGAAAAAATATATATTATGAAGTTTTTCTTCAAAGGCATTTACGTTACTCAATTCAAATGACTGTCGGAAATGTTGTTTTTAAATATTTTAATTATAGTAATATATAGGTTTCATAAATTACCTTTATATTTTAATGATACATATAAACCTATTATGTCTATACATTTTACGTCAAATGCAAGTTTTCTGGTAGAAAAGTTACTCACATATAACAAAAAAAATAAATTTATAAAAATATACACTACTATGATCTAAAAACTACAAATCTTTGCTTACAGATATACATTACATTCTCCTATATATCCTACCTTTCCAACTTTATCTATAACAATGATCTATCCATCATGCAAAGTATATCCATCTATTTCCTATCACCCTAATGATAATTATGATTTATATCAAATATATTTTATTTCTGTTTACCTATTTGTACATATTTTCAAATGATTTTATTAATAATATATTGCATTATAATTTTTTTTTATTTATTATAAAATTAAATTTAAAAAAAAACATATGACAATGAAGAGGTTGCAAATTTCTTTTTGTTACTAGGCATCAAATCAATTAAAAATATAAAAATAGTATACTATCCAATTATTAAGTTCCAACCATTTAAAAATATATATATATATATATTTAAACAAAATACAAAAATACATTTCTATTATATTATTATAAAAACAGTTAATAATAATATTATTATTAAATAGGGTTATTTGTTAAGTTCTTCTGTGGTCTGTGAAATATTAAATTGGAAGCATTTTTGGCTCAATTAGGATCTCATTAACTGCACAGAATGATGGTTGGGTGACTGCATAAAGAACAGCTTCTGCGACATTAGATGGTTCAAGAATTTCATTGTTAGAACTACAGTCATATCGATTATATGCCTAAAATGAAAAAAAATTATAGTACAATAAAATTCAGTTAAATAATAAAACAAATATATTTAATTCAATGTTGATTGAATCAATTTTTTAATAATGAATCTAAACGTTATTTTTACCTCTAAATCATTATTTCTATTTAATAACTCAGTTTTAACATCTCCTGGTTGTATACAAGTTACTTTTATATTATGTTCAGTCATTTCAGTTCTCAGTGCACTAGCTACTCCTTCCATGAAAAACTTTGTTCCTGAATAAACACCTAAACCTGGAAATGACTATAAAATTGAATTAGATTTATTATTTTCACAATTATTTAGCTACACAACATACTCTTCGACCAGCATTAGATGTTATGTTAACAATGTGCCCAAAATTTCTTGATGTCATACTAGGCAAAACAGCACTAAGACAATTTAACATACCATTGCAATTCACTTGCACCATTTCATCCCATTCATCTATTTTACATTTATCAAATGTTGTATAAAACATAACTCCTGCATTAATGACCATTATATCAATTAGACCAATAGTTTGTTCAATATTTTGAACAACTGTTTTAACCTAAATAAAATATACAGATATAAGTTACCTAATAATCATTTTTAAAATAAATAAAAAATCTATATTTATATATAATTTTATTTTTCTATGGAGATTTTAGATTCTGAGAGCAGATAGGTTATATTATTTGAAAAAAAAAAACATTAAATTAAGTATGTTTAATAAATGATTAAGCTATGTATTATGTAAAATATTTTAGAATCTATTTCTATTTGACAATACCAGCTTAAAGTTCAATTTTTTTTTTGATGTTACATTAATGATATAGGAAAAAAAAATCTTATTTTTGGCTGTTAGTTACTGTAGTAAATTCAGTGGCGCAACTAGCACAAAATCCTAGGGGAGGTTTTATATTATACCATTAGTAAAATACGGGGGGCTTCGCTCCATCCTTCCTATACATCTTAAAATATATGCACTAAAAAATTAACAAAATTATTTAACTTTTAATGATTTTTATACATTATACAATAGTTATTAACAAATTATTCAAGTTTCATTTTTCTTTGACTATAGTTATAAATTGTTGTGAAATTTGATCAGAATCAATTTCTATATCTTTTTCAATACATAGTATGGATAAATAACTGAAACAATATTGGTCGATTATTGACCTTAAGTATGTATTAATCCACCACATGGCAGAAAATGCACGTTCTGATGTTGCAGAAGATATTAGCAATTTAATGGCAACTTGTACTTAGATTAGTACACTTGTACTAACTTACTTGTTGTACTGACTTTGTAATTATTTTTTATTCAATTCAAGAACATATAAATTATTATTTATTTTGAAAGGGCTAATCCCCCCCCTAATTGCGCTTATGAGTAAATTAGTAAACTAACAACATATAAACCCAATAAGAAATTAAATATACATTTGTTAGATTGGTAACATCCATTTTGTATGGCACCACCATATTTTCATTAGAAACACCTAATGAAATAATCTCCTCTTTTAATTTGAGTAGACGATTAATTCTTCTTGCAGTTGGAATTACGATAGCTCCAGCCAATGCTAAAGTTTTAGTTATATGGTACCCAATTCCTGAAGAAGCACCCGTAATCAATACAACTTTTGATTTTAAGACCAATGGTATTTCTAGTGGTGATTTTATTGAATCTAAATAAATATAAAATAAACTAAATATTAAAAACATAATTTAATTAGAGTAAAATTAATTTTAAAAAAAAAATGGAAAATAATTTAAGAACATAGGAATAAATACAAAATTACCTTTTATTTGGGGTATTAAATTCAAACCAGTTAATGTTTTTAATATTCTATGACATTCATTTTTATCTAAGCTTGGGTACTTTAAATTAGCAGAAGCTAAATATCTTTCAATGTTTGTTTTTTTCACTGTTGGCTGGTTTTCTAAATAATCTTTATCTTTCATTGTAAAATTCAATAAATAATTAATTGAAATTAACTCAGGTTTAATACTTGAATTTTTTTTAATTATTTCTGACCATTTTTCATATGGCAAACATTCTAAATGGTATCCAACATCTTTCATTACTTCCCATAAATTTCTAGATAAATAATCATATTTTTTATATTTTATTAAATTACAATACAAATAAAATCACTTAATAATTCATTATTATTTTTCAGACATACTTTGAATTAAATTTATCATTTATTAAATGGTAGATCTTCCCAGATGATTCATTCAGATTTTGAGCAAGTTCTACAATAGTATGTGCAATAAAATCCACAGGTGTTAATTCAAGCTATAACAATCGTATATACATATATTAATTGTTCTTTACTTAAATTATTTATTTTGTAATAAATACCTCCCAATCTATGTCAGGATATGCATTTGTATATAATACACCTTGTATTATAAATAAAGTTAGATCTGTAGAGTTCCAGCTAGGTTCAAATCTACTTCCACTGATGTTGCCACATCTGAATATTGATGCTGGTAATCCTTTATTGATAGCATTTAATATTAACTGTTCAGATAACCACTTTGTTTGTCCATAACCTTCTTTTAATAATGGCGCCCAATTTTTTGGATCGTCAGTTTCTTGAATATTTTTAAATTCTCGAGGAAAAACTGACGATGAGCTGAAAATGTTTCAGAAAAATTATTTATTGTTAATCCATTAAATTAAAATTTGTACTTTTCTACTATTAGTATAATTCAATTAAATTAAATGGTATTTTTTAAACATCAAAACTGTTAATATTTACATAAAAATATTTTGAGTATCTATACAATTCAGACATTTTAATATTCTCTATTATCAACTTTATAAACTTTAAGTTTTATTACCAACTCACCTAATATAATGTAGTGGTTTAATTTTACCATCTATACAAAATCTTATAACATTTTTAGTGCCAATGACATTATTTTTGTAAAGGGCTCCAAATGGATATGATAAATTAACCTGAGCTGCTCCATGAATAACATAATCAATTTCGTTACATATTGCTTCATAATCATCATCTGTCATACCAAAATGCAGTAAAGATACATCGCCTAAATGTAAAATTCATTTATAAATATTAAAAAAAAAAAAAAACATTAAAAACCATAATATAAATAACAATTATATATCAAAATCAGTTTTTAGATTTTCCATACTTTTCATATTTTAGAATCTACTATTGTTAATAATATGAATTAATGTTTAATTTAAATATTAAGTATTATAAATATGAATTCAGAATAATAGTAAATAGCTACATAATTCCTGTCTCAAAAATTTAATTTTTACCAATAACTCAACATGTTTGAAAAAAGTACATACATTAAAATAATTTAGATATCATGTTTATGTACCTTTTAAAACAACTACTTTAGAATAAAATAAGCTGGTAGAACTATTATTTAAATTATATTTCTTCATTGTCTGTTCAAGTTTTTCAAATGGTTCACATTCTGCTGAATCTCTCACCAAACAGAAAATGTTTACCTAAAAAAAAAATTATACATCAAACTAAATATAAAAACCATGAATAATGTAATATGTTATACTTGTGTTTTTAATAATTTATGCAAAATAAATGCACCAACAAATCCAGTTGCTCCAGTAAGTAATATATTACCATTAGTGAATTTGTTTTTATTTAAATATACAGCTCTCCAAAAGGATCGAAGTGTATTGTCTAAGCTAAAAATGTTTTATGTGTTTTATTATAAATGTAATTATTTTAAATATGCATTGCTATTACATAACAGAATTATCAATAAGTTTATTCAGTTCTTCCATTAAATTTATATCATTTGATGTAGTTTTGTTTTGATCTAAAAGTTTGGCCATTTCTTCGACATTAGGATTTAAAAACAAATCGTGTACACGCAGTTGTACTCCAAACGTTTCATTTATTTCACTAATTACACTGGCTGCTAATAATGAATGTCTAAAATGAAAAATAATCAATAGCAGAACATGTTTATCTGGCATTAAATCTTTGATGATTTCCCCAAAATAAAAAAATTTGAATTCCCTTTTTTATTTTTTCACAATATCCAACATAGCCATTTTATAAATATATTTTGAATTAAAATTTTGGTATTACAAATATTTACTAATGATTTAAGATTCTACAATTTTTTTGAAGTTTACAAAAATAATTTAAAAAATTTCATGGACAAATTGGTTTGTAGAAACTTAATGATTTAGGTATCATTAGTATTAAATATTTTTAACACTAAAATTCTAATTCAAAATATATTTGTTAAATGGATATCTTAGTTTTGCATAAACTATTTTTTATTTTGAAAAAATATCTATAGAAAATAAGCTTTATAAATTATTAATAAAACAATTAAAAATATTGAACAGAAAAGTTATTGAATTTGGCGAATCTTCATGGGACACCTATATTTTATAATACCTATAAATACAAATATGACATACTAAAATTAAATTCTCTGAACATGTAAAATATAATTCAATATAATTTTACATTTATAGATTTATATTTTCCAAACCACATTGTTAAATTATATTAATTTAATTGAAAAATTAAAAAAATATTTGATTATATCTTAAAAAATCTAATAATTTGTAGGTATATTAAAAAAATAATGAAAGGTATACAATTGTTGTACATTATTATTTGTACAGCAACTGTACAAATACTTAAATTGTTTATAAAATGTAAAAATGAATACCTAACTACTGATGTGTACCTATTAATAATAAAAAAAAATTCAAGTTATGTGAATGGTGATTGAATCAATAAATATCAAAAATTTATGAACACAGGCCTGGGTGAATTTATAGGTAAAACTAGTTTAAAAATATTAGTAAACCCAGTTTCAACATTGTCAAAATTGAAAGGCATATTTAATAAATATGCTTAGCAAAGAATCTTAAGCAATTGTTAATTTAAAAACTATTTATTTATAAATACTACAATTTATATAAATGATAAATATTATCAGATAATTGTCTACTTACCCTCCATTTTCAAAAAAATTATCTTGAACATCAAATCTGTATGTTTTTAGAGCTCTACAAAATATTTTCATTACAGTTTTTTCTGTTTGAGTTTTCAAATTATCCATTAAAATACCATTTGTTTTGTCCAAAGTAACTTTTGGTAAAGCAGATTTATCCAATTTACCTGTTGCTTGAACTACTGGCAATCTGTAGTAAGTGAATTAAAATGATAATTTTAAAACCAATTAACTATTTAAATACGTTTTAATAATGTATTTAATAGGTGCTTGTTCAAGGTATTTAGCTGATCGGGGATATTTTTCTAACAGATTTTAATACGTTTTTTTACAAATAAAATCGATTATCAATTTTTTGATAGTTGTAATTTTTTTAATAGGCTTTTAAAACTCAAATTTTAATCAAAATCACAATATTTCGAATACTATTAATAATTGATCTAGGTATAATAATACATTTCCTTTGTTGGTCAAAAATACTATTCGATTTTTTCAAAAATATTGAACTTGACTATACCCAGAATCATTTGTAGTTAATCATTAATCGTTATTGTGAACAAATTTGAAATAAATTACTTTATTTATTCTACCTTCTAAATCCCCATTATAAAAGCAGTAACACCCATCAGCAGTTCTATAAATCGAGGATACATGGCACCAAAATAATTGTTTGTTATCATTTCGTATAACTCTGAAACTAATAAAAGTATGAAACGATTTAAAAAAAAAACCTTGTCCCTAACTTCTTAACCAATATTTAGAACCATTTTTATCATCACTATCAATATTTAGCTACACAATATATAACTTTGAGAAGAATCGTTGCAACTAACCACAAACAATATTTATGAAAATAATTGGCCAAGTTCCAACAATAAAAAAATATTTTAACAGGTTAGTTATTTTATATATTATAAATGTCGAGAGGAAAATGAATACACTGAATTTCATCACGGTTTTTTCTTGATTACTATGCTAGTATTTAATTTGTAAAAAAACACAAAATGCGTTATTTTTGAATAACTGCACCAAAAGTATAATGGTGCAAATTTGTTTTTTTTTTTTGGTATATCTGAATGTAATTGATGTTTTTATAATTTTTCAACATGCTAAACATACATAAAATGACCTTAGGCTCTAGGAATTGTAGAAATTATACAGATGAAACTTTAAATAAATATATAAATGATATTGTGAATAAAAAAATTACACAAAGAGAGGCGAAAACACCATAGAAAATACTATGGCATACAATTAATTACAAGTAAAAAAAACAACATGATAAACAATGAAGCTGTCCAACTATTTTTCAATGTTGAAGACTATTGAGCACCTAAGTATTAAAAGGTCTGAAACTACTCAAACTAAAAAGCAAATAAAAAAGATAAAACTTGCACCTGGTTTGAGCTATGCACATGAAGAAGAAGACAGTTCAGATATTGATAAACTAATTGAAAATGAAGATGTGGGGCAAAATGTAGTCGTGGAAGATGATCAAGATATTTTCTACCCAGTAAGTTAAAATGGCAATATTCTATTAATGATTTTATTATTTGTCATTAAATATGATAAAACCTTGTATCTTGGTCATATAATAAATATAACGGAAAACGGTGCATTTATTTAGTCCATGGAAAAGTCTAAAAATATAGATGTTTTGATATCATGATGAAAATAAAGCCACTAAAACTTATCAGAAGTTATTTGTAAGTTAACGAACTTGAAGTGTATACAGAATGATAAAAAATTTGTTTTATTGTTATCAAATTATTATTTGTAAATTGTTATAAGATCAAGTTTATAGTATTTAATATATCAATAATTTAATATGAAAACTACTAAGTTAATTTGAAGACTGAAAAAAAGTTTTGTTATTCATTGGAATTGTATTTAAATATTACATAGTCGTTAAGTTTTCCTTCTTTAATTTTGTTTTGTTTGCTAACATAGGTAGGTGCATATTCACTTTTAAGATTGAAACAAGAAAAAAGTTTTGTAATATAATTTAACTGGAATTAAAACTAGTAGATAAGTTTCCTTAGTTAATTTTGTTTTGTTTGCTCATACACATAGTCACTTACAAGATTGAAATAAGTATCATATTAAAAAAAAAAAAGTATTCACAGTACTTTAATTTTGTTTATTTTTTTAAATTACGCATATAACATTTGTATGTCCTGAGGTGAATATTGATACATTTTTTTTTACACCAAGATTACTATGATATTTCAAGTTAAATTTGTAATCGGTGCAGTCACCCAAACAGACATTACTTTGTACCAAAATTTAAAAAAAAAATTAAATTAAATTTTTTTATTTTAATCAAATTTAAATTTCAGCATTATATTTCTTTGTTTATACCTAAAAGACTGTAGAAATTATAATATTCTATCTTAATTATTAAAGTTATATTGTATATTATAAGTTGAAAAAAACAAGAAATTTGGTGCAAAGTATCCTCATTTTACAGTATCAATTCTATTTTAATTCAAAGTAATAATAATTGAATACTTTTTGAAATAAAATACCTATATAAATTTTTTATATAACTTATTACAATTATTATTTTTAATAATTCTGGAATGATCAGATCGAAGAAGACTGTGTTTTCTGTAATCTATGATCTCTAGTATTCTCTACTCTAAAGAACTTTGAGTGATAAATAGTTGTCCAAAAATTATAAGAATTCGGTAATAGGTATTGCCCTGTTACATATTGACATTTATTCACTATTAAAGATATAACTAGTAGAAGTACTTATCTCTTATTGTGCATATAACATATCTTGTACCTACTATATTAAAGTGTATAAAAAATTAAATCCTACTTACTTAGTTTAGCACAGTAGTTCTTAACGTGGGCGATACCATCCCTTGGGGGTATTTAGGGCCCACGAGAGATTTATTTTTGATTAATTTTTATCCAACTCCTCTACCTAATTATCTAATAAAAGAATGTTGTCTTAAAACTAGGTAGGTATTTAAGAAACTAATTTTTTATAAATCACTATTTTTTTTATATTAGAGAAAAATATACAAACTTAACTTATATCTATTATTATTACTTTTAGAAAAAATATAATAACCTATCAAGAAAGTAAAAAAAAGGTGGAACCATATAATGTGGTAGTTTAAGCTTTAGCCTTTGTTTTAATGATGATACTGATAGCTTTGCTTGATCTTCTAATACAACATAACCTATTAAAAACTTGTCAGTGCCTTCTTCTCCAATAGACAATACACAAACTGAATTTACTTCAGATTCACTTAAAATGGTAGCTTCAATTGCCTAAAAATAACATGTATAATATATATTATACACAAGTAATTAATATTTTTATTCTATAATAATATAAGGCTAATACACGGTGAAAATTATATACCTACACTAATTGTATAATATAAATACCTGTAATTCGACTGTATAACCTCTAATTTTGACCATTGTATCACACCGTCCACAAATCTCTAAACTACCGTCAGTTCTTAAATAACCCCAATCTCCAGTTTTATACAATCGATCACCAAATTCTATTGGTACTGTGCTTGGTCGTTTAATGAACCGTAAAGTATTTAATTCAGGGCGGTTTAAATATCCAATTGCAAGTGTCGGGCCTCCAACATAAATCTATATACATAATATTATATAAACCATGATTTACATTTTGATATCTATCATAATTCATAATTTAAATTAATAGAGTAGAATTTCACCTCGCCTGGTTTTCCTATGTTTTTTATTTTGTATTCATTATCCATTATCAATAAATGTACACCAGGTAAAGGTGCACCAACTGGAGCAAATTTACTTTGTTTCAAATCGCATACTTTAGTAACATCTAAACAAATGTTAATATATTTTTTGAAAAATCATAGGTATGTTTTAAAACATCTAAACTAGTTGAATATATATAACAAGATGTTTATGTTATATATAAATATTTATAAATTTCTAAATGATATGCATAAATATATATGTAATAATTTAATATTTACCAGCACAAGTTACGTCATGGCATTCAGATACACTATAAAAATTAAAAATTTTAACCCATGGAGCAATTCTTTCTATTCTATCTCTTAAAGATGATATCAGTACTTCTCCACATATCCAAATTTGCCTAATAATTTTATTAACAAAAAAATGTATTAAAATAAAAATAGTAAATATCAAATTTATTCAATATTTACCTGAGTGTTTTAAACCCTTCAGCTACATTTATACCTTTGTAATCGAAGACTGCTTGTAAAAGAGATGGTGTAAATAACATTCGTGTTATTACATTTTTTTGAAGAAATTCTAACAATCTTGGTGGATCATAAATAGTATCGTCAGGTATTATATACATTGGAAGTCCTATAAATATATTGATATATTACAAATAAATATAATATCAATGAGTACTGTTCATAAAAATGTTTAATTTATTAATTAGAATAATTATTTGTTTAATGTGGAATTTTAAAATTGTAGAAATCTAAACAGTTTTTATCGTGCAGGTTAGGTTGCAATAAAGTCATAGAGATAGGTATTCATCTCGTGCAGGTAATTTACATTAAAATTGCAAAAGTTACATTAATATTAGAAATAGGTATTATAAAAATTGAAACAAATAACTCTGAACTGAGCTCAATTTAGTGTAGTAAATATACAACATAATTCTAAGTTTGAAATGCTCATAATTAAAAAACTAATAACAAAAAATGTGAAAGATAATATAATTTTTATATTTAAACAATAAAAATAATACAATGTAAAAATAAATTATTAGATAAATCCATAAGATTTTAATAACAGTTTTTAGTTAAATAGGTCAGTTACATCAGAAAAATTTGTCGAGATAACTGTATAATACCTATAGGCTATACTGCGTGTAGCCTTTTCAACACTTAACCTACCAACCTATAGCATTTAGTCTTGTACGCCACTAAACTTATCGTGCCACTCGGCTACTGTACACCGCAGTTGCAATAGACGCCAGACGGTTGTTACACGGCACGGCGCTGGCATTTTGCCGTGACCGTGTAATGTGAAAAGAGCCATAATATAGTGTACTTATATATTTATGTATTAAATATGCATTAATATCAAAATGTAATCACCTTTAAGTAATGGTCGAATCATTTCCCAAATAAAAAATACATTACAAGCTTCTCTATCGTCATTTTCGTAAGGAAAAGCCTTATGTCTCCATGTAAATGAATATACAGCTCCACGATGAGGACATAAAATACCTAGGTTGGTTGGAACATTTAGGTGTTCTAATTATATTACAGTAACAAAACTTATAACAGAACTATTAAATGTTGAATACATTAATCTCTACCAATGTTTACATTTTAAATTTTTTAGAAAAATACCTTTTGGTTTTCCTGTGGTGCCAGATGAATACACCACCAAAGCCAAGTCATCAAGTTCTTGTTTTTCTTTAGAAAACAATTTATCCGTTGATAGTTTTAAATTACTATACCAGCCATTATCCAAAAAAATTAGTTGTTGTCCTGTAATTCGACGTCCAAATATTTCTTTAGTGAGAATTGCTACAGGATTTGAATCTTCTAACACGGAACTAAGCAGTGGTAATGGATATGAAACTTCTAAGATTAAACATGCGCCTCCTATAGTACAAATATATTTTGGGATAACATATAAAGTATAATTTACCTAAAACTATAGAGAAAAAATTGTCATACAATATCACAATTTATTTTTGTGAACATATTATAAATATTATTATTTAACGTGTTAAATATTTCACTATTAATTGGATATTTGTCTGTAATATTTAATAAATAATAAGTATTAAAATAAAAAATGAGAAGGTAGGATAAATAAAGTTATTTAATGCATATATTTATGCAATGATCAACCATTGCTAATGAAATATGTTTCTGAGCTAAGTTCGGTTAAATATGAAACCCGTGATTTTAAAATTAAAATTTTAAACACGTAGGTACCATAAAACAAATTACTATATGACGTTAAACATTTGTTTTACCGTTAATAAGAACAACTTATGATTAATTTCGTATAAAACATAAAACTGTTACTGATCGGCTAAAATACCCAAACAATTTTAAAAATTAAAAAATTACTAATGTCTACAGTGGCGTGACGTACATATGAGCAGTGAAGCGTTGCACTTTCAGTTGTAAAACGTTATGGGTATATTTTTAAATTAACAAATTAATATTCAACCAAATAATGTTAAAATTAAATTAAAATTATTATACTATTCTTCATTGTTATTAAATTTTGTTGATCGTATTATTTTTATATATTATTGTTATTTGTAATTAGGTAATCTTAAAATAACACCGTTATCGTTTGTTTCCTGCGTTTCGGCGATCGGTTGCATTTTGTATCTTAATCCGTGTCGAAAATATTCCGTGCATATTCTTTAAATATGAGAAATAATATTACAACAGATGAAGCAATTCCAATTCCCTTTCCTGTTTTGCGTATGGGACTATTACAGTTTGTACTTTATAGTATACCTAAAAGTAATTGCATTAGAATTACTATAAGGAATAGTGGTACTGCTATATAAGCGATTATCGAATGTGGTACACGATCAATCATAATAGTTTTAAATTTTAATCGACATCATAATTATACTTATTTTACTAATAGTGTTGGAACGACACTGAAACTGTCGTCGAACGATAATCTATATATTTAGTACCTAATTATAAGTTGTGAATTATAGGTAAATCATAGGTAGATAATCGAGTTGTCTTATGAGTAAACTTGTAAATTATATTAGAATTTAGGATTAAAAAATATTATTTTGTTTGTAATTTAAAATTATCTAACACATAACTGTTAAAAAAAGTGTTATTTTATTAAAAATAAAAATATTGTTAAATAATATGTTAGTTTTCTAGGGGTAGTAAACAATATGGTACAGGTAGGTATAATTTTTAATGATTGCTTACACCTCTGACGACTCCGTGCCACGTCACTGAATGTCTATAAATAGTTAAAAAAATCACCAGAAAAACATTTTACGACGTCTAGAAAATGCCAGTATGCCCAAGTATTCTGTGATCATATTAATTCCTACGATTATTTTTTACCGAATTACAACAAAAATACCAAATCTGAAATGGTCATTTCCGTAAATATTACCGTCTTTACAACGTATTTCCCAGCCATTGAGAAAACTAAAAATCAAAAAACCACCTCCAAGTGTACAACTATAGACGAAATTGACTTTCAAAAAAGATACTACGCTTGAAAATTTGAGCAAGATTTCTGGTAAAAAGTTATTTATAGACAGAAAAAAAGTCACTTATATGCACTGAACTCTATACACTCTATATATAGTTCATTATATACCTGATATTAAAACCAATATACATTTTTTGTTGAGCTCAAGATCTAATAAATATATTATTATCATTAATATTGTACCTACCAGCTTTATGGATAGCAATGTAACTTATAGTATATTCCAAACAACGTTCCATTATAATACCGACCATTGAGTTTTTGCCTACACCTACACTTTGTAACTTCGTAGCTAATACATCTGTCATTTCATCTAATTGTTTAAACGTGACCTAAAATTTAAATAATTACGTAAAATAATTTGAAATTTATAATAATATGAAAATATAACTAACCATCGAGCCGTCTATATTAACAACAGCTACTGCATTTGGTGTTTTATTTACTTGATTTGTAAACATTTCGTCTAGACATCCATGTTTATCATAATCATACATATTTACAAAAGGAACACTTGACATTTTAAAAATGAATTGTATTCCAACGGAATCCCGACAGTAATTCTTAGACTATTTTTCTAAGACACCGAATTCAACTAGTGAATTACATTTGAGCACTATGGATTTATACACTATGTGACGAACTAACTATGTAGTTATATGTTCTGATTTTATCTATAACCAATTGTTGAATTAATTTTACATATGCCGATGTAAAATAAATGTGGCGTGATAATTTATTATTTTATTTATATACTTCATTTTTCTGTTCAAAAACTAAAATTGTAATCATTAATTTTTATGGCGTGTTTTATCTATTCAACCGCAGAAGAATGTCAAACAAATTAAAAATTACCTAGTATGTTTATAAGTTAGAGGTCACAACTAGTCATTCTTATTAACTTATTATAATACCATTTGGTTATAATTGGCCATTATTTCTTCGTAATATCTATATAAACAATATACAAAAATACAATAGGTATTATTCATAAGTATTAGGTTAAGCTATGTATAATTTAAAGAAATATATTTTGATAATTAAAACATCATGTTATACTTGTTATATATTATCTATGATAATATTTTATATTATACAATTTAGTACTAATATTAAATATCTAAGTATACCTCTACAATAGTGATTCTTTTATCGTCAAACACTTATTGTTTCAAAAAATATTGACTGTTTTCCAAAGAATTTTAGTTAATAATTTAAGAAATAGGTAGCTCAAAAATATTAAATTACGATTCTTTTTAATCACTCTTATTTTTGAGAGTGAAACGACTATACTTACTTTTGGTTTTCAGAAGTAACCTGTATTTAAAATTTCATAAATGGAGTACCTATCAGTTTATTTGTTGATTTATGTAAAAGTGTCAACCTGTTTATGATGTATTCCATTTTTAAGTTTCGGTAGGAGGAAATTAGTGGAGCATGATTTGTGTGGCAGCATGGTGCGCGCGGAGTTCCTAACGATTTTATAATTTAAAATATTTAAAATTGTGTTATCTTTGACCAAATTTTAAGCATAGCAAAAGAAAATGTCTTGTTTGTGGGTAAGAGAGTGTCGATGTTTGATTTTCCGTATAGTTTTTCCAATCATTACTAAAAATCGGGAAAACTTAGGAAATACGGGATTTAGTTTTTTTGTTGTTATTCAGTTAAAAACTATTGTACACACCTGTAGTTTTCACAAAATAATTATATTGGCCTTTTGTAAACGTATTGAAATTGTTAAAACATTCTAGCTATTAAAGCTATTTCTAGGGATTTGATATTTTCATGTTTTTTTTATTTACAGGTAGTCATAGCCGGTATGTATTTGTTATTAAAATTACATGAATTACTATAATAAGAGATATATATATATATAGATATATATATAATAAGAGAAATACTTAAAAATTTAATACAAATTACAAGCGTTTTAAGATACAATTTTAACGAAAAAAAATTGTTTGGTTTTCCAATGGGTTTTTATAATGGGACGAAACCGGAAAGAAAATTATAGGTAAAACGACAAATATCCACGGTGCGCTGTTACTGATTATTTTTATTGATTTGTATCATTGTTTTTAATTTTCGCAAACTAGAAATATTGCTATTATCAAAAAATACGACTCCAATAAATAAACGACAAGAGACCTTTTATGTTGTGTTTTTAATCTAGTTGATAAGTGAGAAAACTAGTTGACATAGGTGGAACTATGGGGAATGCTGGCACTAATTTAATTTATAAGTATGTTTATATTGGTAATAATATAATTTTAGATTCTGGGTTGAACAATGATGCTATTTTTTCATTCAGATTTGAGGTTTAAAATACCATAGGTATATTTTATAGATAAGACTTTATTATATTATAGTAATAAAAGTGCAATAGATATTCAATTATTTGAACCTCGTTCAAATTAATACGTTAACCTCGTCATTTAAACGTATCCTGCAACATCTAAGGAACGAATCTTTTAATGACTGGATTTCATCCCTAATGACCAAAGACAACTCGCCCTGGAGAGCAACACATAACTGTTTAAAACAAAAGCCCGCCCCAACTTACTTAAATATTTTCGATGGTACTTAATACAAATTAGATAAAGAAAAAGCTGAATTTATCTGTTCTCATTTTCAGAAGTCTTCAAGCCCCACCAACTCATTGGTAAAATTACCTTCATGGAAACAATCGAAAGCTCTCTTACTTCAGCCCTACCACTTTATCTTGCCAGCAAACCTTTTTCACTAGGTGCGGTTCTTCATTTTATAAATACCTTTCCACTAAAAAAATTAGCCAGAATAGATCTCATCACAGCTGAAGTAGCCCGACAGCTGCCAAAGACGGCATTAGTTCACCTAACTCACATCTTAAACTCTATCTTGAGACTTTTGTACTTCCCTATTCAATAGAAAATCTCTCTTAGAATACTAATTATCGAACTTGGCAAACCTCCCGATACTCCGATATCTTATCGCCCAATAAGCTTGCTTCCCTTTTTTGCAAAACTGTGTGAAAAAAAGATTTTAAAACGAATATCCAACACCATCAATGACAAACAAATCATACCTTGCACGCAATTTGGCTTCCAAAATAAACATTCCATTATCCATCAAATACACCGCCTAGCTGATTCAATCACCTACTCCTTGGAAATGAAGTTATACTGCTCAGCTGCCCTACTCTATGTTGCTTAAGCCTTCGATAGAATCTAGCATCCTGGTCTCTTACACAAGCTAAAAATAATTTTTCCTCCACCATACTATTTATTTTTTAAGTCATATCTCGAAGACAGATTCTTTGCCACAAAAGTTGGCTCTGAAATCTTAAATTTGGCCCCAATCCTAGCTGGTGTCCCCCAAGGCGCCATCTTTTCCCTCGCACTATTCAACATATACACAGCCGATCAACCAACCACTTCTCAAACTTCTGTAGCCGACTTCACTGACGGAAAAGTTATATGCATTTCCGAAAAAAATTCACCTCTAGCCAGCCAACACTTCCAAAGTCTTCTAAACCTACTTGCAGACTGGTATTCTAAATGAAGAATACAAATAAATAATGAAAAATCATCCCACATCATCTTCACTCTCAAACAAACTACAGTACCTCCAGTCTATTTAAACAATAAAGTTATCCCTTCTTCCTCCAATGTCAAATATTTGGGCCTCACACTTGATAAAAGACTTACCTGGACCGTACATATTAAGCAGAAATGTCTCATGCTGAATGCCAGACGAAGAGCATTCTTCCCAGTTATAGGAAGGCAAGTTAAAACTAACCTAAATACAAAACTGCTACTATACAAAACCCTCTTTAAGCCAATTTGGTTACACGGAATCCAACTGTGGGGAGCAGCAAAAAAATCCAATACTTACAAAATCCAAAACATTCTAATTGACCTCATTACGAATGATTACATGCGTTCCTCCGTACGTTTCAAACCACACCTTATATTCAGTCTAAACAATTTTAACTGTTCAAGAAGCTAAAAATTCCTAAAAATTATTCCGTGTCCGTCTTATAAACCATTCTAACACACTAATCCGTTCTCTAACCTCTGAATCCATTCCAGGAAATCCACCTAGAAGGTTAAAGAGAAATTGGAACCGTGACCTGAAATAACCCTTTCTAGCCAGTAAGTGTCGCCACTGGGTGATTACTTCATCATATCAACTTTGCCTTCTTTTTTTTTTATGTAAATCCTCTAACATGCTTAATATAAAACTATATTCTTGATTGTATTTGTTAAAAAAAAAAAAAAATTGAAATATTTAATATCCACTAATTATTCATATTTATCTCTAATTCTATGCGCAGCGCCATGTAAATAAATTAGAAAACAAACTCGCATATGATGAACGTTATTCGTTACGGAGATGTTCCTCTCTTGCATGTCAAGAACTAACTTCGAACGGTATGCTGTATGCATCACACCGTCCGTTACAGACATAGATAATATAATGATAACAAATTGTGATAATAATTTAGAGAGCTTACAATATATATTGTTGAAGGCTGTGCAAGGTGGAACTGTACCTGCTGGTCATTGGATATAGTGGATACGGACTATCTGAGTTAAGATATTATAATAAAGTTAGTGTCACTGGAATACTGGATAAACAACAAATATACGTGTGTCGTCACATAGAGTTTATTGTTGGTAGGCAATATACTAAACTACTCCTGATCATGTGTTGTGTTATCATTGAGTTATAATGAATGCACATTGCACATAATAATTTTACTTGTTATTGATTTGTTTCGACCTTTTATAATTTTTAAAACATTTTATTGTGATAGGTACATGTTTGTTTTGAAGTGTTAAATTTTTGTATTGAATTACGACTTTCATTTAGTTAATTATAAAATGTGTACAATATTTGATCAAATAAAATTGTTGCACAGCCAAAAGTTATACTCCAATGTTATAAAAGTGGTAAATTTTGATTCGCTTTACGTTTTGTATTTTTAATGCGTTTTAAATAAATTTCACTCGTGTTTTAGGCAGAAATGGTTTTAAAAGTTAGTGAACATACAGTAGATATCTTAACTGCGCCCCATAAATTTCGAATATATTCATATCTTGGTGACTCACATTACTTCTTAGACAATTATCGTCAAGCAATAGCTGTCTATAAATCAGCTTTAATATTCAAAGATGCCTGTTCTACTACAAAAACCCTACTTAAACCAAAAGAGTGTGAAAGTGTAAAAGATCCTATGCCTGATGTGGGTAAGTAAATTAAAAAGTTATCAACAAAATACTATTTTCTTGTATCAAATATTGTTTCTTTTTCAGATATAAAATATCAATTGCATTTATGTTTTGTTAAATTAAAAGATAACAAACAAGCATTAACAATTTTACAATCAATACCAATTAAACAAAGAAAACCTAAAATTAATATGGCCATAGGAAAATTAAATCATTCAATGGGTAATATAATTCCAGCTGTTACTGCTTATAATAAAGTTTTAAAAGTAAGTATTGAGATATGAATATTACTTTATTTTTAAAGTTTTGAAATTTTAAAATAAATTATTGATGGATACATTTTATTTTGTTAGTCTCTAAATAGGATATTGGTAGTATCTTCCTCTGTATAATTATTAATATTTCGAACACAATAAATACTATATTTAATCAAAATTTCTATGTGCAATTTTTATTTAAACTTAAAAGTATTTATATTTATTCTTATTAGTTTTTTTAAATTTAATTTTCTATTTAAAATATTTTAGGAAAAGTATTGAGTATATAATTATATATTATTCATAGGAAAGTCTGTGTTCAACTTCTTATCTAGTAATCTTGAAACACGAATTGACTATTGTTGAGTATTTTTAATTCTAAAAAAACACAAATTATTAATAAACTAAAGGACTTCACTTACAACACAGTACTTATAACTATAACTATACATCATTAAGCTTGGCTAACTTTGGCACCCGAGAAATTACTTACATAAATGGAAGGTGAACAAAGGAGATATTCTACCTCCTCTCCTGAGAATTGAAAATTGAGCTAACTGTAGATTGAAATTAATTATGTATAATTAACAATAATTATTAATAATAACAATATTTATATAAAACAAATATTAAAATACGAATTTATAAAATAATAACTTACTCGTTCCTTTTACAGCTAACTAACTAGTTTACATCTATTTTGTATTTTAATTATGTACTAGGTGCCCTACAGAAGTCTGACAATTTCAATAACTTTTATTCTATTCAATATTTTTAAGTTTCGCGTATGTTGAATTACGACAACAACTGTTACGAGGCTCGCACATTGTGCCATTTAGTATTTAAAATAACTAGGGATGGACGGAATCAAATGCGTTTTGATCGGGACACGGTTTAATTTTCTCGTTGTGCGCAGTATAGAGACTTGCATTTTGATTCTTACATTTTATATTTTTCATAAAACTAATAAAAAAAAATTTTTAATTTTCTCTGCAAAATCGAAAGATAGCCATTTTATAAATAAAAATTTGAAATAAAATGTTATTAAAAATATTTACTAATAATGAGTCGTTCATTTTCTAAAAGGTATTTAAATAAGATTTAGAGTGCTAGTTTTAGTTTAAAAAAAATATACTTATATACATGTATAAAAATCATAGCATAAGGCTCAAATATTTATTTCAAAAAAATAACAAAACTTTAAATATTGAACATTATTATTATTATTATAGTTATTGCATTTGTCAATTTGTCAGATCTTTGTAGGACATATTTTTTTTAGGAGTGTCCACTTGCAATTGAAGCAGCTGAAGGGCTTTTGAATCTAGGCGTTAAAGGGGCAGAAGTGAACTCTATGATGATAGAAATGGTTGGAATTTATGGACTTGAATGGTTTGTATTTAATATTTATGTATTCATAATAATTTATTTATAATGTTTTTTTTTATAGGATTACTGGTTGGATTAAAGCACATGCCCATTTATTTAATCATACTGATTATCCTAAAGCCATAAATTCATTAAAACAATTGGATGATCCCTCATCACCTTTATGTAATTGTAATAGATTATTAGTAGCTATAGGAAGAGCATACTATTTAAATGGCGATCGTAAAAATGCACTTGTTTACTTACAAAGAGTTAGTTTTAAAATTTATGTTCTATAAATACTTTAACAAAATAAATCTTTTAGGCTTATAAAATAAATCCACTTATGCAAGATGGCTTGTCTACATTAGCAATGTGTTTATACATGGAAAAACACAATAAAGAATTAGACAAATTACTTCCAACAACTTATACTGATGAATCATCAGTTGATCCTTATATGTGGATAGTTCTAGCTTTTGTGTGTTTTAGCAAAAGTAATTATTCTAAAGCTTTGTGTTTAGCTCAAAAGGTATTTAAATTAGAATGCATTTATAATTTTTAGTGTATAATTATTTATATTTATTTTTAAAGGCTTGTTCTGTTGATCCAAAAAGTATTGAGGCACTATTATTACATGGTATGATATTAACTAGTATGAAAAAATACTCAGATGCTATTTTACAATTTCGTATAGCTAATGATGTAAGTATGAAAATAATTATAATATGTTTTTATTATTAAATTATTGTTATATTTTTTTTAGATTGCATCTCATATTTTTGATCCTCATAAAGGTATTGTGGACTGCTATATAGCACAACATAAAATGAGGAATGCCATAACTGCTGCAAGTAATTGTTGTAAACAAATGGATAACCATCCAAAAGCATATACAGTAAGTAGTTCTTCAAAATAAAAATAATTTGTATTTTAAATATTTACTTACACTCTTTTAAAAATTGTTTATTTGATAAAACAAAATCCCCTCTTCTTTTTATCTTTATTAATCAATACATAAATACTAAGTTTTTTATAAATCATTATTAACTTTTTCAATTTAAAAAAAGAAATGAGTATCACTCTGTCACTTAATATTCTATATTTAATTATTTAAAATTTATTTTATGATCCAGTTGTATTCCTCGATACTAATCAAGGATCCAAATACTGTCGGTAAAGCAAAAATACTTTTACAAAGAGCAATAAATGTTGATGACGGCTATTTACCAGCAATATATATGTTGGCTCAAATACTTGAACAAGAAGGAAATTACAGTTCTGCTATAATCCTATTGCATAGGCAGGCATTAAATCAACCAACTTGTAGATTATACCAAATGCTGGGTGATTTAAGTGTCAAGCAAAATCAATTAGAAAAAGCATTTGATTTTTTTTATTCTGCACTAAAGTAATTAATTTGATTTTATACATTAAAATACAAAATATATACTGTGAACACTTAATTATTAATGGGTTTAAAAACTTATCTATAACATATTTTGGACAGTCAGTCAAAACAATATACTAAAACTGATAAACTGACCTACTGGATAAAATTTTCTACTGTCACTGCTTACGAATACTGATGTAATATTTTGAATAAAAAAAACGGTTTGGCAACTATTAGCGAGACAAATTCTGTTGTCAATTTTTTTAATAATATTTTAAATAGAGATTAAAATATACTATTATTTCAATCCCAATATTATAGAATAATTAATACTGGATTCTATTAATAACTAATAAAAAATAATCAATTTAATTTATTTTGTTAGGCCCGTTTAATTTGAACTTGTATCAAACATGCTTATTTCATGTTCCCTTCAGAATAACATTTTTAATATTGACTATTTGACATAGACAATACACAGCACGTTTTTGGGTAGTGGTGAAATATGCCTATCAAATAAGTGGATCACGGCTATTACTTGTAATGGCAAGTTTCACATTAACATATATACAATGTTTTATATTTTTCATGTTTTTCGTTCCACTTGTCTTCGCATAATCAATGCACCTTATTGTAAAAATAATGTGTAACGACAATGTTTTGAAATTGCATCACGTAAGGGTGTATATTCTAATATGTGTTACACTGAAAATTAAACTATATTTAGTCACTTTTGTTTGACAAATTATAATTTTATAATTCAAGCCATTGGTTTAGATTGGAAAATTAGTAATTTAGACATTTTCAAAATTGTATTTATTTGTTTTGAAATCTAAACAAAATTAACTCAAGCCCTTTTTCCTTGAGACCAAAGATTAAAGGCTTTAGACTTTAGCCCGAATATTATGCATGGATGAATGCTAACACTAGTGACTCCAATCAAACACTGAAGGAGTTATTCAACATTGGTTCGTATTTGAATCCTAACACAGAAAACAGTAACGTACAAACGTTCAAAAAATAAATAATTTATTAGGTTAGGTAATAATTATGTTACTATAAAATCTATTGAACATTAATATGTATAAACTCTAATCAAATGCTTCTAATTAGAGGCATTTGGTTTATAAAATGAAATTAATCTATTGTAAGTAAATGAAATATTACATTTTAAACTAAATGGAAAACCACAAATATTTAGTTAAATAGTTATATTTAAAATTTTACATTTACACATGTTCACTGTTTATATTTGTATTACACTTTTAAATTTTAATAATGATCACTAAATAATATTAATACGTAAATATATTAACAAAATAAATTTGTATATTCAAATTTTGGTTTGTTTAGCCTTGACCCTAATAATAAACGAGTTATGGAGAGTTTAGAGAGTTTGGGAAAACCATGCAATACTTCTACAGTGACTTCCGCCGATTCAACTGGACCCATATTGAATGGTTCACTTTTAGATGCAACATTTAGTGGTGTAAACAATGCTGAAAATGAATCTACTCCGTTCAATGTTGCTCATGAGGAAGATACATTTATGGATTCTGATCACGAAGGATCCGGATCAGACATATCCATATAATTATTATTATAAGTACCAATGAATTTAGCAACTTGAATAATTCCCATTATTGTTCAATTTTGTGATTATGACATGAATAATGAACGATCTCGCCATTTGGACATCTTACAAATGCGCTATAACATTAATTATTATTATAAAATAACATTATTTTTATTTTTTAAGTAAAATACCTTTGATTTCCAAATCTCTTTTTGCATACTCTACAAATATTGAATTCTGTTAAGGTAATATTTTGTGATTCATAAAATATTCTCTGCTGTTGAATCTAATAAATAGAATTAAGAACTATTATATTAAGCATACAGATAAACTAATAAAACTACATTTTACTTTTAAAAGTTTTGTGTTAAGTAATCCTCGGTTTACTTGATAAAGCCTCCTATCGCCTATTGCTTTATCTAAAGCAATTACCAGATAATTACTTATACGATGAATTGGTATTTCATCTGGTAATACTTTTAGTACATCAGGAGTAGCAATTTGTGAAGCATTATTGTTTAAAATTTCAATAACTTTTTCTAAATTTGGAGCTGGTTTAGATACACCTCCCAATCCAGCTAACCAACTGTCTGGAGGGTCAATTAGTAATCTTAATAATGTTACATATATCTATTAACAAAAAAAAAATTGTAATTAAAGAAAATACATTTTTTGATATTAATTAATATTACTTGATCACAATCTTGGTTTCTTGATTTATAAACTGTATTACAATATTCAATTGCTCGATCTACGTCATGCAATACAGTGACATACATAGACAAAACTTGTTCATGGCGACCAAGTTTACCCAATACTATAGCACGTTCTTCAAAAAAACCTATAGAATGAATGTACAATTATAACTTGGATAATAACTTAACATCTAGTTTGGTCACAAAGACAAAAATAAGTAATTTATTATTAAGTGGAATGCATTAGTAAATCATAGACTGAGCTAGTAGTCCAACCAGGATTTGTCAGAAGGGTCTAAACAACTGGATTGAAGATTTCAGAGTAAAATATTAATAATTCCTTCTTTTAAGTAATTTTAAAACAAATATATATATTACCATCTAATGGAAAATGAACTAATACTGTTTCTGGAGTATAATACTTGGATTGTTTTAAAAATTCTAAAAGTTTTGCTTTAGTATTTTGAGCAGTTTGTTCATCAGCTTGCATTGACATGTTGTTATACTGCTGAAGTCTTTCTCTGTATTGATGTATTAAAGCATTATGACATATAGCGTTAGTATCATTCCAAACATGAATTACGTGTTCCAAATAAGGTATAATTAGATTTTTATGATTTCTAATTAAAAAATCTAATATTTTAGGTCTAGAAAATTGTTCAACTTCAGCAACATCTTCGGTAAATATAGTAAGGCCATCTTCTGGGTACTTATTTAATACCCAATCCGAAAATTGAAGAATTAAATCAATATGATTTGAACCTATTAAAAAGATATATTTTTAAATAAAGAATAAACAAAACAGGAATCAGCAATTACCAATATTTTGTAGGTACTGAATAGTTCTTTCAGGTCCTTTGAGATTGGAATCAAAATCATCTGACTGTTTTTGAAGGAGTTCTAATGCTTTACTATGAAGTCCTTTAGTTTGATACAAAATTATTAGTTCACTGTATTTTTTATACTTTTTTAATGTTGTTTCAGTTTCTAACAAATGACAATGGTTCAGTCTTAAAAGTGGTGCTATTAAAGCATCATTGGTCTACAATAAAAAAAAAGTATTTAAATATATAACTTACAAATATTACTTTGAACTATTTTTATTTTTATCTTAATTTACTTGTAAATAACATTTTAGGAGTGTAGTGTCTATTATTTGAAGTAACTGTTCTTGATAATTATTATTCATTTCAATAATGTCTGATTTATTTTTGACTGTAGGTTCTTTTAAAAGTTTGTAACGCACCTGTTAATTCATAACAATTTAAGAATTATCTTATAAATGCAATACAATTAATTTAAAACTTGTATTACTTCTGTCAAATATTCTATCAATGCAACAATTTTCATTTCCATTTCTTTTTCAAGTATTTCTTCTCCATAGTCCGAATCACTTTGAGGTAATAAATTTGGAAATAATCTTATAACATCATATGGATCTAAAAACAATATAGCTCTATATGAAATTAACTTTAAAATAAGTGGAATACAATTTTCAGTTTCTTACCAGTATTCAACTTCAAAAATTCCCTCATGGATTCTTGATACTTCTTTTTCTCAAACAAGTCATGAGCATATAATGTTCTTATTTGTGATACATTTTTTTCTTTATCATCAACAGATTCATCAGATATATTCTACATTATATTTTAAATTGTTATAAACTACATTCAAAAATGTACTTTTTGTTATATATACTATATACTGTATCATATTACATACATAATACATATATTATTGTAATTGATTCCCTATGTCTAATTCCATATTATATAAACAATTTCTATGTATAGGTTTATACATACAATAGGATCAAAGTGGGGGAGATGTCCAGAACTAGAAACACTCTTGGTTGTGTAACTGTATTCTAGACTCAAAACAGAATATTTTAAAAGTAACTGGCAATAATCAATCTTTTCTAATAAAAATGGCATTTATCATGTTTTGTAGCTTGAGATACAGTACATTTTGCTTTAAATTTGTTTAAAACTAAGAGTTGTTTGTAAATCCAGAATTAGAAATTATTTAAGAAATACAATAGTACAAGATAAGGGATAATATGTGCTAGGAATATGCTAGAATATACTAGTAAAATTATGTGAGACTCGATGAAGTGAAAAGAAGCAGCATAATAATTATGTAATAGGTTAGGTAAAAAGTTGGTGTGTTCCTTGTACAACAAAAAGAATATTTGACAATGTCATAATATAGGTATCTTAAGTTTATTTTATTCCTCATTAAATTGTTTATGAAATATTGAAATATTATGTTGAATATTTATAATAAATCACTTACGGCCAGTTTTAGAGCTAGTTGAAAATCTTTATCTTCAAGAAGTCGTTTAATTTGTCTTGCAAATGGAACTGCTTTTAAACAACAAACATCCAATGCAGATGATGCATAAATTAAACCATTTTGACAAGTAAACATACTCATAGTTTTAGAAGTAGTTGATATGACTTGACGTGCAATAGAATTTTCAACAGGTTCTATAGTTTGTATATATAATTTATCACTTATGCTTGCTATTAAATAAGGTTCATCATATACTAAAATCAAATTTTATAATTAAATAAAACTAAAACATTTTATTTTCATGGTTGAAAATTATAACTTACAAATAATAGATGGTGTGTCAACCCATTTAATAGTTTGTTGTTCAGCTTTATTACCTGTTGTACTGAAAATAATTACTTGGGCATCTTTGACAACACCAAACATTGTGTCCGATATTTTAGTTATTATAGGTTCTTGATTTTTTCCAGTTAAGGACAAAGATGTTATCTTTTCCATAGTTACCTATATAAATTATTTGAATTTAGTTAATGTTATAATCTAAATAGAATAAGCTATTTAATTTAAATGTAAATAATTAAGTACCTATATTAATAATTTAGTAAATATGTATTATTATTACATATTAGTTACCTTTATGATAAACAAGAGATAATATCAGTTTTTAATTATATAGATTGTTTTATTATTTATTTTATTATATGAAATTTTCCTATTTAATGTAAACAAAATAGTAACAATTAAGTATAACATCCATCCAAACATTAAAAAAAAAAAATGCAAGTGTAATAAAATTTTACATTAAATATTTAATATTATTTGAAAATATGTTAGGTACCAACTAAAAAGTATTACAACACTTTTCTGATAAGTCTATAACTTGTATATTAAATAATCTTGTTTGAAATCATGTAAATAATTATAAATACTTACATCAAATAAATAATATTCATTTTTACAACCAATAATAACCGCTTGATCACACCACACTAATGTACGAGGTATATCTGGTAAGTCAATACTTTCAGAATGCTCCAAAAAATCTTTGCCTTTCCAATGGTAAACTTGCAATTGTCGCTTAACAGCTACGCAAAGGCGGACTACTGTATTATTGGAATTAACTTTTAATCCATCAGGAGTCTACAAAAATTTATTTAATTCATTTTTTTTTTATTTTAAGGAATCAAATTAATTAAAATAATTTACTTTGACATCTATAGTAAAGCAACTGGCACCTTTAGTTTTCTGTAAACCAGTTGTTTTTAAATGTATTACTTTATCTCGAGATACATCAAGTACACTAATTCTTTCTTCTAAAAATTAAAACAATAATTTGATTACATTGATAAACAATTTATTATATATATATATTAATACTGAAGTACCTGATAAACAAATCACTATTTGGCATTCTGATATAGCAGTTAATTGTAAAATGGGTCTCTTACTGAATGTTTTATTACAGTCAACTAGTTGTACTCTAGGGCTAGTAGTGTACAAAAATATGTGTCCCAAACGATTGCCAACCAGTAGATAATTATCTTGTTAACAAAAAAAAAGTATTAGAATATACATATGAATAGTTGTACTAAATAGTTAAATATAATTTGATTAGTTTTACAAGTAAGAATGATGAAAATTTTCCTACGATACTCAACAGATATTTAATAAACAGTATAGTCTAATTTCACTTATTAGATTTAATATAAATTGTAGTTTTTTGATATCAAAATACATGAAAACATTTGTATATATTGTATACTTTGATAATTTGTTACTTAATGTTTAAGGTTTACTTATGAATTATGATTGATTTAATTACCATAAGCAGTAATGCTTTCAATTTGTACTGAATACTTCAATAATTTTGCAACTTCATACACGTCATGCATATTGATTTTTGGATTGTCAATTAATTTTAACTAGTAAATTACACACAAACCAAAATGTAGTATTTTCGATTTTTTGATAATGACAATATAAAAAGCATAATTCAAATATTAATTAGTAAATAAATTAGTTGAACAGCTTAAGTAAATAAATTGATAAATTGGTTAAGCATTAGAGCCATAATATATAATGTGAAAATATAATGGGTGTGTTACCAAAATTTAATTTTATATTAATATAGTAATAAAGCCATGGTAAATTGTATCATGATTAAAATAAAATAATAATAACATGCATTTTATTTATCAACAATTTGTTATCAATTTTAGTATATGCATTGAATGGTCAAAGGCACGATCTTAGAAGATAATTTTTTCCGCTCCAGACATACCCGGTTATTGCCTATTAGTAATGAAATAAAATTGTTTGATAAGGTAAAATTATTATAATGATGACAAAATACATATCGCTTATTCTTTTCAACGTCATATCTCAAAAAGCTCGATTTTTCAAGGAGTTTAAAGTTAGAAACCAGAATAAAATCGTTTAAAATAAATACTCATCCACCGGTTGAAATTTTAATTATGTGAGACCTCCTTTATAGAAGAGACCTGAGTTTTTTCCTGAGTCAAATTAAGAATTTACAGACACACCTACTTCAATTTTATTTATACATGTATGTATAAATTATCGTCTAATCATTGTCATCCGTGTGGTTTTATAGTCTATAGATTACAAATGAAACAACAAAATTTCCAAAAAAATAATTTGTTGAATATAACTGTGTAACTATCTACTCTCTCAAGGGAAGCCCGGCATAACTAATTTTAGTTGTTAAATATCTAAAATCTAAAAATTATTTAGAGCGATAAATTGTAGAATTAGGAAAATAAATTAAATAAAAATTATTTAGGCATACAAATTTATTAACTATACGTTATAAGTTATTACATAGGTATTACGATTAGTACTTCTACAGTTCCTATAGAATAATTTCGAACTGTGCGACTGTGCAACTATGGATATAATTAAATCCACAAAAGGAAAAAATAAACGTTTTAATACATACATACATGCATACATACGATATTATATATTTTTTAAATTATTTATTATTATTATTATTTTTGACATCTGTATGCACAATAAATATACATTCAAACCATTCATTAAACTATATTCAATTTTTTATTTTTATGCATATAACTTTACAGTATACCTAGTTGTTATTGAGAATTGTTTAAACTGGGGATTTTTTTTTCCGGGATTCCAAATATAGATACATAAAACAATTGTTTTATAAAAAAATGTGATAATTTCATTTAGGATTTACCTTTATGTGCATTTCAACAGTTTTTTTTTTTTTTTTTGTAAATGACTTAGGTAGCAACTTACTCTAAAATCAATTTATGATAAAAGCTTTGATCCCTTAAGATAGTGACTTAGCTTCTCTTCTTTACTTAATCTAAACATCTGATATATCTATATCTTCCTTCCTTATACTGATTACTTTTAACGATGATACAACTTTCTTAGCATCTGATACTGATTCTACCATTGCAAGTCTTAAACTCTAACAACACCACAATTCATTAGAAACTTGGTTCACTAAATGGAAAATAAAAATTAACACAAACAAATTAAGTCATATCATATTTCTATTCGCCTCTTTAACTGTCCTCTAGTTAAACTTTACGACAATGCATTAACCCAAACTAATCAAGTCAAGTACTTGGAATTCATTTTTGACAAACGCTTTACTTGGAAAGACCACTTAACTGATAAATGTAAATAATTAATTCTAAACTTCATTTACTTTGTCCCGTCCTACGCTCCAAACATACGTTAAACTCGTCTTTTATGCAAAACTTTACTTTTCTCATTATGGTATTACGACATTTAAATTTTGGGTCGTTGCTCCTACTAGCATTCAAAAAAATCTTTTCAATCCATTTGTCTACGTACTTTAACTAGATTCCCCGGTATATTACCAACAAAACGCTTCGAACCGTCTTTCAAATCAAGTAAGTATATCAACCAGATTACTCCAACGGTTTACCAAAAACTCCAAAGCAAATTCAACTCCCATACCAACCCTAATATAATTCATCTATCTTCAAACCATATTCCCAAAAACCCTTCTAGAAGGTTAAAAAGAAAATGGTGTAGGGACCCAACTTTAAAAATTAAATAAAATTACAAATATTCAAAGTAGGGAGCTACACGGAGTGCCTTCTTACATAATGACATTTTTATGTTTGTGTATAATTTTTCTCTTTATCATCACTTTTACTTGTACATATTAGTATAGTTGTACATTTTATTCTTAAATAGGAAAAAAAAGTTCTTTGAAAACTGAAATATATTTTGTCACACTACGTACACATTAGCTATCTGAATTTTTATCAAATATCAATATTAGTGATTATATTTTTATAAACGCTGATAAGAAATGTGATTTGCACAAATATTGATAAAAAATGTGAATGCTTCTGATTGTCGTGCAAGTTTGCCTCGAGATGCAATGCTTGATGGATGTTGCAGCAGCTGTCAATGTCGATTGTATATTATAAAAAAAAATTGTATGTTCAATTAGTAATCAAATTTCAGTTGGTATCATTTTATTAATTTATATTTAGTTGGTACTACTTATTAATTTCCGTTCATTGCTACTCCTGCTGTCAGTCCTGAGTCCGGTCGGCGGTCATAGTTTTATTCCTTGACGAAAGTTGTCTAACTGTATTTTGAGTGTTATTTATTTACTTAATATATTATAATATACTTACAATTGACTTGACAAAATGACTTCCACAAATTTTAATGTTGGTATTGGTGACATCAGGAGAAACACTAGCAAGTACGTTTACGTCGAATTACATCTTTAAATTTTTTTCTATAATAATTATGTTATGTAGGTACCTATATTTCGTTTGATGATAGTTGGTACCTATTTATTAAAAACAAAATTGGGTACTGTTGAATTTGTTTTAGAATATAATATTTATAAGATTACCATTATTGTGGATTGAAGGAGATTTATTTTAGTTTTTAGTTTTTACTATATGTTCAATAGGTAGTTTATACACACTATTAGGGCGGTGTTTTCCCGCTAAAAGTAGAACAAAAGGTTTTTGCAAACCTTTTTTTGTTTATTGTTCTTTGACTTGTTCTGATAACGAAATAAACTTATACTCGTTACTAACAATAATATTCTATTCAAATTATCTCTACTGTTAAAAATTTAAATGTATCTTTTGTATATTGTTAGGCATTTACCTGTTAGGGTGGGTAAATTTGTTTTTAATATGATACACACACACAGAAACAAATTTTGTATGAAAACTTGTTTTTTTATACTTAGAGTCATAAATTTATCATATAGGTACTTGATAAATTAACCGATAAAAAACCATATATTTACCTATATGGTGGGTATGTAAATACCGGCAACTATCCTATGTATTTATTTTCGTAATATTTCTTTGAAATATGTTATTGCTTAGTATACTTACTACTTAGTTATAATATATTGGTAATTTATTTCAAATTAAATAGGTATATATCAGTTTTACAATAAGTTAATATATGAGATATGCTATATTTATTCTACTGTATATTAATTGTTGGTGAGTTAAATAAAAAAATTTAAATAAATATTTTGGTCAGATTTAATTTTTTAAAATTAGTATTCTAAATGAATTGAAAGTAGGTATTAAGATAAAAACAAATGAGAAAGTAATCAAAAGTCAATAATCTTTAAATTTCTCTACTTTATATAATGTATACATATATAGGTTTAAAAAAAGACTTATTTTAATCAGGTGTTATTGAGTTCAAGATCATTGAATAGGAAAATTAAATAGAATAATCTTTTTAAAGGTATTGTTGGTTGCACGCCAGCGGTCATTTTTCGTGTCCGCAACTACAATACTTAATTTAATAATTATGAATTTATAATTGTTTTGGATTGCAGTGTAAAATATTTATTATATCATTAGAAAATTTAATTAAATATAATAAAAGATATTAGTGACAGCATTAATTATTATTAGATTTGTAAATACATACTTAATTTAATTGTCATCAGAAAACGTTATTAATTAATAATTATATACCGGAGTGTATAATATTTATTGAATATTAGAAATAGAATAGAAAATAAATAAAAATATGATATACACTTATGAGTAATATGTGATTAATAATTGATAAAAAATAATGTAGGTTAGTAGCTTATATTAGATGCATAGTATTTGCAATATGTCTTTGTTTTCTGTTATAAAATATTTGTCAATTTGTCTATTTCTAATTATGTACCTAATAAAATATAAATTGAACCATTTTATTTTTTGCATTAGAAATATGAGGTATTAAATTTTAATTCATAACAAAACTTAGTAGGTAATATAGCCTACTAATTGAAGAAAGACTAATGATATTACAAGATAAATATTTATTCCTGTTTTTTTTTTTATTTATTTATTTATAAATACCAGTTAAGAAATATGCTTGGAATAGGTATTTTAAACAACATTTTTTAAATGTAGACATACCACATAAGAATTTTTAATTGAATAGTTCTTCAAGTATTTTAGCATTTTAAGAACTGTTTTAAAAGAAGTTTATTTTTGATACCTACAAATAAATAAACTCATGTAATCTCATAGCCAGACATTTATTTTGGAGTAGGATTAGTGGGTACTGGATTTAATATCATTATTTTTGGAAGTGTTAAAATATACATACTTGTTATTCAAATATACACATATTTGTTTTCTTAGAGGCTTTCCTATAATAAAACTTATATAATACCCACAATCTAATATGGATTTTAAAAATATATAGTTACAATGTAGATCATATTTATATCAAATTATTTGAATAAAATTAAAATAAAAAAAAAAACTCTTGTGGCTCTTATTCAGAAGTAGGTAATTATCACAGTTTTACCTAGATAATGATAATAACATTAGTTATTGGTTATTACTTATTATTGTGAAATTTATTCAATTTATTCAAAAATATTTAGAAAAGTTCTTGTTCTCAGTCTCGTTTCACACAGGACACCATAAAGATTCATGAATTCAAAACAAGTATAACCAAACTTCGCTCTGAATCGTTTAGCATTAGTTTATTATTGCGTACAGATATAAATTAAATATAACATTACATATTCTACCTTTCCAACTATTCACCTACAACAGTGGCACATCCATTCCCAAGCTTTTCTTTTTTTTTTTTTATTGTTTTACACCTATACAATTATACTAACTTAAAAAATGTTGATCCTTGAATATCAAATTTCTAATTTTAATGAAAAAAAATTGTTTAAATCATATTTTAAACCAGCCAATTTTTGACAGCTTAATGATATCCGGTTTCAGTTAGTGTAAAATGCGGTATAGTAGGAACAAGTATTATAAATAATTAATCCAAACAAATAAAATAATATTCATTATACAATTATTTTCGTGTAATAATAAACCGTAGCGAAAGATAACGCTTTTTCTGTGCATTACTATTGCTTATGCATGCTGTGAGGAGAGAGTGTACGGTTTTAGAACACTGCAGCTGCTGTATTCCTTAATTTTACCATAAACATGATTTCGTAGAATCATGGTTTCGGTAGTAAAATAATCTTCGAGGACTTGGAATGATTGGAACAAATTTTTCAATTTAGCGTTTTTGTTTTTTCAGTAATCGTTTTAAAAAGTACAAATTTCAAATGCAAAGAAAATCGACATAATAAAAAATTTTAAAATCTGTTTCAACAGTCTAAATGGTCGGTTATCAGCCATAAACTCAGTTTAAGAATTAGATAAACGTCATTCTTACATTGGTGAAAAGAGCCCAAAAAGGTGCGTTCGCTTAGAACAATATGGTCCCCAACGCCGTTCGGTTTAGCGTTTGATAGCGCTCGGTAAATAATATCCATGACGTCACTAAATTTGAGCGCTACATCATCGATCCGCGCTCACAAACGCTCACACGAAATATGCAATGCAGCAAATTCGTCAGCACTTTGTTGTGTTGGTCACGAATTAAGATTATATTTAAAATTTTTAATATTCGTGGTATAGGCTAACGGAATAAAGCGTTTATACTATAACCTAACACTGGTAACAAATAATGGTAAGAACAAAACCTTAATCTCGAATAAATAAATCTAAAATTTTAAAATTATTGTTATTGAACTACTATTTTTTTATAATTTTAGTTTTTTGATTATTCGGTATAATAGTTAGGCAACTAGGTTTTGTCATAATCAGTGTTGGAACAATTATTATAAATAAGAATTCTATGCTAGAATTCATAATATAATAATAAAAGGGATTTTAAAAAAACCGTTCTGAACAAAGTTTGGTTGACCTTTAAAATGCAAATTTCTGTTTATAAACAATACCTAAAGTTAAAACCTGAGATGAGATTTGAGCTGTCCATTGTTGAACCGAGATAAAATAGTTTCAACATAATTTTGTATTCTAGATATTACATTTATTGGCAGTTACCCTGGAATGTGGTGAATAGAAACAGTTTTGAACTTTTAAAGCTTGTAGCATCTTGAGTATTTAACATACAATAATGATACCTTAAAATATGTGAGTACTTTGATATAGTACTATAGACAACATATTATAATTTATGTTTGATTTTATATATTTTATTAATTACCTTGCCTCTATTCACCTGCCAAGAAGTGGGATGAAAAGAAACATGTTCACTATTTTATCATTTTTTGACATTTATATATTAATACATATTATTACAATAATTACATTTTTAAAATTATTTATTAAATATTTAAGATTTAATTAGGTATTACAGTTAGTTTTCTGTTTAGGTTTGTCAACATTTATACAAATCTTAAAAATCTAAATTGAACTTTAATAAGCCACGTTTATAAACTGTTGGTTTGTCTAGCTTACCTATAACTGTTACATTCAAAATCACAATCGCCTTTTACATTTGGAAAACAATAAATAAATCCATTGTCTTACCTAGTAGATTTGCCTCTGGCAATATATTTGTATATTTCGTAAATTCGTTTTTATATACACCAAAAAGATGGATTTTTATTAAAAATTAATAAAATAAAAATTCATAATAACAAATTGTAGCATTGAAGACCACAACGAATATATAAAAACAAAAAAATATTCAATCTTGTCATTCGGAAAAAAATATTTGTATTATCATGTATTAAAACTAGTATGAACCTTGGTCACATAATCGCGGTGTTATCACTGTATTTGTAAATAATACTAACCTTATTATAGGTTAGGTGTGATGTTTATATTAACTTGGTAATGGTAAAGAAAATAGTGTCATAAGCCATTTCTCCTAAAAACCATTAGACCAGATATAATTTGATCACTTTTTAGTTTTATTCACCCCATCCGACGGTACTATTGGTACTGTAAGTTCAAAGTCATGGAATCCCCGAAAAAAAAATCCCAAAGGCAAATAGATATACTGTTAAAATTATATGTATAAAAAAAAAAAAAAAATTGAATATAGTTTAATCATCAATGGTTTGAATGTATATTGTATTGTGCACACAGTTGTCGAAAATAATAATAATTAATAATTTAAAATAAATATAATATCGTATGTATTAAAACATTTATTTTTTCCTTTTGTGGATTTAATTATATCCATAGTTGCACAGTCGCACAGTTCGAAATTATTCTATAGGAACTGTAGAAGTACTAATCGTAATACCTATGTAAGAATTAATACCGTGTAGTTATCAAATAAATATGTATGTCTAAATAATTTTTATTTAATTTATTTTCCTAATTCTACAATTTATCGCTCTAAATAATTTTTAGATTTTAGATATTTAACAACTAAAATTAGTTATGCCGGGCTTCCCTTGAGAGAGTAGATAGTTACACAGTTATATTCAACAAATTATTTTTTTGGAAATTTTGTTGTTTCATTTGTAATCTATAGACTATAAAACCACACGGATGACAATGATTAGACGATAATTTATACATACATGTATAAATAAAATTGAAGTAGATGTGTCTGTAAATTCTTAAAAATATTCTTATTTTTAATAGGATAGTTGTTATTGGGGATTTATTTGCTGAGATTTTTTTTTCGGATTACCAAAGTCATAGTCATCATCCTAACTTCCTTTTAACGAAGAAGAAAATACAATTTTGCCAACTAGTTATAAAGCTAGTCAAACTATTTTGCATTGAAATTGCCCATAAATAATTAAGTACTTTAATAATGGTACTATTAGGAGGTCATTTTTAGATTTTTCTAAGAGTTTTCTAATGAATGGGAAAAACAAGAATATGTATGAAATGTATTACTGAATATTACAACTTTCTTTTAAATGATTTTGTGGTACCATTAGTTTTTTCATGAGACAAAATTATACATGAATATTATATTTACATGGCTTGGATATTTATGAAATTTCGTAATTCGTTTTCTATCCGTTCAGATTAATGTTTATAGATAGACATTTATTTTATTCACGTATTGGGTGTCATATACTGAACGAAATACCATTTTAATTTGCATATTTTACGAATTTGTGGAATTCAGATAACCTTTGTACCTAGTGATTACTTTAAGAATAAACAATGGTTAGAGTTGAGTATTGAAAAATTTATTTTGTTTTTCTTATAGGTTAATACAACCGAGGGCTATAAAGCTTTTCAGTTTCTATTAAAATAGATGGATGTATTCCAATAATTAATTTTGTTTTTTATGTGTTTTGTAGTTCATATTATAAAATATTATAGTTACTAATAAATATATACATAGCAATTGAATTCACAGAAATCTTGTAAAACGTATTTAAATAATTCAAACATGGTTAAATCCTGAGTTACACTAGAAGTGATGCTTATGATATTTGAAGAACAAAATTACTCCATTCTTTATCGTAGTATAGTATTTGAAAACTTTTAAAATAACATTAAAATATTAATTGATAAAATTGTTTGGATGAAATTTTATTGTCAAATAATGATCAAAACCAATCAAAAATAAAACTGGTGGGTTAGACGGTTCCAAGATCCTTCCTTTTATTAATATAGATTTGACTGAAAAAATCATTTTTAATATTTAATTTTACCAAATGTCACTAGTTAATATTTCTTTAGAATTTTTAATTGTATTTCTAAGGATTTTTATTCCGAATATCAATACAATTTATTAAAAATAGATACTTTTTGATATAAATATTGTTAACTTGTATTATGTGCATACGTAAGCACAACCACAACCACATTTTTATAATTTTTACATTTTTACATTTTTACATTTTTACATTTTAACATTTTTACAAATTACAATTTTATATTATTTAGTATAATTTGGTATATTATGTCAGTTAGTTAATATTATTTTTAAATTGAATATATTTACATTAAATAATATTAAAAAAATATTTATATAGTATAATTATTTATTTTTAAAAATTGTTATTTCAGTTTATTTTCTGTGTTGATTTAAACATTTAAATCAGGTTAAAACAAGTTTTTTTTTTAAGCTATATAATTTATTAGATCTTATTGATACGGTATTTTTGTTGGTTTTTGAAGAAAAAAAGTTATAAAGAAAAAATAATAAATTTTTAATTAATATTCTTTAAATAATCTTTTGGTATGAATATAAAATAATTGACTAAGAAAGTGGTGCTTCATGATTCAAAAATAAGTCTGTATATTTTGAAACTTTATTAGTTTTGAGTTAACAACTTAATATTCTTGTGTTCAATTTATAATCAAATGTTTTCTGCAGGCAACGCCCTTCCTGAATATCTATTGTATCAAATCATTAACCTTTATATCCTTATTGTTTATAATTCTGCACTATATTAGTAAAAAATAATTGAAGATTAAAAGGAGTGCTACAAAATTAGATTCAATGAACGTTTTTGTAATGTTAGAAAAATAATTGAAACACAATACTGTTTGTTTTTTTCAAGGAAGGTTAATAAAATTAAATGAAACCTTTTAAAGTCTACTGACAGTAGTGACTATACTATAAGACAGACTTGTATGGTCATCATTTATTACATATTAAAAAGTTATAAGATAAAATATTTTAAGATAATAATTTATATATATATATATATATATAGTGGGTGCTACTGACTCGTAAATATAACGTTCAGTCGTTTATTAGACTGATTCAAAATCATTCTATCTGTTCTCTGCTTCGTCTATAAGGTTCATTTAGTTATAAGACTCACTTTGTGTTTGTGCCAAAGTGAGTCTTTTAAGTGTTGTCCACTGTATATAATATATCCATCAAATAGAAGTACAAATAATTACGAATATAAACATTTTATTTAAATTATTATTGAAAGTATTTAATATGTAGATAATTAAATGTGTTTTTGAAGATACATTTTAAAATTTCCCACTATTTTAAAATTGTTTCTAAAAGATATAAGTACCCAGGGAGATACCTAAGCAAAAGTAAGAACTATAAATTAAAATTCGTTTTTGAATCATTTTTGTGTATGAATTTAAAATAATTATGCACAGTACTGAATTACCAACAAATAATTTTATAACTAAAATGGGTTAAAATATAATTTAAGATTGTGAGAGTATAGGATCTATTGGTTTTACTATGTGTTTTGTTTTTCTTTCTATAAACAACTTTTCGAACAGATAACTTGCTACAATTCAAAAATGATAAGAGATGTGTTATGCTAAATTTTTGATCTAGTTGATGCCTTAAAGTAAAGAGGCAATTTTTTGATTTTCTAAAGGGTTGTAAAAATAGGTAGGAAAAATCGATAGCAAAATCTTAGAAAAAAACTGTAAACAATTATGGCGCACCGCGGCTCTACTGATTTCATTGTTTTTAATTACGCACTGTTTTCTACCGGAAATATTTCTATAATTAAGAGACCTTTTGGTTAGATTTTGAATCTAGTTCCTGAGCAAGTAATTTTTTTGATTTTTTCAGCAATTTTTATAATAATTGAGAAAAATCGAAAAAAGACATAAATTGAAAACTGATAAATTTATATTGTTGTTGTAATACAGGTAAAAATATTTGTAAAGACTTTAAACTTTGACAGCCAACTTATTTGCCTTTTTTAGACGTGGTAAAATTTTTGAACCATCTATAAGCTATTTTATGTTAACTAGTTTTTTATGATAGCTATGTATGTGAATATAATTACCAAACAAAAATTCTTGACAATTTAACAGGACCATTATTATTAGTTTAATCAGTGGTAAAAAAAAAAGTGAGCATTTTTATTTTTAAAATTATTTTAAGATCAGATTTTTAAAAAAAAAAAAATGTGAATATTACGGCATTACAAATCATGTATAAATATACTTAGCTTAGAATCGTTTTTCGTTAGCAACGGTTCATTGTTACTTACAAATATAAATAAAATAACTTTATGTATCCTACCTTATCGGCTACAACAGGGGTGGTGCGCATAAGCAGTTTCAACTCTTTTGTTTTATTTTTTTTTCATGTTAGTTATATTATAAATTTAATTTTAATATAATTATTGTTGAATTATTTGTGTTAATGGTGCATAATTTATTACTACCAAAACAATTGTAGACCAAGTCTACGAATTAAATTTTATTAAAATTTTAATAATAATAAAAAAAAAGTGCTAAATTTACTGGGTTATTGTCCTTAATATAAGTATCGTAAACTAAAAATGAACATTCACAGATTCAATGTAATAACATTATTTTTGTTCTTTGTATGACGATAACCGTTACTAGTAGGTAGTAATATCTAAGGCGCATTGTGAACCATTAAAAAAAGATAATAAAAGTGCACTCATCATCATGGGAAACATTATGGACCATGGATAATAGCATGTTGTCCGGGTAAAGGGTTTCGTAATGATCATGCTGGAGCTGGATACTTCTATGCTGTGGTTTTCCGTTAGATGTATATAGTAATCTTAAAAAATAATAATAACTTTCGAAAACTCGAGAGTTTAATTTTTACAGTAAATTTTTTTTTATTCTATTAACTACTTTAACCTTTAAAAAGTACTTGATAACAAAACAAATTATGTCTTATTAAAATTAATATTCTCATCTTAATGACTTGGTTTATCTGTGAATTTAAAAAAATTATAACTACCTATAAAAACTACAAAAACACTTGTATATCTATTCTGGTTAACAAACATGATATTTTAGAAAACGCCATATTGATCATTTTTAAATCTTTATTCCCCCCCCCCCTGTTCAGAGGCCGACGGCTTTATATTTTATAATGGGTGTTGAGGACAATAGAGTGAATGTGATGACCGTTCCGGTTTGGTTTTGATTGTTCCGCTGTGGCTTCGTGTTTTATTATAATGTTCCATTAAAACGTATATAAGATGCCACTATACAAACCCTAATACATATTTTACGCAAAATTAAAACATTCAACAGAATCATTAAACTGTGATAACTAACAGGTACCTAGTGATTATAAACTAAGGATTTAAATGTAGAAACAAGTTAAAAATACGTGGCCAATTACAGAAGTAGACTGTTCTAGAAAATCAGATCGTGAAACACGGAATTTATAGAACTGAGAAAGTATAATGATTTTAAAACTGTTTGCACGCTAACTGATTGGATTACAGATGTCAAACGTTTAAACACTACTTGGTTGCGTGGGATTTGCACGATTTAATCCAGATCCTTATTTTAAATTGGATTTACATTTAAATTGTTGTAATTGTAGCGCTAAAATATAATATAAATTACGTAGAAGAATTGTTAATTTGATTTTACACAATACAAAAAAGAAAAAAGATTTTTCTATTATTTTTGATCTTGAAGTTCAAATATTACCATCGTGATTTCAAAATTTACCGTTAGCAAATATAAATTTAAAAGACTATCTATATAGGGCAGTTGTTCAACCAATACAAAATGAAAAAGTATGGAGTCATCTTAAAGAGAATTGGAATAACATTAGGCAAGCGTATTATTAACACATTCACCCAAATAAATTATTGTTATTTCTTGAAAAAACTTCAACCATTATTATCCAATTATCAAACATTAGATAGGTATTTCAATACTAGTTAAATTTATTAAAACTTTTTGTATATAAGATTATTTAAGTTAACTACTTTTGAATATTGAAGATCTTTAACTGATCACTGCTGCTACAGTTTTCGAATGGCCGATAGACCGTATCTTATTTATGAGAGATTTGTCATCCATCGATAATTTGTAATTTGTTGATGGGTTGGAAATGCAAGGATAGATCCGGTACCATGCATACATTGTGAAGTATTTGACCGCAGACCTTGAATTCTCCATGTCACAGAAATCTAACAATATATAATCTTTAGTTGAAAAATATAAGATTATTGACGAATTCTTAACTTATTAATCTAATAATAACATTTTCTTTTGTAAATTTTCCTTTCGTGTATATAATATTAGAATTCGATAAACTAACAAATTTAAAAAAAAGGTTAACTTATTAAGACTATAGATAATTATGAAATTATTTCATTATAAACTGATTTATATTCCAAATATCAAAATACTTTTCTTTAAAACTGAAATTCATGTACATTTTTAAATTTGTTTATATAATACTTACATCAAATTAAATTGGAAAATATCTAAATTTAATCAAATTACCTAGCTTTGGTGTACTAAAAATATGGGTAATAACTGGACATTTTAATCCGGTGAAAATAATTTAATTCAGTACTTTTTGGGAGTTATTTTATTTTAATCCGTTTTGTAAAAAATCTCTTCACCGATGAGGTATTTTAATCCATTTTGCCATGATGGCGTATTACCAAACCTTTTTTCTTGCGTCGTAGAAGTACGTTGCTCCCATTAGCTGGTCTGAGTTATGTGGTTAAAATTTGATTTCTGATTAACCAATATGGAATAGTTTATTAAAATATCACAGAATATTATAATTTATCAATATTCGGATACGCGTAAAACCGCCAAATTGTACTATAGCCGAAAATGTTTGGAGTCGATTCGTATTTCAATCGAACTGTTATTAAGTCTCAACATATATTAGGCTATTTGAGTCTAATATTTTATTTAATAATTAAACGAAACGTATTTTAATCGAATTATTTTAGCGGAAACATATTGCAGCTAAATCATATTTAAACAACTTTAAGTACCATGTATGCCTAATTGTACCGCTCCAACACGGTACTTATACAGCTTTCGGCTCGAAATACGCAGCCAAACGGTTCGGCTATGAAATACGGTTAGGACAGTTTATTGGTGGTTGAAATATGGTTAGGCTGTTTTACGATTTGGTTAAAATACGAATTGGCTACAATACCTGCTAACACCTTTTCGTTTGAAATACAGTTCAATAATTTTATTTTTAATTGTTTTACTGTTTCCTCGATATTCATCTTTTCTGGAGTAATATTACAGAAGTAGTATAGTGCCTCTAAAATAAAAATCTGATCAAGATGTCACCTTATTACCTAAATAATATGTAGAACAGATAATTTGTATGACATTTAGGTACCAAAGTATCATTTTATCATAATATATTTATAATTAAATGAAAATAAAATAATTTTGCTAAAAATGTAAATTTAAACAGTTCTCATTAGTTTAGTAAAGTGGCAAATGGCCCAAGTGACATTGAAATTTCTCTATGTTTGTATTATACTATTTTTTTCCTTTTAGTACCTACTTAATAATAGGTATAATAAATTTCAATTTAATTATTTTACTTGATAAATTCATGATGATACAGAAACAAACCACCATAAACCCGTATAATATTCAATGTAGTCAAAAACTCCGATCACATTACTTAAATGTTTTCCGATTCTATATTATGTAGATACTCCTCGTATATTATACTTCCTTCTCATATTGCCAATTTGACAGTTATACCGCTTCTTTTAGTGTATATTAAACTGTGTAAATCCGGTGTGGCGTAGACGTAGCCTTTCAATATAAGGAAAACAAGGAGAGGGCTCCCATGATATAGGAAGTGTGGTTAGTCTTTTTTCGGTTGGTGGATCCGCCACAGAGTTATGGAAGTGTAACGTTGCATGCAGTCGGTCGACAATTTACCCGTAACCACGATACCGCAGCACACTAGGAAAACACAGTGCCCTATGCCAGCGCAGTCGTTCGTTGTCAGTGTTCCGTGTTTGACGTCTTCCCTTGTCCTGTTCAAGTCTCCATTAGTATTTCACCCGAACCATGGCTACCTATGCGTCGTACAGGCATATTGAGCTGGACAATATAGGATGTGGAAAAAAAAAGTAATTAACAAATTATAACAAATTCGTTTAAAATATTTTACAATATAATTAAATAAAATGTATAGCTACTTAATTTAAGGTATTTAACTACTGTTTTTTTTTTTTTTTTTTTTTTTTTTTTTTTTTTTTTTTTTTTTTTTTTTTTTGTTACTTTAGAAGTAATTATTTATACAAAATAGTTTTATGACATTAAATTATTTTTGTTCAGTTCTCGGCATATTAGATATTGTAATCAAATAAAAGTAATGAGTTCAGTTATTATTTTTGTTTACAAAAAAATATACATTTAGTGTTTTTGCTTCCATAGGTGCAAATAGGATGAGTTTTGGGACTAACATCCCCTAAATCGATCATAATTTATTTGACATCGTGTATTTTCCGAGAATTTTCTCTTTCACTAATTATTATTTTCTTTTGCCAAAAATAAACCAAAATCATAACTTGCGAACCTTTTTAAAACGATTTTTGGGCTTGTGTTATAGACATGTCAAACAATATGTTCCACGTTAAATTCGATTGGGTATGAAATTTTCATTCGAATATTCATATTATATAGTCAAATAGGTATCGTGTTTAATTTCGACAAAAATTGTTTAATTGCGTTTATGAAATTAGTATATCATCTGTAACTTAGATACTCTAATTAGTAATTTTTATAGCTACTTATATTATTTTCTGAACGAGTCGATGAATGTTTTATTTTTATTTATAATTATTAAAATTACGGTGTTAAGTTTTTTGAAGATTTTTGTGTAATGGTGGCTATTTATGAATATACTAAGCTTAAATATAATAATATATAAACCGTTAGCATTTAAAAATACTTCAACGGAACGATAGACACCGTTCTAAAAATATTATAATATATTATCTTAATTAAATGTGTACTTATGTTTTAATATTTGATACAGATTGCTTCGAAGAAAGACAATTAAATTTTAATTGTATAAAACAATTTGTATGCTTTGATGCGTATTCTAAAAAATTGAGTTAAATTCAAATTAAGTTGTTAATGTTAATTACATTTCGTCTCGCACTTTTATAAAAATAATTTACTATTAACTTTCGTGATTTCTGTTAATTTATATAATAGTTTTAAATATATGTGGATGCGTGATTTCGTATCTATGGGAAATGCTGTATTAATTTTCCTATACACAACTCAAATAACGTCACTTATCTCATATGATTGATGGTGTATCGTTTGTGACTTTAGCGTTTGTGAGAGTTGGGTTTTACCATCAACCTTAGATTATGATATTCAAAAGAGTTATTTCAGTCTTACTATTTATTTTATTAACCATGAAGTTTTTTTTCTCGTTTAATTTGCTTCACTTTCTTCGGCCTAGTGAATGTGATTAGAAAGAATATTATGTATTTTTCTTAGGAAATTGAACTATTTAGTTTTCCATCGAACTATATAAGAGTATTATTACAATTTTCGTTGTACAAAATAAAAGAAAACCGTAATTCACATTGGTGGGGTTGATGTACGTATATTATTGTGCATGCAAATAATAATAATGCACGGAAAATATACATCAATTTCATAAAAGTGATAACTATAGGTAGTGGTTTTTTTTAGTGTCTGGTACAGTGTATACAGATATAAAACATCAAAACGTGTATCACATTTTTATTCGCCGTTTGAAACCATATTTATATTATGTTTTGGTGCCTGGCAATTACCGTATTCAACTACAAAATTAAATGAGTTATTATTATACATTTCATGTGTAGGTATGTGCATTATGTTTTGTTCAAAATTATTCCCGGGGTAGAAAGGCGTGCTAGTTACGGTATTGTAACCCATTTGAATTTCCTATGTGCACGGTCCACCGAACTTCATAGATGTTCACTGTGTAAATCACTAATCGCCAGCATACCTACATATAGCAGCACGTGACTTCCTACAGGAATATTTTCAAATAAAATAAAAACGATTCATTGAGTTTCTGAAATACACCTATTTTTTTTTTTTTTCTAAACAATGTGTATCTACTTTCATAGAGGAAATGTTTGATCTATTGTAGGTTGTTGTCATCCGTTCCACATGCCACAGCGTGTATAGCTCACTGCTCTTGTCCCCGGTATTAACAATAATATTCCGTTTTATTATTATCATCATGACTACCCTACGTCGCGTTGTGTGCAATAGGGTTTAAAAATAAATCTTATAGGGGAAATACTTTTATATTGTTACGTATTTTAGTAATAATCATAAATCCATAACCTTCAGTGCAAATACAATTGATTAGGCATTATTGGACGCTTTCGGTTTTCGAACTATTATTTTAGTTTAATGGTAGGTATCAAATATTGGTGGGACTAATTATTATATTATCATTATCCATGAGTCGAACACATAATAAAATTGAAAACTGTTAGTTTTAGTTAATTAAACTCCTTATTTGTTAGTATACCCTAACCTCCCCAATAATCCGTTAGAAAATTAATAAAATGAAAAATTGTCTATAAATAATTATTTTTACTTAATTACATTACGTGTGTATTCGGTAATTTAGTTTATATTTTAACAATAAAAAAAACTTGTTATTTTAAGATTATGAAACAGGAATAATTTTTACATTTTAATTTTTCTAGCATTGGAGATGAATATTATTTATATTAGATACCATTGCCGAATATTATACACATGCACATAGATCACGTTCATATTAGGTATAATTTTCTCATTCAATATCTGTTATAACACTCAATTGCTTAAAAATTTAAAATAGTTTTATCGTACGTACAAGCTACACAATATACCCAAGTTCTATACGTCTTTATAGTAATGGACTTCAGTGGCAATCGAGCGTTGACCCTTGTCCGTTATAAAGTAAATACATAACAAATTACCCCTGCAATGACGAACGTTTGGCTTTACGATGTTAATATGGGTTTTAAACACGCATCAAGCATTAAAAAAATATATATACATATATATAATATTATATTAGCTACCCTATTACTTGATAGATGAACGTGCAATCTGTTTTCCTTTAATGAGATTACCTACACTGTGATTACAATTTGTGAAAAGCAATAAAATACTATCATATTATCAAAAGTATAATAAATTATTTTAATTATAATGTTCGGTCAATTCTAATAAATGATAAATATTATTTTACCTATACTTTTGATTGGGTTTCCTATAGGAATAGGAATACCTAATATAAGTATTTATAAGTTGAATGTTTTTATAAATATGGCCATTAGTTTTCTATTTATTATATGAATACAAACCAAGATTAAAATCCATAACCCTTACATTTGATTAAATAAACATACATTTTATAAAATCAACAAAACAATTACAAGTTAGAGGTAATGAGTAATGGCGCTGTGTTGATTATACGTTTATTGTTGACTAACATAATTTATGTTTTTTTAAAACAATTTTATTTTTGTAATGATTATAACAACATTTAATGTAAATCAATGATTTTACAAAACGGTAAATGTTAAAAAATTAAATTGATAAACGATTATTCATTATATGTGAGTACGTGACTCATACAAATTGAAATGTGTTTAATAATTTAGGGTGAATCATAAAATCCGAGGGTAAAATGACTGCGTCGAATCCCAATTATATTTTCGGAAAGATTTTATAGGGGTCCAAAGAGTGTGTCATATTATGATAAAGTTCTTTAAAGAAATACAATTAAAATATTGGACATGCGATAAATTTTAAACTGCTATATTGCATTTTTAACGTTGACAATGTCAACGAACGTAAGCAGCCATCTAGTAGCTGTGTTTATTATTCCATAGTTGTTCAAAACTTGATGCCAATGAATAGAAAACCCTCTAGCTATATTCGTAATCGGATGTACTCATTGTAGTGTAAATAAGCTTCAAGGTATATATTAAAATTTTTAATTTGGATTGTTAAAGAAACGTGCTCGAAATCAATGGCTCGTAAAACTTGTAGTAAATATAACGGTTGTTATGAAATTAATCTCGAAAACAGCACGGCATTCAAAATTATTATAAGGTTCAGTCCCCCGCGTCAAAATCAAATGAATTATACAATCTCAAATTACATTGGTGTAGACAATTATTATTTCATTTTGAGAAATACACTAAAACGTGATTATTTTTATCAATTTATCGATTATTAATTTTTAAATTGGAAACATCTTTAGACTTTAAGTAACAACTCTACGGGGGAGGGGGAGACTTAAACATGTACGTTACTCATAAATGATTGGTGGTTTAACCATTACAATAATTTAATTTTCTATTAAGGCAGTAGGAAATTATTATTATACAACTTCGTGTACTTCTTTTCGGTGTTTAGTAGGAAAATATTTAAAATTTTTTTCTCAAGTATGTGTATATATTAAGAAAGAAAAAAATTTAAACTTATCATGTACTTAAACTTAATTAATAAACGATGTTTTCTGAAAAGTATAGACAAGAAATCGAAAAATTGAAATTGAATAAACATTAGTAGATGTATTTTATCCAGCTTTTGATTTAAAATGTCATTTTTGTCTTTAAAAACTGCTATACCTCTTCTCCTTAAATGTGTATCAAGTAGTATATGTGTAACTAGGAGGGTGCTAAGGGTTACTCCCGAAAATACTTAATAAACTTTTATCGTCTCAACTATGTATTTTATATTTATATTTCTTACATAAGCAGAACAAAATACAGATATACAGATTACCTACAAAATATGTATGTGTAAAAAAAAGTTAAAAAGTTATGATACATTTTTATATAAACAAGTTTAGATGTATTGTGTAGTTACTTATTATAAGTGTTGTGCAAAGATAATTGTGGGAACATTACCCCATGGACCTGTGATGTGTCTATAATTTTAGCACCTTCAAAATTGGTGATCTAGTTATATGTTAGGCAATAGATTAGTGAAAAAGTTGTCATTAAAAGGTATAAAATAATTTTCAAATTTACAAAATTATTGAAAATTTGGAATGTTTCTAACCCGCTTAATAATGTACCCACTTAAAAGTTTTATTTTAATTAAAAAAAAATAAATAAATAAATAAATTCTTCACATTTACAGTATGAAAAATTAAATTTTACATTTACATTGTGGCTCTACTGATGGTATCACTTACTTCATAGTTCAACCTACACATAAAATCCAAGGTAGATTTCTTTATGTAGGTAATACAAAACTCTAGGTGCTCTGCATAAGTTGTTTCTCTTACCTAAAGAGTCAGTCAAGACAGTCAGTCAGTCAGTGTTAATTTAGTTACGAACAAAAACAAAAAAAAAAAACTACATTGTTAAGTGTCTGCTGTGATTTGATTCAAAATGAGTTTAAGGTACTTATATTATTATATTATTGTATGTATACAAATTATAAATAAATAATTATTGTGTTCTTTCCTTACGTTTTTTGTTTGTTAGATATTTAGTTTAAACATTTATATTATTTGGATTAATATTTTTAGAGACAAATATACATCATTAAAAATATTCTATAGTTATATTATACCTAGTTATAATTATAAATCTATTTTTTCCAATAAAAATTTATTGTGTAGGATGATAGCTACCAGATATTCCAAATAAGGTGAGGTCGTTCAAATATCGTTCAGTTTTCTTTGTCCACCTACATATTTTAAATATGTCATACTTCCATTGACCTGTTTTCTTTCATTGCCATTTTCTTTTTTTATAATTAAAAAAATAGGTATTTTAAGTTTTGTATTTTTAATAAATCAATTCAATATGTCTGAATTACCTAGTAAAGAAAACAAAACACCTCCTGGAGGAGCTTGTCATGATCTTTGGGGTGCTGAATTCTTAGGATCTCCGTGTCATAATAGGCAAGTAAAAGATTTTAAGAAAAGTTTAGGCCATTTTTATTGAATCAAATTTTTAATCTAACATGATTTAATATCAAAGATAATCTCATCATAATTAATTTACATCTGGTGATTGATACATTTAAAATATTTAAACATAATAAATACTACCTACTTATTTAGCTTTATAATATTAAGGATTAAAATTTACTTCAAACTACTTGTGTATTTATGTATTATAATTTATAATAATTAATATTTATTAATTTAATAACATTGTTAATTAATATTATATTTTTATTTCTTAAATGTTTGTGTGCTCAAAACAGCTCTTGAAGATTATAACAATGACTTCCATAAGAATTATAATTCTGTTTAAATGTATAAATATTTGGTATCTAATGAATTTATTCTATAAATAGAATAACACAATTTTTCATAATGGGTTATATTTAATTATTATATTTATATAATACTAATTAAGTATAAATACTTTAATTACATTTTTAAAGTGGTGTGTTATTGATTGTGATTATACTAGTAGGTAATAAATCTATTTTTCTATTCATAGAATTTATAATATTTGTATTAAGTTATGTAACAGCTTTTTAAGCATTACAGCTATATCTACTTAATTTAATCCAGTAACAGCAAAGCTCGTAATTAACAATATCAATTTAATGTCTAATATAGGATATGTTTTATGTCTAAAATAATATTTATTGTCTGTTGTTATATTTCAAATTAAACCACTGTTCAGGGTTTGTACATGGAATTATAAGTTATTATTTATTTTTCAGGGTCTTGAAACCACCTGGTGGTGGGTCAAGTGACATATTTGGTACAGCTTCAACAGATGAAGTTAACCCACATAAGCGTGGTACAAATCAAAAGAACCTTCAAAGTTCCATTATCTTGGGTGGTCAAACTCAGAAACAAAATAACGATTCAGATGTTGCAACTAATGGGAATTCTGGTAAACCAGGTAATGTACATACCTACTATGTTTTTATTCATTCAAAAAAAAAATATTGGTAATTATTTTACTTAATTATTAATTATATAATATAATATAGTTACTCAAGCTATTAATATTGAACCACAAATAGTTGTAAAAACAAACATTCAGGAAAATATTTCATCTGGAACTTTCCATAAAGGTAAGTTAAAAAAAATGTGTATACATTTGGTGTTGGTGTTTTTTTTCTGTGTATTCTATACATTTTACTTTACTGTTTTTGTGATAAATAATTTGCTTTATGCTTTTTAATATAGAATCCTTAAATTATTCACCTAAAAATGATTTCTGCACACAAGTAATAAAAAAGTATGACAGTATTTCCTGACTTACTTCACTTAGAATAATTATTTTCTGTAAAAATAATTGTATTTAAAATGAAATTTTGAGAATAGCTATTTAAATTAAAATTTAATAATTTGATAATGTTTTTTGTGAAAAGTAGAGATAAAATTATAATTATGAAAATCTTAGTCTTTTAGTCACCATCTACAATGTTAAATTACCTACCCGTGTAGTTGCCGCTTAATAATTTTGCCTGGGAATAACATAACATTTGCAAGGATTAAAACTTACTTTTCTAATATATGATTCTATACTTATGATATACATATTTTTTTTTTTTCAAGAAATTTTATGCTTAATTACAACTCTCTCAACATTTGAGCAAAAATTAAATACATCATTGTAAAATAGAAGTTACTATATTATAATTGTGTATGAATTAGTTTTTTGACCATACCTAATGTTAAAAGTCTAAATTCTACTAATTTGTAGATTTTAAACTGAATAAATCTAATAACTTTTATTTCATCAATGGTCATCTGTTTATAGAAAATTATTTTATAAAAGATTCAAGAAGTGGTCAATTAAGTATATGGCAAAAAGTTTGCATGCTTGTTGATTTCTATAATCCTGTACACAGACTTATTTACTAAATTTCCTTTGTATGCATGTTTTATTTTGAATATCATACATACCGAATCCTAGCTTATGTATTTTAATATTAAAGTATTTTTATTTCTCCATGTTTTATAATTATATATTCTGCATGATTTTTGCTTGAAGCTATTAATTCTGAATCTGCTACTGCTACTGGGGAAATTAATTATTACAATAATCATCAAAGATCATCTTCAAAGAAAAAAGGTTTGTTATTATAATTGTACACTTAAAAGTTAAGATTATTTGAAAATATTTTCTTTAGTGTTTTTATTTAAATATAACTGTGAGAAAATGTGTGAAAGTTTTAAAGGTAATCTTTCACATCAAGTGTTTCTGTTAAAATTTCATTTTTTTTTTTTCATTTTATTGTAATAAATTTAAAAAACTGTGAATAATTTGATGTAATTTTTTAAATTTATTACATGCTAATTTTTTAGATGGTAATCCAGTGACTGGGGAAGGTTATGAAGCTCTTAAGCCAGCCGCTGCTCCAGCTCAGCATGTTTCTGCTCAATCAGAACCAGCTCCAGAACAAAAGAAGGCTTCCCGTGTGCCACCGGGTGGATACAGTTCCGGCTTATGGTAATTGTTTGGCAACAGACATTCGACCAATTTACATCGCTTCATATTTAAATTTATGTATGGGTGATGACTTAATTTCATCAATAAAGTACTTATTTATGGTATACCTATATGAAAATGACTTATTTAAAAATAATGTACACAAAGGTATTACAATTGTCATTCTTTGAAAACTCAGCATTTGTTTTTTTTTTTTGTTCTCATTATTTAATGTGATCATATTGTTTTAAACTTTGTGAATTAAATTATTCCTAAAAACAAAATAAAACGTCATTTTTTATACACAATACAATATTATTATTATTACTAATTTTAGTATGATATTTTAGACTGTAATAAAAAACATTATCTCTAAGTGCCTTAGAGAAATTCATTAATACTTGTAAGTTTTTTTTTTTTATATATATACCTACAATAAATGTAATAGATAGTATTACTGCAAAACAATATTACTGTATCAGAACAAATAATTTTTTATTGTATTTTAGTAATATATGAATACAATATTAAAATATAACAATTTACATAGGAACTTTTAACTTTAACCAAAATTAAATTGTGAAATGACAAATTATATAAATTTTCGTATCAGTTATGTATTTAAAAAACATTTATATGGTGCATTATTTCAAATATAAATATTATTGATTATTTGTTGCATTAATTGTACAACATGTTTAGTTGTTAATACTAGTTATATTAAATTTATTATTTCAATTGATGGTTTTCCTATCCGTGTATCAACTATTGATTTTTTCCATAAATCTAGACAAGAATGATGGCGTTTTGATTTTCGATACGTGTCACAGGGCAAATTTTTCATTTTACAATATGTTAACTGTTGAGAATATTGCTGTAGCAACGTGTAATTATCGCCAGTGGGCGCTGCTAAAAATTCACACCTCTGTTGTTTTTTAATACAACAATATATTGAACCTGGATCGACTTCGAAATCCAATCTCAAATCGAGCAAGTCAATTTGAGCAATTTTAGCTAGGATTCCCGTCACGTATAGATCGTCTATCCAAAAATAATTATCCTGTCGAATTACCCGCAACAAGCTTGTAACTGATGTAGATGTTGCCACGTAAAGCCAACCAGATAGAAACGGCGGGTACGTATCGCCGTCAAATTCTTCTCTGGTCACATACCACTTGTTGTGTTTTTCCCTAATCGGTTTTGCATTAATCACACAGCCGGCTAAATCGTAATCTCGTCTTTCAACGACGTCTTTTAACTTGAACAAATTGACCGCAATGTCGTCGTCCATCTTAACTACGCGATTGGATTTCAGACAACGTTCCGCGTACCACTTCAGACCCATCACATGTTTGTAAGTCAAATTCCGATACGCTTCCTTAAAATTGCCTTGGACTATGTCGCCGTGCCGGGACGATTCTCCGAGCAATTGCGACTGGATATCAGTGCTGTTCGGCAAGCCGGTCATGAATACGTAACGGAAGCCTAACGCATCAAGAACGGTTTGTGGATATGACCGCCGGATAGCCCGACGGAATTCAAAGTGCCCGACATAACTATGAACCAGAATTGGCGTACAATTGAAACACGATTTACATACGTCGTTATCGATGACATACTTGAAACCATTGAAATTAATCAAATGCCGATGCGTATGATCGAAAAACGGTTTAGGCCTGACAAACCGATGGCTGTAGCTGCTATTATGGTCCGTAGAGAGTATATTGAAAAGGGTTACAAATAACGTATTGGCGAAAAGAAATATGAGAATCTCGTTTTTCCATAACGCAGCCATCTGGTCGATGATATCATCGACATCTGTTCGATTAACGTGACATTTATTCAAGTATTATAATAATTAACAATAATAATATGTACATGAGTACGTAACCTTACCTTATCTTCTATAAATTTTCACTTGGTTAACGTCGGCATCGCCACCGCGAACTCTGAGATTTATTTTTATCGAATGGCTATTTTATAATTCCATATCCTTGGATTGAACGTAAACGGGAGTGTTAATATTTTCTGCAACATTAAACATTCGAAATTTCGAAGCTACTTTCACTTAGTTAAAGAATAGAAAACCCCACCTATACTTGAAATCGCTGGCATAACCATTCTTTGTAGAGGGGACATGTTTAAAAAAAAAAATAAGTCTTTATTTTAAAATAGAGACGTCATTGTAAGTTATCGGTTTGTCGTCTACAATTTTGGTTTATGTGTAGGTTTTTATCGTCGCTTCAATACAGTCATATGACTACAACTGTTAAGAATGACGTGTCTGCTGAATTTGCTTAGGTATCTACCTAACGCGTGTCACAAATAATAAATTGGTGTTTAATAGACTGACTGATTGATTAGACCAATCAACTAAATGCACTCCTGTTAAATTTCAACCTCCCCTCCGGAAAAGGAATCATAAATATATAACATCTGCTGGTAGTGAGCAGTAGAACGCAGTGTTTTTTAATACCCATTAGTAAAAATGAATTAATATTTATACAGACGATTGTTTAGATAGATAATTCAAATAACAGTAATTTTGTTTTAAATGAATTGGCAAGAAGTAACTTTATAATCATTCCAAGGTTATACTTATTCAAATAGATTAAAAAAAAAATACATCCACATCTAGGTACTCCTCGAAATATTTATAAATTAACTTATACCCACCTATGTAATTTATAAATACTGCTTATAGTATAAACTTTCGATTCTATGACCTATATAACATATAATTTAGTGTCGAGTATTCGTTTTTTACCAGTACTAAAAATTGCATTATTCTGTTCTATTGTAAACTAAGTAAATATTACGTGAATAATTATTGGAATTTAAAATTATTGTTATTGTTTAAATAGGTGTTGCTTAAAAATAGAAAATTATATAGACCTATATAATTTTCTATTTTTATTTTATTTTTCATAATTATTTAATTTATAAATGCCATATCGTTTATTTTTCCTTTGTTGACGAATATTTTTTAATTTCTGGTCTAATACGTAACTACCGTAACTACTTACAAAAAACTGAAAATAAAATGAATACATAAGTATAGTCGGATATGTATCATATTCATATGTATGTTTAAAAAAAAAAAACAAATTGCTAATTATCGCGTGTTCATTAATTATTTGGTTTTATACCTTGTAGCCTGCAGTAAGTATTTTTCTACAAATAAATAATAACGAAAAAACAAGTTAAATAACCACCAACGAACGTATTGGTAAAATATAGCATTTTTTTATAAATATATTATAATTACTTAATTGGAATTTTAGAATCTTCATTTTTTGGTAGGTAGGTACTTAGTTTTATTCCTAAACTTGAAAAATAAAATCTGGCGATAACTGAGAAAAAAATTAGAAAGATGACGTTAAAATCTTTTCTTAATCAATTTATTGACAGTTTTTTATTTTTGCATGCTGAATTTGTTAACTATCATGTTTAAATAACCAACGAAAATTTTAAACAACATGCTACCGTTTTCTGGTAAAAAGGATTTATTTTAACGGGATATCCCTCGTATAGCTAAAATAATATTTTTTGGCAAATTGATATAGTTAAATCTAGCAGTGACGCAACTAAGAATCCATTTGACGAGATATTCCAATTTTATAGAGTAGTGGAACATAATTTGTTTGGTGACACGGCATTTTAATAATGCTTCACTACTCCTCCCACTATACCTAAAATTAAAAGCGTAATCATTGATAGTATTTATAATCAATGGTGTAATATCTCAGTAAACAATAAAGGAGTAAATACAAATTTAAAATGTCAACTCGTATTTAAATTAAAACTCCATCTATTCGTGGTATTGGTTTCACCCTAAAAAATAAGAAAAATGTAACATTTATTAAAATAGATATATAATTTAAAAAAATGTTTACATAAATCATTTTAAAAAAAAAATAAATATTGTTTTGAAAACCTAGTCAAATAATATTTAAATATGCTGCTCCATAATTGGTACAGTTATTTATAATAATTTTTGAATTGTTAGTTAGGTATATTGATTTAGGTGGTAAGTACTTGAATATTTTATTTTTTATAGAATTAATCTTTTATAGGTAGAATTTAACAGATTTAATTATTATAGGTAGGTCCTATATTTAACTGATGAACTCAGTTAAGAATTTCGTATTTGTTTATGATGTAGCTCATGTAAGTAGTAATAAAATATACAATCGGTTGCCTTTATTTTAGAAATAGGTTTTACTTTAGACCTAGATACGTTTAATTTTAGATAACACGATTCCATGTTATATTTTTCAAGATAATAATAATATAGTTGTTATAATGATTTAATTATAAAAAATATAGGTAGGTACTTAATAACACAATAGTAATAAGCTGCTGTCGAGTAACGGTTTTATAAGACTTGAAACTCTCTTCCTAGTATACTATTGTACTCAGTATATAGTTACTGTCCTCTTAAAAAAAAAAAAGAGTAAGTATATACTTACAACTAAATACTTTATTGTCTATTCTATAAAAATGACCTTGTAAAAATGCAATGTCACTTTTCTTCCAAGTCAATAATTTACTAAATGTTTAAATTGGTATTAGATGTACACATTTTTAGTATTTGTTTGTTGAATAGACGAGACTTTATATTTATATAAACTTTCTGTAGGTACTTTAAAAAATTATAGGTGTTTAAACAAAATTTGCCACAGATGCTGTTTAAAAAGTCCTAAAGTTTAAAACTATATTTTTTTCGTCATTTTCGTAGAAAATTATTTTTGTGTGATCTAAAATCAAACATAACAATTGACGTTAGTATTTAGTTTAGTTTAGCGTTTCTCCACTGGGGGTACGTGTACCTCTGAGGGTAAGTGAGAAGATCTGAAGGCATATGCAAAAAAATGATAGTAGCGAAAAAGTAAAATTTGATGTATTTGAAATGATTTGTTATTTGTAAAATACTTAATAATTGAATATATTTTACCATACAAATAAATGTCTGAATCAAGAAAATAGCCCTTTTAACAAAAAATGAACTTATTTATGTATTTATCGACAAGCTCTTGTATCGAAATCTCTTTCTACTAATTTTAATAAGGACGTTATTGATGACTCACTCTTGTAAAATGATGCATCTTTATTAAATCTCGCCGTACGAACTCCAGAATATTTTCGGTTTTGTGTGAATACATGCGTAGTCTTCACAAAACAATTTTCCTTCAAGGTAGGGTTTAATGATTATCATGGAGTAAAGTTCTTACTCGTTTGTTTGAACTTAGACATGAAGTTCAAATTTTCTTTGAAGACCACCCTTTTCAACTTTCATTACAATTTAAAAACCATAAATGGCTTCAATAACGTATATACTTGTCAAATGTTTTTTTAAATCAAATATCTAAATTTGACCACTAAGAACAATGACAATATTCCAAATAACAGACTAAATATAATAGACTTATAAAAAAGTTTTTGAAACCAATCAACCAACCAGAAGTTTTCATTGTTTTCAAATTAAATCACTGTTAAGGGTTTTTGTATGAAATTATTATTTAAACTATAAATCTTTATTTCATGTTTATAAATAATTTCGTACTTACCCACTACCCTAACTCAGAAATGAAAAATTGAAAGTTATTTACGAATCCTTATGTTGCGTAATTTGTATTGCTTATAAAACATATTTGGTCTAATGCATTTAATTATGAACTATTTACCTCATTTAAATAAAACTATAAAATCTATAGGTATTAGTACTACCTGGTAATACTTACCTAAAGAAATAAAATTAGTAGTCATAGATTATGCAATTCATAATCCCTCCCACCTTTCGAAAATAAATACGTATAATGCAAGATCTATTCGTGAGGGGAGGGTTACGAAAAAAAAAGTATAAAATAAATACTTAATTTATTAGTAAGATCAAAAGTTAAAAAGCTGTCCTAGGATAATAGGAATGGTTACAGCCACTATTATAGGTAATTTAATGTATACCTGTAAGCAATGATAAACCATTCTTAATGACAAAACGATTCTGAGCGGAGTTCAGTTGATAGTGATGGTTTGTCAACAATATATTAAATGAAAAATTATGGTAAAATAATTAAATAGGCATTATATATTATTTTCTTTAACATTTTCTAGTTTTTCCCGTTTTTTGGGGAAACCCTTTGAAAATCCAAAACTGAATTTTCTTATGTACCTCTCCAGTCTGATTTCCGTTTAGAAAAGGTGTTTATTAAAAGGTAATTATTTTACCATAATATAGCATATATATTGTAAACAAAGCAACAGCATCTGCAATTGAACTCCGCTCAGAATTGTTTTTTCGTTAGCAATGGTTTATTGTTGCTTACATTAAATTTCACCTCTACTACCTTCCCAATTTCTCACCTACAATAGTAGCCACATACACGTGCGAAATTATCCGGCTTTTTTTATTTTGATTTTTATATTCTTTATTCATATTTCTCTAGTTATTACAAATTTGTATTTTGTATTTTAATTTCGCTATTGTGGTAAATTTTTGTAATTGGACTAGTCCAGTATATAATATATAAATATAAAAATATAATACATAAATACATAATTGATCTTTTTTTATTCAAGATGTTAGGGGGAACATTAACCAACTTTTCAATTCTCCCCTCCCCCTGATATTATACCACTGATATAAATAATTTATAGCAGTATTCTGAATACATTTGAAAAGTATTATTATAACAAGATTGGCGTGAAGTCTTAATTTGTTTTATAGTAGTTCAATTTTTTATGAAAACACGGAATTAGGGAATTTTAACCAATTTTTGGTCAGTAATGTTTCGGAAGATTTTTTTTATTTATTTTTCCTGTTTTAACAACTTTTCGAAAAGAAATCTTGCTCCGATTTGTAGACTTGTAAAGTGTAGTATCTTTTCTGAAAGGAAATTGAATTTAATTAGTGCATTAGAAATTTATTTATTTGATTTTCCAAGCAGTTTTCATAATAATTTGGAAAAAATGTAGGATAAACAAGAAATTATGCTTTCATTATTTTTAATTTTGTTTTTTTGTTTATTCAGTTAAGTTTGTAGAAACTTTAAATTTGAACAAAAAGTTATATTTAACTTTACTAGACATGGTAAAATTTTAAAAAACATTTGTGATTTTGGAGCTATTTATAAACATTTATATTTTTTGAGATTTTTACGTATTTTTTATTTGGTACTCTGTGGATAAAATTGTTAGACTTAACAGAAATGCTTGAAAATTTAACAAGAGGTTCATTATAAGTTTTATTTAGTGGTCAAAAAGACAAAATTTAGTTTAATGTAGATTTGTTTTTAAGAATTTTAATATCAAATTTTTACCAAAATTGTAAGTATTTCGACCTTTTAAAACAACCAAACACCGTACAGAATCATTTTTAGTGAGCAATTATAATAGTTTCGCAAAGATATAAATTAAATTCCCCTCTATATTTTACCTTCCATTCTTCTCACCTATGGACCACCTATGGGCCCACACATCGTGTGAATTATATGTTCTTCTTTTTTCTATTGATAGGTATATATAAATATATTAATGGAACGAAATGAGGGTTGAGGCAACCCACATACCGCACTCCGTTTTATATAATCGCGAGTAAATTATTGAATTATTTTATTACTATTCTATTTTAAAATAAATAATTAGATCTTCCTGGTTCAGATCAATCTGGTGAGCATTTTCTTCCAGGCCAATGAAAACATTTTATAGGTGTATAATACTCAGAGACGTAGCCAGAATTTTATTTCGGGGGAGGAGGGGGTCAAGTTAAAAAAATTAATAATAATAATAAGTAATTTTAACCATTTGTATTATTAAACAAAAATTAAATTTGTAATGACATACAGAATATGCTATGATATGTATATTGTATGTATATATATTCAATAAGGTTTAAACAAATTGTCAAGTGCTCCTCTCTTCATATTTGATTATAATAATTTATAAAACAGAAACGAGCACAGAAACAAAACGAAATAAAATTTATCGTAGGTAAGCGATTATATGAAAGTAGATAAATATCGACTGACGACAGACGAGTATCATATAATATATTTTGCTTTGCATCGTATACGCAAAACAATTTTTGGAACAATAAAAGATAAAATTTACAATCTAGTCAGTTGATAATGGACAATAATGACTGTTATATTACAAATTTATCTTAAATTAGGTAGGTAATCCCAAATAGTACTGCCATTTCTTATCAACGTGGTTATTATGGTGTTTGGTTTATACGAGGGTTGATATATATATTTCGTCAATGACACTTTGGGGGGGGGGGTCCGGACCCTATAGACCTCCCCTGGTAATACATATTATATTATTGCAAATAATTCGGTCACCTGCAAGTCAACGCAGACCCGTGACCCATTATATACTTATAAATCCGCACTATTTTGTTGGGCGAGTGGCGACCGTAAAAAGGAAGGCCGTCAGCTGAATACCAACTTGACGAAAGTAATAATATTGTTTCTTAAATAGGCCTAGTGCAGGCCAACAGTCTCCATGAAAAATCGTGGTGCGGATCACGTACGGAGATTAGTTAACGGGAAAATGGTCGCGGAGGCACAGCCTTTACCCAGTAGTGAATCTAGAATTCGAAAACTGTTGGTCAGCTATTTTCAAGGACCGCTTTTTATGGCTAACACTATTAAAAACAAGGACACATCCAAGATTTTTTTTTGGTAAGGGGAGCTAACAAAAATGATTTAACGTCACAAAGCATGGCTGGTATTTTATATTATAGAAGCGTTCTGATTAGTTTTAAAAAGTATTTTATTCTTTGAAAAGAATACTTTTAGATTTTGAGAGGAATGAGGAATGTATTGGTTTTACAAAATTTTTTTTTTCATCTGTGAATAACTTTTCTACCAGCAATTTTGCTCCTATTTACAATGATAGCACTTTTTCTAAAAGGAAATCTGACTAGGGAGGTACTTTAGGGTGGTCAGTTTTTGATTTTCCCTGGAGTTTTTCCAGCAAATGGGAAAATATGATAAAAACAGGAAAAAACGAAAAAACAGGTACAATATTAAACAAATATTATTAAAGAAAATATTTAATACCTATGTAATTATTTTACCATAATATGACATATATATTGTTGAGAGAGCATTACTATCAACTGAATCCGCTCAGAAGCGTTTTTTCGTTAGCAATGGTTAATCGTTGTATATAGATTGTATTATATTATATACTACATATTCAATTTCTTTTCTTCTACCTTCATAACTTCTCGCCTACAACAGTGCCTGCATCCATCCTCATTATCGTAGGGTAGCTTTTCTTAGTCTTGTTTTTGAGTAGAAAGAAGTTTGTTTTATTTTTTCAGAGAACATTTTTTTGGTGCTCTGATTTGTTCACACATTGATTTAAACTTTTTTTTGAAATTTCTCATAGTAAAAATATAATGCATAATCATGTTACCTATCATCATATAATATCTATAGTTTCCTTTGAGTTATCCGATTTTAACATTACATTTCTTTTTACATGTATTTTGAAAATACGATTGTGTGTATATTATTTAAATATATATTCAGAATACTATTTTTGGTACGTTTATTTATCATAAATACTAATAAATTTAATGTATGTCTGTACCTAAGTAAATTATTTAAGCATTGTCGACAAAAAACGATTGTGAATGGAGCTAGGTTAATAGTGTTGCTCAGGAATCATGGGCGTCTTGAATTCGATTTCATTGAAGGGGAGGGGGGTGAACTATTTTTACTCTTGAATATCACTGCTTTGGTCAATAAAAACTTAAAACTTTTATGTCCGATGTCATTTCAATTTATATTAGCTTAGAAGACTGCAGATATATTTAAAAAATGCAGTAAAACAGTACAATTTAAAAATTTATTTTTTTCACATTATATAAATAATAGTTAATATAATGATAATATGAATAATAAAAATATTAAGAATAATTATTAATAAAAGATGACTAAGTCCAAAATACTCAATTTTAAGCAGCGTTTTGCGAGTGATTTGATCAACATTTTCTAAATTAATATTTTCATTTCGATGAATAATTGATAAGCCAGTTATCCTCTACTTATTTTTTTTTTTCCACGAAGTACAACTTTTAATGAAGTTCGTGTTAAATTCTCAAGCATTTCTCGCCCTCCCCCCTCAGGGACGCGCCTGATTTAACTATTGGGAATTAGGAAATATCCGTGACAATACACGCTGAGTGGGATATCTCTATTACTATGCGTAAATTTACAATTCGTTTTAGAGGCCAATTTCACCAGCAAAAATGAATCCCCTGAACCTCAAAAAAAAGATCCACCATTGTCTTTACCCCCGGACGTTGTGTATTGTATATACCCATACGTCCATAGTACAGCAATTTTGCTCGGGCACGACAACATTGACAGTGGTAGTTGGCTAATGACGTGCATGTGGTGTGGGTCACGCTATGAGATGAGGGGGTGAGTTAAACCGATACTCACACACGCACACACAGGTGAGTGTCGAGCAATGAAAATCACGCGGCAACGGCAGTGGTGTAAAGTCCGTGACGACAACGTATTTGGGTCAGTTGGCCATCGATTTGCCGCGGCGGCCTAGTAGCGTACATGCACGCGTGTACGGTCCATGAGAAAATAAAATATTCCTCCTCCTGCGGACGAGCAAGCAAATGCGGAGGGTCGAAAGGTCGGGGGAATCAGCCGACCGTCTCTGTGGGGGATGCAAGGCAGGAGACGGGCGATTCGGCCCGGGGTGTTCGGGAACACAGAAAACAAGATAAGTCGGCAAAAGTCGTCGGTAAAACATAGAACTACGTTTGGTGGTGGATGTCCGTACGCAGAAATCCCTGCGCGCCGACTAGGAGGTCAGTGTTTGTGCTGTGACGTTCGTTCCGTCCGGCACGGCTGCACTGTAAAACGAGTGCCCGCGCGGCGGTTGTACACACGCGCGCGCACGGACAACGCATTTTACAAACAAAGCTATTTTACTACATACTACCGCAGATACTACGCGACGGCGGCGGCGGCTGTTTATACGTTACTACTACGCACGCTCGGCGGCTGTGCGTGCGTGGGAGAGTGAGCGAGACGGACCGACTCTCTCCGACCGATCGTTCCATCCTTCGTGCACCGCTCGCTTTATGCCCGAGACTCGCACACGCCGCCGTCGTTCCAATCAATTGTGAAACAACAGCGTGCCCCGCGCACCGCCCCGTCATCGGTGTGACGACGGCCATCGGGGTACGACGTACGCGCACTCGCACACATGCATACGAGCGCGCGCACACACATTGTATACGACGACGACCGCCGCCGGGCCCCATAGTTTTCTGCTTTTACAACCACTACAGTACTGCTGCCGTAGAGGCCTGTTGTACACACGCTTAGCTTTGTAGAGCTCCGTGTGTTACTGTGTTGTAGCCGACGACACTACTACCGCCGCCGTAGAGCGCGCGCGCGCTCAATCCGTTTTACCCTCCGCTGTGTACGCTTTATTTTTTTCTGTCTACTACGGGCATCAGTTTTTTTCCCGAACGGATATTATTAATCCGCCGTCTTGACTAACTACCTTGCCCGCGTACGGTGTTCGATTTCTCAAAAATACCAGAACGCGCCGTGTCGCCGTTCCTTTCGCAGACTGCCCTACCACTCCGGTATACGTTTTATAGAGCTTGGACAATTATAACCATATCGCGAAACTGTTCGCGCTCGTCGTATATTCATTCTGTAGCGCCGCCGCTACACTTGTTGTCTGATCGTCTCCGCGCGGTATGTCATTGTTACGCGGCGGCGGCGGCGGTTGCTGCTGCCGAACAACAGTCGTGAACCATGTCGTTGGCGGCCGCGGCCGCCACTGTTGCTCCTATCGCCACCGCTGCTCGTGCACCTGCAGCTGTCCACCAGTCGTCGTACATATAGATCGACAGCAGTTCTAGAGCTTCGTTGCGGCGTCCAAAGCGGGTAATTATCACTATTAGTCGTATATAATTTATTATAAATAAATGTTTTTTGGTGATTACCTACACAGACTCTCCCGGAGTCTCACGTTTGTATTTTCGTGCATCACCAACCGACAGTGTATAGGTACGTGTGTATTTGTATGTGTGAGTTTTTTTTTTTTTGCGTGCGTATGTGTGCGTAGTATTCGATTCATTCATCCTTTGTTCCCGCAAGCCAATACCTCCTCTAATCATCTGTTGCGCTAGTAGCGCCGTTCGGTCTTCGGTTGTGATAACAGAATATTTTTGTTTCTCGTTTGCTGGAGTGATAAACCGTGTCCATCAACTCTGCACAGCAAAAAAAAAAGTATGTGGTACTTAACTGTACCGCATACTTTTTTTTACGAAACGTACATTTCGCAATTTAGTTCATTTTAAATTTTGATGTTTTGTGTAATTTTATTTTTTTTAATAATGATATCTCTTATCTACTGTTTTTACGGCAACCACCGATGACCATGAAGACGTTATTCTGGTTGGTATGCAGTCCGATCAGAATTCCTGTATTTAGTAGAGGTCTGATTTTTAGCTTAAAAATTTAATTAATTTAAATTTAAAATTCTAAGTATTTGATAAAATTAATACCTTACTTAACCTAGCCTTTGTTTACTAATATAAATTCAATTTTATACTACCTAGATATGTAGTTAGAAACTCATTAAAAATAATTCGATCTTAATAAATTAACTGTATATTTCGCTTAACTATATATATATGTATTTAATACTTTCAATAATACAAAAATACCCTTAGAATCTATAAGTATACAATACATATATGTAAAATTTAATATTTTTTTCAATGTATGCAATTTCATGAAAAATAATTAAATTCAAATGATTCAATGAGAATTTATTTATAAGTGCATAATGATGTAAACTTTGTCCATTCTTTAATTCTGTATACCCAGAATCTATATGTAGTACTACTTTAATTACAACTAATTAATCTGTAATAATATTTTACTAAATATTTTGGTAATAAAACCTAGCCTTTATTCAATTGATTCGTTTTAAATTATCAATTAATACCTATTACTTCATCCTTTACTGCAACTAAATGTTTTTTTTTTCTCAATGCTAAGATTGGTTATATGGTAATTGATGTCTTACCTTACCTGATTTAATTTCTGTTATTGTGTTAATCTGAGGGCTATTTCTTATAAATTTCCTTATTAAGAGTCTGATCTACGGTTTTCCTCTTGGTCTCATCTTATTCTATATTGATTTCTGGCTGTTCATTTTCTCAAAAATCTTATTGTTTATCACCTTTTCTGTTCATAGAATTTTTAGCACTCTTCTCCAATGATATACTTCCAAAGCTCCATATGGACTTACACTCAAGATAAAACTTTATAAGTGATTTCTTAGTATCTAGATTCAATATATTTATAGTAAAAATATTCCTTGTTTTATAGTAGGCTTGTTTAGCTTGATCTATCTTATTTACTGTGTCTGAAATGCTTTTCCTATCACTTGTGATTTTATTTCCCAGGTAAGTGAAATTATTAACTGTCTACAACATTTTACCATTTAAGACTATGTATACTTAAATCTGATGTTTGCTACGTATAATTTATTAACTTAATATACATTTTCAACATTTTAGGCACTGTTGATCAATTTTAATTTTTGTTTTATTTTTTCATATCATAAATTGTTTTATTCTATGGGTAACAAATAAAATATCAAGTAATAACTACCTAATACAAAAAATTAAACTAATAATAACAAAATTAGAAGAGATTGAACAATCTATAGTGACATTGATCATTAAATGGTTGTATTTACTTGATATAAACAATTTTGTATTAATGAATTAATTTGCAAAAACGTTAAAATCATCTTTGGCTGTAACCTTCATATTTGGATTACTTCTTTAAACATACCTATTTACCTATTTATTTTTAATATTACAAAGCCAAAGATAATAGTTATTACTTATTTCTTTTACTTTTAGTTTTCTTATGTAAATTAATAAAAATAAAATAAATAATATTACAGAGAATAGTTTTAATTATGATTTTTTATTGTAGCATATTTTACCTCTATCTCTTGATTGTTTTTTAACTGAAGTAGAAGTTTTTTGGTGACCAGTTTGTGCATACACGATTAATATCCAGTGTTTAGAAAAATTAGCTCACTGTTTTTTACTGTATACTTAGCATGACATATCTTAAATGAATATTTTGTCAAAATCATTAGGCAAACATGATTTTCTATAAATTCACAGAACTATTTACTGTTTTTGTTAATCAAATATTGTTTGTACGTATATATTATTATAATATTATAAATCTTTGGTTCCACGTAAGAAGTGTTTAAATAAATGTTGCAAAGTTTTGAAAAAACATACACTTATACAATTTAGACTAAAATTGATTTGAATCCTTAAAAAATAAATAAATTGTTTTTTCTTAATATAAAATTAAACTGGGTTTTTTATTACACACTCTTTTAAGTGTTATATAATACAATAAATTACTAGATGGGAATACCTCCTTTTTTTTAAAATAAATATTTCATTAGTTGGTGCATCTGTTCACACTAGTCCAAATTGAAATTTATTATGCAAGCTGCTATTCATTATTTTATTCAATGTTAGAAATTTTAACTAATCAAACATCCATTGATTCAATTTTAATTTGTACCTTTGTTTTACTATTTATTTTAAATATAGAATTATTCAAAAGAATATTATATTAATATCTAATTTATAATAAATATTTTTAAGTACTAAACAAAAAACTGACTTATATTATATTTATTTAGATATTAATCAAATATTTTTTCAAATTATATATTTTCTACCAATATGTTTTGTTTACATGACAGGTTTAGAAGTCCATTTTTACATTATGTTTTCAATAATTAAATTTTCCTATTTTATATTTTTAATTTATTGAATTATTCAGTTATAAACTAGTAGGCTGATATTGTCATATCCATATTCTAATGACTATAATCCCCAATTTGTTTAAATAATTTAAACTTCAGTACCTAACAGTTTAAATTTTTTCTTATGTTTTTTTTATATTTAGTTGCTAAATTTTCCTACAAGAGTGAACTGTGTAATGTGTAAAGTTTATAATGTATAATACAATTATCTTAGTAGTTATTATGCTTTGATAATTTTGGTATAAGTATTTCAATTTAATTTTTAACAATTATAACTTATAATATACACAGTAATCAATCCTGGGTTGCAGGAGTAGTGGAGCACTATTCAAATGCAGTATCGCCACACAAATGATGCTCTACTATATGCCCCTACCCATACTTAAAATTGGAATATTTCATCAATAGCTTGACAGAAGATAAAAATGTCAACTCCAAAATGTATTCAAACTAATATTTCATCTATTTGTAGATTTTTTACTATAGGTTGCTATCTGAAAATAAAAAATGGATAGCAATTTTACACCCAAAAATAAGGGTGGCAAAATTATGAGCAATGTAAAATTTTAAAACTGCTTGTGTTTTAAATTGTCACAAAAAAAAAAAGTAAATACTTTCCAAGTTAATGAGTGTCTTATCAAGGATTGATCACTCTGTATATATTAAATTTATTTTTCTATGAATTAATCATTTGTAATTTCTTCAACTTTTATTTTATTATTATTTTTTTTTTTTATTGATAATATATTATTTTTTTTATAATTAGCAGATTATTAGTCTAACATTTTATAATTCACCATTGATTAATTCAATTTTGTTATGACTACTGAATAAAATGTATGGTTATAAATTTATAATTATTGTAGGTAGGTATTTGTTAAACATCAGTATACCTCATTATCTATGTCATTGTTACTGTAAATACATTTTATTTAATACAGAGTTTAGTACCTAATCATATTCAGTACCTACAATGTTTTGTTTTTTTACAAATATTCTAAAATTGTAAGTTTTTTATTTATAAATTAAATTTTTAATATAGTCTGTAATGTAAAAAATATGAATTACCTAACAATATTCTTTAATTTTTCAAATATATTTCTTTAAATTAGCACTTTATGTTTATTATTTAATAATGATTATATATTTAAATTTTTGTATGATTGCTTTACTAATTTAATAATTATAACTATTTTAAATCTCATTAATATTAATGAAAATTTACTTTTATTTTCAGATTTATATTTTCTATTATAAAAGATAACTATTAGATACCTATAGAGATTTGATAGAAACTTTCAAAATATTTTTAAATTCAGATTTTATCTGAATTCATATTTATCTTTTATTTTTGATCTATGTAATTAAAAATGAATAATTTTGATAATTTTATCTCATACCTATTTATTGTTTATTCATATATGTTACTTTTGTCTCTCACTTTCATATATGTTATTCTATAATTGTTTTGACGGTAATATAGAAAATTCTGTACACACAAGTGACATTTGTACTGATACTACAATTATTACACAGATATCAATTAAATAATATGGCTCAGTTATTTGATTGAAAAACTCATTTTTACAAGAAATTGATAATTTATTTACAGTAGCAAGTTTATTGATGTTAACTATTAAAGTAAATTTATTTAGTTTTATTTACAATAAGCATAAAATATGCCTATTAATTTCCTTTAAAATATCATAAATATCAAAACGTATTGTTTTATACTTTATAATAATATTAAAAAAGAGCTGATACTGCTGATGAATGCTCCACTTAGTATTGAATTCCGAGATAGGTACTAGGTACATTCAAGATCATTCGTGCCTCCCCCTCCCAATTAATACAGCTATTAACAAAATGTATTTATTAGATGTACAATAACTATTACATTTTACATAAAACTGGCCATGAACAAAGTGAGCCCTCCCCAAGAAAATTATCTGGATTCAACCCTGGCGCTACTGTTGTAAGTGAGAAGTAGGGAAGGTAGTAATATAATAATATAAATTTAATTTTTTAAATAATTTGATAAAACAAAATAATAGAACAATTTTTATAAATCAGACTTGAATGACTAAAAAAAAATAAATATGCTCATTACTCAATCTTCTCTTTTTCCTTTGCATTAATCCCATGCTAGTAGAGTTAAATATACTCTTAGTCTCATTATTTTTTTGATATACTCTACATGCTCTCATATTTTTCCTAAAAACCTTGCTATTTTTTTTTTTTTTTTTGGCTTTTCTAGCGTCAATGTACATTTACCTCGCATATTTTTTGGCTATCTCGTTGTTTATGTTTCTCTCAATTTAATTATACTATCTATTCTCAATAGTTTTTTATCTAAATTAAGCATACCACACATCCACCTTAACATTCTTTTTGGTTTTTTTTTTTTTACAGATTTAGAGAGATGAGAAATTGTGGACAGACCTACACTGAAATAAACCCTTTGATGAATCCTCACGACACCATGGACCTAGTCAATTGCCGTTCAAACATAACAGTCAATGTAAACAACAATAATGACCAGACTTCTGTTAAAAAATTACCAAAAAAAAGAAAATTTGATTTGTCTCAACTCGAGGAATCTGATCCTGTTTCTGATCCACAACCACCTGTTCAAAAACAATGCAACACAAGTTGTGTGGCTAGTGTTGTTGTTGTACCACCTCAGTCTATTGCTGTTGATTATTCTAGACTTGATGGATTTGATCGACCAAGCTATGCTGATGTGCCCGTTATTGTTGAAGATCGTTCCAAGCAAAAACAGGATGTTGCATATACAAATGGACATGATGAACCATCAAGACTTGATGTTGATTTACAAGAATGGACTGATCACAGAGTATTAGCTAAAAGAGATACGGTTTATTTACCTGGTCTTATCAGACAAGCTACATCAAGTGGTGATGTGTGGATAGAATTTGATTACTCAGATGAAGACCAGCGATTTGTTTTATTTAAAGATGTTTTGAGTGCTAGTAAATATGATGTTATTAGTGATGCTAGTCCATCTTTAAGCCAAGTAAGTTATATTTCTAACTATAATAGTAACTGAAGATAATAGATTAGTTTAAATAAGTTAATTGGAAAGAGGTTAGTGTTTATGTGTTTCAAATAAAATACCATTTAGTAGAAAATCTGAAAGGTAAGGCGTGAAACATATGAGTTATTTAATAATACCAAAAAAATGTTTCCTGTGGAAAAAAAACTTAGTCAAATTCATAATATATTTGCCTTACTTGGTCTAGAAGTTCTAAAATATGCCAAGCGTTATAAAAAAGAACCCCCTTAACATTTTTAGTGTAGGGTTGCCACCGATTGTGTCTAATAATAAGGTTGTTTAACACAGTAACATAAATGCTTTTATTTATTTGTATGGCTTGTTAAACACATTAATAAATTTAATAATGTACCTTTATAGAATAATCCAAAAAAAAATTAATTTTATATATGTATTAGGTATTATTAATTGATAAATTTAAATTAAAATCCTAATGATGATATTATTATGACATTTGATTACAAATGATTATTTGTTTTGTATTAGCTCTAACTGAAGAGGATTATTTCTCAGGACTAGTTTAAATTAGTATACATGATTGACATAAATTGTATTAAATATTTATTTATTTAACTAGATATCTATTAATTTTTAATTCAAATTTAAATCTAATATGATGATAAATTTTGGCATGTGATCACAAATGATTTTTGTTTTGTATTAGCTCTAACTGAAAATCATATAATAATTTTTTAATTACGCCTTTAATACTGTAGTTGCCATTTGAAGTCTATCGCCTTATATGTGGTCAATGTTTGTATGACTGTCTCATCAATATAGCATAATACTATTTTAAATTAGTTGTTTTATCAAAGCGTATTTCAACATAATCATTAATTTAACTTCAGCTATATTTTTGATAGTTTTATGTAATATAATTAATTTGTCATTTATATTTATGTGATAAATATTTGACACACTACTACTTTTTTTTAAATTTATTTAGAAATAAATTTTTATATTTTAACTAGATTATTGTTTTAATATTTCATTAAAATTGTATTTACTCAACCCTTTTAATACAGAGGTGGTAGGTAGCACATCCTCTTATATAGTGTTCACTGTGTTTACCTATTGTATATATGAAAATTTGGGAAAATTGTACTAAAATTGTATAATTTGGGTAAAGATTATTTTGCATGTTCAATTGTACACCTAAAAAGCTCTTCAATAACCGCACTCAATTATGTGGTACCATAACATGATACTAGTAATTATTCAAACTTTTATTTACATCTAATTCAAATTTTAAACCCAGTATGATGATGTGTTATGGCACAATGATTGTGAATGATTATTTGTTTTGTATTAGCTCTAACTGAAAGTAATTTTTAAATATATACGATTCTATAAAATATAAATTAATTAAACTAGATATTTATTAATTATAAATTCAATATGATGATGAAATATTAAGGCATACATGATCGAAAATGATTATCTGTTAAGTATTAGCTCTAACTGAATTCTTAAGACAATGGTTACTAATCATGAAATATTTTAATATTGGGTATATATTTGAGATTTAATGACACTTTTATTTAATTTAAAAAAAAAAATATATTTTAATATTGGTGTAGTATACTGTCTATTAGCAATCCCCATGGTGGGTAGTCCATTAACTATAGTATCGTCATATATATATATATATATATAAATGGTTTATATTATTATATTCAACATTTATTTACTTAATTAGATTTTAAATTTAAATCTTGTATGATGAATGATGATATATTATGACATGTGATTACAAATGATCATTTGTATTGTATTAGCTCTAACTGAAATTATTTATTTATTTACTATAAATTATAATTTAATATGATGATATAGTATAGCATATATGATCCAGAATGATTATTTCTTATTTATTTTGTATTAGCTCTAACTGAATTTATCTTTAACAATGGTTATTAATTACTATGTATTTTAATATTGATGCAGTATACTATTTATTGATACCCCACATAGTGTAGTCCACTAAATAAAGTTATGTTATATACTTATATGTAAATAGTTTATAGTTTTACATTTAAAATGTATTTATTTAACTAGATTTTCATTGATTTTAAATTTAAATCTTATATGATGAATGATGATATATTATGACATGTGATTGCAAATAATCATTTGTATTGTATTAGCTCTAACTGAAATTATTTTTTTCTTTTAATAATTTATAAATAGTCTATTTGAAATTATTAAATATTTATTTATTTACCATAAATTAAAATGTTATATGATGATATAGTATACTATATATGATCTAGAATGATTATTTCATATTTATTTTGTATTAGCTCTAACTGAACAATATTTATTCTTAAAACTATTTTTAATTAGTTTAATGTAGGTTAAAGCCCTGCATGGTGTGGCCAACCAGTGGTTGGCCTATTGCAAAACCAAGTTTGGGCTGGTTCGACCTAAATAGTTTACATATGTGGGACTGGGTTGGACTACTTAGAGATATGAATTTTATTTTGTCGGGCCGGACCAAGAAATTGACAATTATTGGGCTTAAAAAGGCTAGGCTCAGTATTATAAATAAACTGGACCTGGTCACACTGGGCCAATCCACAACTGACATCATATTTATGGTATAGTTATAATTTAGGCCAAATTCCTCCTCTTTTTGGACGACATCAAACACTTTTTGAAAATTAATGATATTTCCTGTAGCCAGACTGTACAATACCAATTAAACAAATTTGTGCAGTGACCATGGGTTCAGTGTATTTGTCTCCATTTGAACTTGGCCAATTGTTATGATGGTATGTTACCAGACATCATAACATAATATTCTACTCCTACCCTATTGAAGGTTTCCTTCTTGAACGTGTTTTATTATTAAAAATTTCAGTATACATTTCACTCCTTCATTCAATTTCAACCACCACATTAATGTCTGTCTGCAAAGCACTTAAAGTCTTGGTCTTTATAAAGCGTAATACAAAAATGTTTAGCTTTATCAGTTGTCTTAGTGTACTTTATTGCTCCCTTGTATGCTCGATTTTAAAATTTGTTATAGTTCGGCATCCTTCCTAGGGGTAACTTGATGGATCTACAGATGCCCCTCACCTCCTTTCTTTTATACATTTCCGCGTCCTGGTCTACCCTTCAAGACAACATACACCATTTTATATCCCTACTTCACTTTTTATGGTCACAACCATCCTTTATACAGAATGCTACATTCGTTTGGTAACAATCTATCATATCTTCTGCCCTAATTGATTAAGTTTAGTATTAGATACTTGTTTAGAATTAATTCACTTTGTCATTACTTTTACTTAATTTTAATTTTTTTTTTTTTTTACTAGTTATTACACATATTCGTTTTGTATTTGTGTTACCTATATAATTGCCATTTGTCGTTAATACAATAAATAAATAAATAAATTAAGCAATTTAATTATATCAGACGGAAAACAAATTTATAATTTGCAATAAGTTAAATATTCATAAAACTATATTCGTGTATTCGTTTAGTACTGTGGTGTGAAGTGAGGTAGATATTGTATAATAATTATGTAGTAATATTATTAAAGTCAGAAATATTATAATAATTTGTATATTTACGGATATTATATTTAAAATATACCTAAGTATAATTATTAATTTGTTTACATAGTGCATTTTATATAGTTATACTAATAATACATAGAAAATGTTCTGGGCTGGTCCAAATATTTTATTTAAGTAGACCAGACTGGGCCAGGCTATATATTTCACTGAACTGGACAAGGCCATTCAGACCTAATTTTTAAAATTTACTTTTGGGTGAATATGGGCTTCAAAATTTAGGCTCGTTCAGTACTCTAGTGTAGTTACTAATGTGTACATGATCTTGTTAAACATTTGTTTATTAAACTATATTTGCATTAATTATACATTTTTCTATCTGATGATAAAATAATATGACATATATGATTGAAAATGTTTATCTGTTTTGTATTAGCTCTAATTGAATTTATTTATCTAGATTTTTATTGGTAACAAATTTAATATGAGGATAAATGAATGCATGATTAAGAAATGTATGATAATTATCCATTGCATCCATGACTGAGAAATTATTAAAATGTTAGAACTTTATTTTTATTTAATGCGTGTAAAAGCCTTTATATAGTAGTTAATCCAAATAAATTACATACACTAATTCTTCTGGATCAAATATTTTTATATGTAATGCTCCTATTCAACTTAATAACAAATTTATTCATTATGAACAAAATTGTAATTTGTTTTCTTGCACAAATGTGTCTTTATATGTAGTGTGTACTGTGATTCAGTCATACATATATAAATTGCATACATATTTCTTTCCTTCTTTAATAATAATACAAATTATTAGAATTATTTATTTGTATATATAAATAAGTGCCTATACTTTAATACAACTTAGTAAGATATTAATGTAAATTTTTAAATTATGCTTAATAATTATAATTGTTATTATAGGTCAGTATTGGTGCAAGGGTTTGTGTGCGAATTGCTGGTTCTCAGTCAGATCATCTAGTTTCTCGAGTATTTATTGAAGGCGTTGTACAAAAGATAATCACTAACCCTGTTAGGTTTGTTGTGAATGTAGTATCTGGTAACAAAGAAGAATATGTTGTTAAAAGAGCAGATCTTCGTTTACTGTTACCGCCATGGTGGGATGAACTTGAACATGGTATACCTAATGGTCATATTCCATTAATACGAGAACCTACACCTCCTATAACTAATGAGCCAGCCAATTATTATGAATCTGCTGTAACTTCTCCTTTACAGCCTTTAAATAATCAGCATTATGATGATGATTTTTGTGAAAGTGATGATGATCTCCGACGAGAAGATATATTATTTATGTCTGATGCTGGTATGTTGAACTTATTATTCAAATTTTATATTTACCTAACATTTTAGTTATTTTGTTTATTTATTTTCACTTTGCGTGTTTGACTAAATAATATTTTAATATTCATTTTATAAGTATAACTTTAAATAAATGTACATCTGTATGTAAAAATGAGACTTTTACTTTCTTTTTTTTTAATGACATATGCATATTTAATGAGTATATCACAGAGAAGGTTTTAAATCTATTTCTGATCCTGTAAATTAATGAGCAATCAAATTATTAAATTGAAAAATATCGGAAAATACACTAGTGCTGTTCATTTTATTAATACAAATATATTTTACCATGGATACGGGTGGAAACTTATTGAATGAATAAAGCCAGGTGGGATAGCTAATATTATATACATTAGTATAATACTATATAAATTGTATTTCTCTGAATAACAAATTAAATTATATATTTTATAATATCAATGTTAATGTTTGTCCAATATAATATTATGATTATTAATTATTTTGTTATGAAGCATCCTTTTATAAGGTAAAACAATTTAAATGCAATAAAAAATTGGTTGTCATCAATATACTAAAATGTTTTATTACTAATAAACAATTAAGTGTTATATCTTATACAATTTTTGGAATTATTTGAACCCATAATTTTTGTAATTAGATGCTGGAAAATTATCTGGAAGCAGCAAGAGGAGCAGCATGCAAAGTAGAGGTAGTACGTGTAGCATATTAGACCATGGTAGCACTACACCTAGATCAACTCCTGCAACTCCAAGATCTCAGATCACATCCCCACATAAATATAAAAAAGGTGATATTGTTACAACACCAAGTGGAATAAGAAAAAAATTTAATGGAAAACAATGGCGACGGCTGTGTTCAAAAGAAGGTTGTTCAAAAGAGTCTCAAAGAAGAGGATATTGTTCCCGACACTTAAGTTTAAAAGGCAGTAGTTTACGATCATGTGCTTCGAGTAGTACTAGTTTTACAAGGTATTAAATTATATGATTGTTGATATTAAATTTATTGAGTAAAATTAATGTTTGAACAATTTTAGAGGAAATCGAAGTACTATAGATGGTGATGAAACATCACGGGAATCTCAAACTTCTCCCAGTTATTCTGATCGTCGATTAGCTGGTCGGTTTGATCCTGATGAAACAGAAGCTGCCAACATGCTTGGTACACAACGTAATAATTAATCTCTAGAATTCTCAAATTGTTAAATTTCAACATAGATTTTTTTTATTAATAATAGTTTTAATCTAACCTACATATAACATTTTAATAATTAAACATTTTATGTTTTCAGTATCATTAGGAAGTTCAAGATCCGGAACTCCATTAAATTCTTCGCCTTTTCCTTTAGTTAATATTAGTACACAATCACCACTTACGATTGGATCTCGACAAAATGTGTTCCTACCCATTATTTTGCCAGTAAATCAAAATTATTCTTCAACAACACCTACTGGAAATGGACTAGCTACTCCACCTACATTAAATAATAATTCTAATAATCAATATAGATCACAGCAACTTGTTAAGTATGAAAATATTTTTATAAAGAAGTTTATTAAAATGTTAAAACAAAACAAATGATAAAGAAATGTAATTTACAGGCCAGAATTATTGAGACCAAAGACACACCACAGTTTACATGAATCAATGCCAACATCCAGTCAGACTAGTGTGATTCGAATTTCACCACATACAATACAGCCAAAATCAACCATTGCTATCAATTCTCCGGCACAAGTATGTTGGAGAGGAATTTCATCTCCACAACAACAATCAAAGCACACAAATCAATGGCAAGTTGAAAGGCATCCAAGTGTTGTAGTGTCATCTCATCAACAACATGGTCATATATTAGAAACAGCGTTAACTTCAGTTGAAATAGTTAGTAATAAATATATATTTTTAATAAATTTAATTAATCTTATATTCAAATGTAATATCTACTCAATAGAATGGTGTTGATGCATATAATCGAATATGTGAAAATAATGAAGGTTTTAACCGAGACAATAATAATATAGTTATTCAAGAATCTGTGATAAAGAAAGAACCAGCTGCGACTAATGTACCATTTTCACAGCAATTAGGGTATAATGCTGGATATCATCAAGTAAATAGCAAATTCCTTAATTTTTTCAATGAAATTAATATTTAATTTTTTAGCGAGTTCAAAACATTCCAACTTCAATCACAACACCCTCGGTGGTTACTAAACATAATTACAATACTCATCAAAATGAATATCAAGATTATCAAAATAAGAATTCAGTACATCAACAAGTAATAGTTCACCCTACTGAACTATTACCAGTATTACCTGTCGTGGATGAAAGAAAAGAAGATCCTCCCGAACCTAATTCAATGCTTCAGAGTAATTATATATATATAATTAATTTATGGACATATATTTATAATATTATGATTTGTTTTAGATCATGAGAATGTAAATTTAACTGTTTATTCTTGGGATACATTGTTGCCAATTCTAAATTCAGAAGAAGTTGTCCAACCAAATATCATTGTGCCAAAATCTCTCACACCTCCTTTATCAGCACCACCTATTTTTACTCCACCCCCTGCAGAATCCCCAGATGGTGATGATGATGATGTATTCGAACCATGCGATACTGATGATACAAATGCTAACACAGCAGCTGGAAAACGTAGAACTCAGTCTCTTAGTGCTTTACAAAATGCCAAAGAACCACAAAGTCCTCTAACAAAAACTAAAGATCGTATACGACGACCAATGAATGCTTTTATGATATTTAGTAAAAGACATAGAGCATTAGTTCACCAACGACACCCTAATCAAGATAATAGAACCGTATCAAAGATTCTTGGTGAATGGTGGTATGCATTAGAACCAGACCAAAAGCAAAAGTATCATGAATTGGCTAATGAAGTTAAAGATGCCCACTTTAAAACATATCCCACTTGGAAGTGGTGTAGTAAAGACAGAAGAAAATCAAGCGGTAGTGGTCGATCTAAGTTGGGATCTACTGATGAACATACTCTATTGGATCACGACCCAATGGTTGAAGTAACTATAGAAATGTCTGATGAACAAAAAGTTCAAGAAAAAAAGGATACAGATGTGGAAATAAAAAATGATTCGGAAGATGAACAAATGGTTAGTTTTTGTATTCTTATTTATTTACAAATACTTTTAAATTATATTAATTATATTGTATTTATAAAGGTTGTCGCAGAAAGTTCTGAAATAGATCTAAAATGTAAAGAAAAAGTAACTGACTCTGATACTGAATCTCACAGTGATGCTGAACCATTACTAGAGAATAAAACATTTCCTCAACAACGATTCAGTCCTGTGAAAACATCCAGTTCTATTGAAGTAACGTGTCGACCAAAACCTATAAAAGCTAGGTAAATCAATTATACTTAGATTATCTAAATAGTAAATAAAAATTCTCATAATTTAATAATGCATTTAAATATTGAATTTAAAAACAAATTATAGAATTTAGAATTTAATTTCTTATTATATTATTTGTTTACGGTATTAAATATTATTTTTTAAAAATACACCTATGTTAATTTAATAACACTTTCTTACATTTAAAAATTCAAATATTTTTTTAAATTAATAATTGCAAATCTATTCTACTAAAATATAATATGTTTATAACACTGGTATCTTAGCCTAACATTTCTAACAGAATTTTTACTAATAATTTAATGAAACAATATTACGGCTTTATATTAGCTATTGTTTTCATTAAATATATTTAACTGTTTAAAAACTATTTAATACTATATTATTATTGTTTTATTTAATTTTTTCTTTAGATTGTTATCCACAGACTCTTCCGATTCTAAGTACCAATCAAAAACAGTTAACTCGAGAGAACCAACCACCCCAAGTTTGTACCCATACCATTCACCTATTAATCCTGTTGGAGTTTCTCCTTTTCAACCTACTGGTGGTGCGTTTAAATTAATGCCAGCCTCGCCGAAAATTAAAAATCCTCCAGACCAATTCCCTCAACAACAAACGTCTGAATCTACATGGACATCTGGATCTGAGACCTGGAATAAAACAAAATTAATCAACACTAATAATTGGGCAGCGTCAACTGCCGAATGGAACAATAATAAACCATTAACTACGACTACTGTTAATTCAAAAATTGTGGTAACACCATTATCACAGAATAATATATTTCATTATACTCCTTCACCAAACAAGGATGCTGAACAAAAGCCAGCATGTTCTGTTAGGCAAGTAATTGGTGGGCGTCCTGTGTTGATACAAACACCATCGAAGCAATCAACCGGATATCAACAACAATCAAATTTTAACAATCAAGCAGCTAAATTGACTTTGGCATTTCTTAATTCTGGAGACGCTGCTACTTCTCTTGTCACAAATTTATTAGTAACTAAAGGTAATGATAATGGAAATTCATCAACTAAGAATAATGAAACAACCACTGTACACTATATGATACCCAGTCGTCTACCAAATATTTATTTGCCTCAACAATCATACACAAGTAGGAAATCAAATAATTGTTAGTCTTGCATACTAATTTAAATCATTAATTTATTATCTTGCAGATACGCCATCCAATCAACCACAGTCTATAAAGTGTACTCAAGCTTCTACTGTCATAGTCAGCACTCATAATAATCCATTAGTTATAAATACCAAGTAAATACCTAAAATATCACGTTTAAGAGGACGCTATATTTCGCATATGCTGTCTGTCTCACTCCAACTAACGAATGGCGACATAGAAAAATCTACCATCCGCATTCTACGTAAAAGTCTCTTAATTTTGGTTTAGAGTAAAAGCATCTATTATAAAATTAAAAGAGGGCAGGAAAATGTGTTTCTTTTTTAAAATGTTTTCTTTAGTGATGTATTGAACATTATAACCAGAATAATAAGAAAAATGTCTAGTCTTACCCTCTGGAATATTGTCTTCTTTTAATTTTATAATAGGTGCTTTTACTCTAAAACTAAAATTAAGTGAGTTCTACACAGACTACGTTAGGTAGATTTTGATATATCACTCGTAAGTTGAAATGTGACAGCCTGTATCCTCTTAACCAATTTAATTTATGATAGAAAAATAAATATAGATATAATTTTATATTCTCAATTAAATAATAATACATTTAATTGTTGAAAAAAATCTAAAATATTCCCAACTAAATATAATTGGAAAAATATTTGGTGTATCACTTTTAGATAAGAAACGTAGCAAAGAATGTATTGGTTTTACAATTTAATTTAATTTTACAATTTTTACAATTTTATAAGTTAAAGTAATAATTGTTTGATTTTCTAAGCATTTTTCATAATAATTGAGAAAAAAAAAAATCAGGAAAGTTTGCATACATGTATAAAAGAAATTTTGTTCCAAATAATTTTTCATTAGCATTGGCTTATCTTTACATACAGATATAAATTAAATTCCTTTCTATGTTCTACCTTTCAAACTTCTCACCTAAAACAGTGGCCCATCCATAATGTAAAATATGTCAGTTTTTTTAATATTATCTTTTATATTATATATATATATAAATATAATTAATATTTTGCTAACACTTATAACATTTTTTATCTCATTATTTTAGTGATTCCGTACATACAACAAACAATAACAAGATTGCAGGTAAAATCAATAAAAATACATGACATATAAAATATATACTATTGCTGTTTATCTAAAATAATATTTATAACTATACAGGAAAACGAGATCCAGATATTGTTATAAGAGCTGATAATGATGAAAATTTAATGTCTTTTGAAAAATCACATAATGATTCTAAACAAAATAGTTCACCAATTATATTTGATTTTAAAGATGATAATGCTAAGGTTAGTGCTAATCATTAGTCACTATTATTTAATAATCTTTAGACATTAACTTATTTTTTTAAATTCTTTTTGTAGGATGAAATAACAAGAAATGAAATTGAAGAAAAACCATTTATTCTAGCACCCACTCCAGCACAGTTAGGGAAAGCTCCTTTACAAAGAAGGCAATCTATGGGTAAGTTTAAACATATTAATTTATGTAATCAATACTAGCGGTGAGAATTTAAACTTTGATATTATTAGTATGCATTTATTAAAACTATAGACCTTAATATACTAATAGCTAATAACTGATTGCACCCAGATTGTGACAAGATAGGGGATGTTTTTGTGTTACTATACCTAGATAATAAAGAAATGAAGTTATTATTATTGTATACAATGTATAACCTGTTCTACCTTGCTCTATTGTTGACATAAATCTTGTGATACTGTTGTAAGCACAGTACATGTCTATTAGTCTATAGTAGTAGTTCCATGATATAAACCTATAGTTTTAAAGTTGGTATCATATCACAATAAATGGTAGTTAACTTGATCTGTAACATCTCAAAAGGGAACAGGTATAGCGATGTATTTAGTATAAATAAGTCGAAGTAACATGTGATTTTATTTTGACTAAGGTAGCATGTTAGTATGAAATAGATAATTTAAAAATATAGCCAATTTTTCTTCTTTAGTTTTCCTAAGGCCAATGAGGCCTATTACCGCAACACATACCTGCTTCCATCTATCTCTGTCCTCCATCCTGTATTCCATTTTTCATTAAATTCTTTTCAACCCATATTTGTACTGGTCTACCTAATGGTTTTAAAAGACCATTTTCATTAAGCTATTTGATCTCCATATGTAGTCAGATAAAGTCGATAAAAGTGTCAGATGTTTTATGTTTCAAAAAAATTTCAATGAGACTTATGAGATAATATGTAAGTTCTACAAGAGTATGGTGAGATTGATTATGTTATATGATTTTAAATTTTGGGAAGTAGACAGGTAGAATAGAGAACAAGAAATGAGAATGTTTAAATGGATTTGTCTACTAAATTTAATTATCCATATTTTATACAAATAATACAAAAATGTATATTTGTCTAAATTAATATTACTAAATTGACATTTATTAACAGCTAACAATAAACAAATAAACAATAGACTGTTGTAAAACTGTATAATTATAATACCAAAATAACTTTGAGATAGTGATATACAAAAGTATTAGTATTAAATCTATTTTATTTTGGCTGAAAAAGTAGTGGTATACAAATAAAACTTTACTCACTAATAATCATTTACAAACAAAAACCTACTATGGCGGCATTGACAAAAATAGAAATTCCGCTCATTAAATAACCACTTTATGACCGTTTCTAGTGCTGTTAAAGAGTACTTGTGACAATGTGTCTCCTTGTCAAAGTTTGGTTTTACCATCAAATGGATCTGACATATTGTGTTGGTTGAATTTAATTTTACACTTCAGCTTATTCATACCTAATTTAATCATTCTTACTGTTTAGTATAGGGTCATCAACTAGAGTTTTCATGGAAGTTTGAAATTCACCAAACTACCCGCTGTCCATAACACACTTTTAATGAATTTTGTTCACACATTTATTTATAACATATTTTTTAAAATTTGTATATATATATTAACTGTATTTATTCATCAAATATCAATAGTTTTAATACAAGTTGAGATAATTTTAAATTTATTATAAAAAATATAATATTTTTAATTTTTAACAAGTTGCTTAAGGTTTGGAATAAACTTAGTTGGTGACCCTTGGTTAAGTTTCTATTTATTGAATTATATGCATGTTTGTAATAAACAAACAGCATAGTGTAAGTCTTTGTTGAATTCATAATCTAGAAATTTAGTAGACTAAATCAGCATGTAATAAATGAACTGATGTAAACTAGAGAATTTGTTTAGACATATCGGTGTGTACAAAACTGACATCTGTTCAATTTTTTCATTTTCAATTATCTCTATCTGATTTCTTCTGAAATTCATTCATCCAACCTTATTATTGTCTGTGGTGGCCCAGCCCACACAATTGTCATTCACATTGTCATGTTTACTGTTTATTTGCGTTTACTTATTTTTAATGCTGTTTGCTTCATAACATTTTAAATTTAAGAGTTAAATAAGTTTTAAGTATTATATAATTTTTAAAAAACCTCACCTAGTACTTCTTTGTATTTTGTAAGAAAAAACCATTATTGATATAATTGTTAATCCAAATTTTAGTTAAGGTATATTATTTAAATAATTTGATTTTAAGATTTAAATCCATACAATAGATATATTATATACATTTTTATCTTTAGTAAGGTGAGTTATGTAATTATAATGTGGAATTTTAATTAATGAAAAAAATCACAAAAACATAAAGCCAACACTGAGAAACATCTACAGATTACATTTATTTCATCTCATATTTTGTAGATTGATTACTTTTGGCATTATAATGAGGTATTACAATGTTTGATTGTTGTCCTGAAATTTCTTGTTAAATTGGTGCGACAAATTCTGAATCAGTATCACACTTCAATATGAATAAATCAACTTGAACATCATACCCATCTTTTTTCTATGTACCAGATGTACTGATCTGTTTTGGTATACCGGTATGTAAAAATCGGATTCAACATGGTATACCAGTTTGCTTTACTAAACTCAACTCGCTGTTAAACAGTAAAAATCATTTACCATTAATAGAACAACAATGGTGAATCATTTAATGTATGCATATCAAAATAGCTAGTGATTTTATTTTAACTAGGATATTAGAATGAAATAAATAATATTCAATACATTATTTATAACTATGAAAAATATATATACTCGTAGGTACAAAATAATAGGTTTAATGAAAAAAAAGAGCTGATACTGAGGATGGAAATGGCCACTATTGTAGGTAAAAAGTTGGAAAGGTAGGATATATAAGGCTATTTCATTTATATCTGTAAGCAACGATAAACCATTGCTTGACGAAAGACGACTCCGAGTGCAGTTTACTAATACATAATTTATAGTGCTGTTGTTTTTTTTTTGCGATTTTAATTTAAATTTGATTTAAAAACGTTTATTATTAAAAAAAAAAATTGTCTGATGATTTTTAAAATTTTACCACATCTAAGTAAGTCCAATATAAGAATTTTTACCAAGTTTCAAGTCTACGTGTATTTATAACCAATTTACAGCAAAAAATCCCAAAAATTAAACTTCCTTAAAAGCTCAAAAGTTTTGGCGATGATACTGTAAGAAAGTAAATCAGAAAAGCAACATATAAGGTATCTTGTAATTTTTCGATTAAATCATTTTTTTCTGGTATAAAACGTTGTCCGTGTTTTTATAAAATAATGAAATCATGAAATTATGTTTTCCTACTTAAGTGCTTTTATTTAAAAAATGACGTTGAAAATTAAAAAAATCACATTTCTATCTAAAGTCTAGACAACTTGAGATTTCAGAAAAGTTGTTATGCGTAAAATTGGAACAAACTTACTAGAAAGAAACGTGTCCACAGACTAGAACAAAGAAAAAAAAAATTAACTGCATTGGAAAACTAATAGGCTCCCTCACTACGCTTGGAATCTAAAACATTTTTTTCTTTTTTGTGAACTAACAATTATGGACTATATTTAAATCCTTGGTCACATTACAAAACTCTTGTGACATAAATATGCTATTTTTTGAGATAGACTTTCACCGATTACTATCATAATCACTTTGAACCAATATAAACACTTACAATTTTCTGTTATTATATATTAACAGATATATTTGCCAAATTTCTTAATATTTTCGTTTGTCATTCACTAATGTAAACTTTGCCTTATAGTTATATTTTTTGTGGTACTTATCGGCTGTCGCGACTATCCAACCAAATAGTTGTTTGGTAATAAATAAACAAATTGGTTAACAGGACTACTTCAGTAATGTGATGATAAAGATTTTGATTAGCGTTTATTATTAGTATTGGTTATCGGGTATTCTACCTATAATAATTTTTCACTTTACTTTGTTACTTACCTGATGTGGTTTTATACAAAAAATCGAGGGTTATTATTTTTGATTGAAAAAAAAGGAAAAATGAAAGGTAGTCGTGATAACCGATAGGTACCTTTTTATGTGTGATTATAACAATCAAAAAAATACCCAGTAATTTAATATTTTCAAAAAATAAATCTCAACTTAGTCATGATGCAAACCAAATAAATTTAATTCCTTATGTTTATATAATTTACTTTTAGTGTCTACAAGTCAAGATTCATTGTCAAACTCGCTACTTGATAAAGACTCTGAAATAATTGATGATGTAGCTGATGATGTTCCTATATCACCTTCAGCTAAACGGAGTTTTTTTAAAAAGAATATTGAAGATGGCATGGATCGTGTTTTAGAACAAGTAAACTTTGAAAGAAAGTTTTCCTCATTACCACAATTTAAACCAGATGAATGTAATTCTCCAAGTGCTATATCAGTACCGTCCAGTCCCCATGTATTTAATGCTCAAACATTCCGCAAGAAGCAATTACCTGACTGTCACACTCAAGTAGAAACACCAAAATCATCAGGGAAACTTGTTGGAAATACATTTTTTGGCCCTGATTTTAATCCAGAAGCTTATAGAGGAGTATTAGAGCAAGAAGATACAGTGGCAGCTTCACCTAGAACGCCAAAAACACCTAGTGGGCGAAACGATAGTTCAGCAGCAGAAAAGGGACACAGAAAAATGTTAGAACAAAGAAGACAATTAGTTATGACTTTATTTCAAGAGCAAGGCATGTTTCCTTCTACTCAAGCAACCTCGATATTTCAAGTAAATAATAATTTGTACATCATTAAACTAAACAAGACCAATTTAATACATATTATTTATTTATTCTGGTAATGCAAAAAATTAAAAATAGGAAATGGTGACAATACTGACAAAGTAACAACCAATAAGTTTTTAGGTTATAAAATAATAACTTCAATTTTAATGTGTAGCATTATTATTTTTATTATTTTTGGTAAAAAAATAAAAATTCTAATAATACAACACTGGCATCTTCCCTTTATTTAAGGGGAGACATCAGTGTTGTAATAAGAATTTTAAATTTTAATTTAGTAATAAAAATTTAAAAAAAAAAATCTATCCCTTGGTTTTATCTACATTTTAATATTATGAATTTAATATATAAGATATTTTGTTCTAGGGTAATCATTCTGATATCTTCCCGAATAAATCATCACTACAACTTAAAATACGAGAAGTCCGTCAAAAACTTATGGCACACAATACACTGACTCCAAGTAGCGCAAGTGCTTTAAACAGCCCTAATGAGTCTTCTACATCGAATACTCCAAGTAAGAATTTACGTTTCCACAAGGAGCTCTTGTACTAGACTGAATTTCAACAAAAATATCTAGAACGGTAACTACTAACGAGGTGATTATATAAAAAAAAAAAAAAGTATGGTCTAAAATTGTAAAAGATATTTCTCAAATTTCTTAAATTAAGAGGATTAGGTAAAAACTGATTAATTAAAGAGATATAGATTTTATTAAAACCTCACTAGGACACAAAAAATTTTTTTTTTTTTTTTTTTATAATTATAAAAATTGTTTATAAATAAAATTAACAAAACCAAAGTTGTTGTAACCTAGCCTAAAATTATCAGTATTTCTGTAAATAATTTATTACTTTTCAGCTATGAAATATTATTCACTAATAAAATATGTGTAATATACTAATAATACATACAAAATCAATTTTTGAAATTTACTATAGTATTTATTTTAAATTTCCCAGTACCCATATAGGTCCAAAATTATTAATGAAATATTAAAAATAAATTTAAATTAACTGTATTATTTTGTTTTGTTTAATATCAGATTCATCTACACTACCGTCTTCCCAACAAACTTCAGACTTATGAAAACCAACCAACATCACTATGTCATAGTTACTTTTAGTCTATGAAATATTTTATTACTCTATATAATATGATATATAAATATATTATTATATATAATTCATTGATTATTTTACAAGACCGAATGGTAAAATTCATTAAATGTAGTATATACATCATTAGACTTGTACAATATGTTATTATTTTAACAAATAAGAAAACTCGAATGAATGATGTTAAATGTGTGTGTATATATTTTATTTCAATAAATAGACTGAGGCTAAGATTCATTTATCTAATGTTAAACCGTGCACGATATATGTTGACACTGACATTTAATATCCTTACCTCAACTGTTTTATTATTAAAGTCACATAATATAAAATGTGTATTAATTTATTGTAATAATTATATCGATCTCTAAACTCAATAAACACATACACCACCACGAAAGTCTTTCAGAACTTATTGTAAATTCTCTTAGTGTTGTTATACACTTGTTATTCTTATTATTATGTACATTTTTCTTTTTTACTTAGTGTATACTGATAATGCTTAATTATTGATATTTGTGCCATAGTTCTTAATGGTAATTAATTATTATATTGTTTTCAATATTCAGGATACTCAATTCTATTTAATCTTAACATGAAATTAAGCGATTCATATTAAAACATGGAAAGTTATATGTATTGTTTATTACAAAGTTGTATAATTAATGTATAATTTCTCTTGTTAAAAATTGTTTTGAAAATCCATGCTTTTAAAACTAACATTTAATTCAAACATTATTAAAAATTGAAATTACTGTTTTAATCTTAAATTATTTCGTGTTCATAAATTATATATCATATCTTTTGGGTACCAGATATGTGTATATATATGTTTAATTATGAAGAAAAAAGATTAACTCTAACCAAATTTCGCCAAAATTAAATATATATTTTTATAGACAAAATTTGATCAAATAAACAGTTATTTTATTTTCAAAGTTTAAGTGCCATTATGTAAAGAAAAAAAATGTAATACATTTGTTTTAAAATGCGGTTTTGCTCAACAAAAATGCATTTGTTTTTTAGTTAACTCGGGTACTTTTGCATAAGTACAACTAAGCCAATTATAATTAAATTTTTAGTATGAAAAACAGTTTTATTAGTTGTTTAGAGAAAAAATTCATATTATATGTTATATTGTATACTCAATACTCAAACTGTGTTAAATTATTTTAAGTTTTAAGTATAATAGTCTATGTTACAGGTTAGTCCTTTTAATGCCTAACAAATTAATGTCAACAAAAAATACCAATTAACAACTAATTAATTTAATTGTGTATATTTTGCATACCATTGACATGTATAACCATTAGTGTACCACTGTAAATCCAAACGTATATTACAATGTTTTATTATGTTAAGACATTTAATGTGATTGTTATATAATACAAAATTGTATTGTTCATTAATTTATTTATTTTTAATAACCAATTATACAGAAAAATCTGGACAGAACAGAGGTACCTATATAATTCAAAACTCACTTAAATTACTCTATTGTTTAATACTAAATCACCTTATTAGTTATACATTACATTGTTCTTCTCCGAGCTACATCTGTATCTGTTAATTTGAATTTAAATGTATATCTACCTTATCGCTTTTTTTTTTCTCACACTTTCCACTAATTTTAATGTCAGTAATAGTAATCATATATTATATTATATATTCACTTGTAGTACAGTGGGTAAACATTTTTAAAAAAGGGGACCACCTGTTTTGTGTGACAATTAAAATTATTAATATTAACCTTCTATATTTTGTTGTTAAACATTAACCATAATATATGATTAGAACTGATTTCTTCTAAACTTTTGTTAATCCTTTATTATTATTTTAACATTATATATATATATATATTTGATGTCTATTTTTTTCATATTACAAAATTGACTGTTTCTATTAGTATTAGTTTTTTTTTTTTTTTTTACGTTATTAGTTATTTTTAATTACATAATATATATTTTTAAACAAAACAAACATTATTTTAAGTTGTTGTTAATTGAAATTTTTTTTCCATATATCAATTATTGATACACTTACATAAAATATAATATTATTATTATTATTATTATTATTATTATTATTATTATTATTATTATTATATTATTATTATTATTATTATAGTGTATAAAAAAACATATTATATTTCATGTTTCATTTTTGAATAATGTATTATTTTCGTTGACTTAATTAATTATAATTATAAAAAAAGATAAATCTTCTATATCATTTAGAATCACAAAAATGGCAATATTTATACATAAATATATATTATATTTTTTATTTAGATATTTACATATAATAAATAACATCAATTATATGGTAGAATTATCAATAAATCTATACATGTGTATGAATGTTTAAATAATATATGTGCATCGTTATATTTAAAAAAAAATTGTTATTATTTATGCTCTTAAATATTTTAAATTCTGAACATAGCAATGAATGTATTGGTTTTACTATAATGTGGGGTTTTTTTTTCTGTATTTTAAACAACTTTTCTACTATATTTGCTCCAATTATTATTTTAAAGGGCAGTTTCTGGTTACCAATTTTGTCTTATTAGTGCATTAGGGAAGTAATTTTCCTTGTAGTTTTCTTGTTATTTTTTTCAGATACAACTGAATTAAGGTCCGTGTAATAAAAATACATTAGAATACCTATGTATAAAAACAGATTTTTCGCGTACTATTTAGTGGTTAGTCAGTGTTATGCAGCCTTTAATCGTACACACCTTACTATATGTGTGGTGGCAAAAATATGTATACATGAATAATTATAAGATTGTTAGATATTTATTAATATATTGGCAATAAATATATGTGTAACGGGATTTAAATACATGGAGTAATGGTGTATTGATATCAAAAAAGGGTTAATTAAATATTTGTACCATGTTTACTCAAAATCTATGTACATATGTACTCTAATAACCGTATTCCGATTACGACCTCTAATTTAAAGTTTAAATTTTAAAGAAGTAAAAATCATAGCATTTCAAGTATTATTATTCCCTGATTTATGTGGAAACAACTTTTTAAGATCCAATCAAATTTAAAAATGTACAACATTTTAATAATTTCAAATTTTAAAATTACACGATTGAATTTAAATTGGGTTTGATATTTAGTCTGCCATTCTTAAATCTGCTTCAACATTTAATCTGGAGCGATATTTGTTTTTCACCTGGCGAGGATCAAATTTATGTGCAACTCCTCAAAAAAGTAGGAGAAGAAATGGCGCTCAGGCTGTGGAAATCGATTAATCAAATATGAAAAATTATAAACCGAATAAATAACCGAAAAGTTACGAGTGTTAAAATTATAGATAAATATTACAGATCCATGTATACAACATTTACTTATAATAAGCAACTACACATTTTATTTAAAAATTTTTATATAAAAAAGTATCATACATTTTTTTAACTTAAGTTTATACGGGGTGATCAATTTATCATAAGACACTCATTATCTCGGAAAATATTAACTTTTTCCGGAATTAATTTTCTAGATAATTTAAGAAATTTCGGAAAAAGTAAATATTTTCTGAGATAACGTGTGACTTACAATAAATTGATCACTCTGTATATATGCATTGTCAGTAAAAAATTTGTATTTTGTTCTGTTTATTGATTATAAAATACATAGAGAAAATATTTAGTCTATATTATAAAACAGCTTATTGGGTATATTTAAGGGTGCTAATTTTAAACATGGAGTGGTAAAGCCCATATAGCATCCCCTAGTTGCGCCTTTGGTTATAGGTACCAATCTATAGTTAGCACAGTACTCATTTCTACTCAAATTTATGATCAGAATTATTTATGTTCAAGACGCCATTGCGCTTTGTGAAATAAGATGTTCGCCTTAACTGTACACCCAACTCGAAAAATTGTTCTTAATTGCACGCTGTCACAATAAATACAACGTTCGGTAATGCGTAGTAGGTACTAGGTACCTCTATTCGTATTAAATTAATTCTACTTTATTGTTACCTACCTATATATTGAGGAAACATAGGTGTTTCCAACTTTGTACATAACTGATAGGAGACATCATGTTTTTATCAACGATTTTTTAAGAAAAAATTGGTAACTTATTTTTAATTATATTTAATATTAAGTCATAGGCGCCAGATTTTAAAAAATTGAACAGGTGCCCTAAGTGCCATGAACTTCCCACACCTTTCTTACTCCTGAGAATAAAATTTGTATGCTATACATGCAATACGTATTATAGCTATGTTCAAGATATTATTATTAATTGCAATAAAAACTGTGATGTCTATAGCTACAGAATAGGTTAAAAGTTAAAACCTAAGTATAGGTACTAAATAACTTAAATCTTTCGTTTGAGTAAATAGAGAATAATATTATTTTTATTATTATATTACTTACAATAAATATGAAACGAATTATTAAAAACTGATATGAATTTCCTAATTTGTATAGTCTGTAATTTTTTGTTCCTAAAATTTTATATTCCTATAATACAGGTATTGTTTCTCTAATTTTCTATTTCAAATTAAGTTTTTTCTTGATTTGTACTCTCTTTCATTTTATCGTCGATTGTTAATCTCAGAACTGAAAAAAAATATACATTAAGATCACGAACATAAAATAATATTACTATAGTTCAAGATGTAGAGTCTTCTACATCGTACCATTTTACCATTATTACATTTCAATAAAAAAACAAAAACCGAAAAATGAACTTATCTTCAAAATTCTCAGAGATATTACCGAAAACCCTCTGGACTCGACCACAATCAGATTCTTACGGAATTTAAAACAATTAAAAAAATCTTAGACCATATCGAAGAATTGTTTAATATGTCCGTGTCTAAAATCGAAGACCATTTAAACAGAAGTTCAAGTTCAATATTTTTTATAACATATGTTGTACAGACCAGGGGCGGCCAAACGATCGATCGCGGATGAAATCAACGTTGATTTTCCTTTGTTAGAACTAATTTGTTTACAATGAGTAGATAAATCGCAATTTATAATGATTTTTATCCAACAGGTCATTATTTCGTTGTCAGTTTATCAAGTATAACACAGCTCTACAGTATTTATGTTGATAATTTTTATTCTGGTGGTATAATTCTAAGGTAATATATTCTAAGGTATTTAATTTATAATATTGTATTATGCGTCTTAATTAAGATAAATGCAAGTGATGAAAAATAACTATTATTTAATTAGGTACCCATACATTTTAATTGTATTATTTTGTATATGTAACATGTACCTATGTTTACCTATTATAACATGTTTTATGGAAGTCAATAGTCAATCGAAAAACATATTCTTAAATAGATTTCTACCAAAAAAGTTCAGCTATATGGAAAAAAAAAAAATGTGATAATATTATGTATATTTCATGGTGATTTTTGGTATTATTCGTTATACTTATGGACAATATGAATGTTTTACATTTAAACACACGTGTATTTTACACATACATTAATCTGACCTTTGCATGTGGCCCAAATATTACAAGATGCAACTATACCTACTTATAATAATTAAAAATTATAATCTTGTCAATGGACAAACAACAGATAATGGATCCTGTCAATGGTTATTACAAGTTGATACTTTGGTAAGTTTATAAATAGACCAAAGTTTTGCTGTACATACAACATAATTTTTGACGATTCACGATCACCTTATCTTATAATCACTAGAATAGGATTATACCTATATACTATAGGTATTTACTCTAGTATGTACCTATTTACACTTGTTTAAATAATTGTTTCTGAAAAAGGTTTATTATGTTTGACATGTTAATCAAGTAGACAATTTATTTTCCTTTCTTAAGAATGTATCATGTTTTATACTTATGTACCTACAACCAAAATCTGAAATAAAGACACTGTAAGGGGTATTGACTTAATTCCAAAATCATACACATGTGTATTTTAATACATTGTTGTATTCCTTTTAATGGTATTTAAAACACATCAAATACAAATTACAATAACAAAATACTTGTTCTATAATCTTGTTTTATTCCCAGACCGAGACTAGACTAGACCAGACTAGGATAATGGCTAAGGTTGGCACCATTGATTTTAAATTTATAAACTATAATTATCAAAGAATATTATTTATAATCAATTTTCAGACGTGGATAAAGAATATAGATAGATAGATAGATAACTAAATTCAATCGCAAAACAACTAAAATCGAAAACTATTTTTCCATATTTATAGTAGAACAATTATAAATAGTTTATAATTATGCGTTAAAAAAAAATATAAAAATTATTATTCAAGTATGTTAGTGCACCTATTTGAACATTTTTTATTAGTGTGGCTTAGCATATTATTATTATAACATTAATAGCCTAAAACATTATATACCTACCTACCTATTATAAGTGAAATTCTATTATTACTTTATTAAATGTGTTTATATAAAATAAATTTATATTTTATTAAATTTACACATTATTCAATGTTAGATCTATTTTGACCTTTAAAGTATACATTTGGTCTTTATTCATTGATTCATCGATTCATTTATAGAAAACATATGTTTATTAGTAAGTACCTATTCTTTTACATTTTGAAATGCATAACACTTTATACAAATTATGTTTAAATAATTGTTATTTAAATCTGAGTTTTTTTATTATGTAGATACAATTTGGTTTTTTAATAAGTATGTTGTTTATTATCTTTAGAAAATGTTTGAATTTTAAATTTGGAGAAAAAATAAAAACAAAATTATATAAAAAGGCATAAATCATTTTTATTTGATAATTATATTTCATAAAATATTGAATAACAAAATATTATTTCATAGTAAATAATATGTTATTTTTTACATAATATGCAAATTAAAAATATTTTATAACATTTTTTTTTTTCTGTAAGTTTGACAATATAATACGTTTTAAACAATAACAAGTCATATTATATATGATTAAACTTCATTTATAATAAATGTAACTTTACAAAAAATTATTTTCTTTTTATAAAAATATATACACATTATGCAATAAATCAAATAATACAATTTAACATTTACAAAATAAATTATAATATGTATACAGTAAATAAAATCTTATTCATAAAATATAAATATTAGTCAAGGTTCGATTGAGCAAGAAGTCAGTCTCTCTGAGACTTAATATTTCTTATTATTGACAAATTTGTATAAGGCACATAATATAGTAAAACCCGACAGCACCAAAAAAAAAAAATCTGTTGTTTTCGGAAGACAAGCAATATTTGAGCAACTTTTTTGAACTTACATTTTTTGGCACATTTTTTTTAAAAATATACTCTGAGCCATTTAAAATGAATTCAAAAGTTTTATTTGATACATCTAGCCTTATTATAGGAACTCTAACAAATAAATCTTAATATTTTTTAATTTAAATATATATAATTTTTTTTAAATTTTTTTTTATAACATTTATATAATATGGTAATTAATAAAAAAATTTAGAATTGTAATTAATAAGTTTATTTTTTAAATAAATGAATATAGTATACTTTAAAATAATTTATTGTATAAAGTCTTTAGAAAATTGTTTATTGCAAAATTATATGGTTAATAAATCATTTTTTTGCTCCAATCATATATAATTTTAAGTAATTAAAAATAGAAATCTTAATTGTTTAAAACAATAAATTTTTAAACGATATGGTATTATGTTTTGCTTTACCATTTCAAAAAATGTACGATACAGAGTGTTGCTGTACAATTAATATGCGATAATGTCATAATGTTTCTCATACATTAAAACTGATTGTTTATAGCCTATAGGCTACTGAATACCGTGTAAGCTTTTAAAAAAAATATTAATGTTTATCTAAAGACTAATATATAATGGTACGCATACTAAATAACATAATTCTTTTAATTATAACCGGAACTAATGTTTAAATAACTTCTTTATAATTCAATGCAAATGGTTACAATAAATCATCTAAAAAGTTGTTCATATCAACATTGATACTTATTGATACGAATAATAAGCTTACCCCATTTGAACACATAGGTAGTATTTCATACCGAACTTGGAAACCTGTAGTCCTGTTTATTCCAATGTTGAGGGTATGAAATATCTAAAAGAGAAGGTTCCTTTTGTTCATAAGTGTACACTTTCAAGTCCAATGAACAAGTCAGTCTTTGGGGTACTGGTCGCTCTACGTAGCATGGTCTATAACAACACGGTGGCCAGCAGTAATACATGGGATAATCCACATAAGGATATCTGATGGGGCTGACATATAAGGGTCTTTCAGAAGATGCAACTGGAACTAAAGGTCGTCTTTTGCATGGTTCAAGTTCTTCTTCTTCACGTTTACGTTTGGTTAGATCTAAACAAGTAGTAGATAAATCTAAGGCAGAATCTTCTGTGTCTGATAAGTCTTCAACGTTCACATCACTGTCCGAACCAGACGTTGTCTCTACTATTGCCGCTGCAGCGGCGGCAATTTTCGGAGGTTTTGGTGCACCGGCTGCCTGTTGCACAGCCAACCGTAAGCTCGTTTCTGTCTGCAGCCACTTCTGGATTTGACGACGGTGAATACCGTATTTACGGGCAGTAGCTCGTTGATTTCCTTGACAGTCCGAGTCTTGTCGGTAAGAATCCAACACCTAAAGCAATCGCGAAAAAATTAAAATTTAAAAAATTGTTTATCCGATAATTTGGAGAGAATAAATTATTTATTGTATTACGTTCCAACATGGTAATATTATACAGGTTGCTATTGGAGGCGGAAAATAATTGGACGAAGAAAAGCCGAAGTTTACTTGGCGCATTTGCCATAATGAGCAGCAAAACATAAATTAGAAACGGAATACGATAGAATACATTTTAGTGAACGACCAACGCGGACTACAATATTCTAATAGCATTAATATCCCGATAGCGGACGAGCGCGAAAACAACGAGTGTTATATTTTTATTCGTTTTGGCACAGAACCCGAATGATGACGGCGGCGGTGACGACCGCGTAAAAGCGGTAAAAATTGAACGTACCAATTTAGCGAGCAATAGTCGCGGTTAATTGTGGTAAAACAATAATAACGTTATTACAAAAGATGATATTATTATCAACACGCTTACCTGTAGTTTGAACTGCGGGGGAAAGATTCTTCTGGACCCGACTGGCGCTTTGGGCCGCTTCTCTTCCACCTTGCCAACAGGTTCGTCCGGAACGCCGTGGGCCATATTTGAATTATTGCGATACTTACACGACTTTCGTCGGTGGCGCAATACCCGCGATATTTTATTGTCGCGTTGTTACGTACGCGTACGTATTGACGATGAAAATATTGGTTTTCGTGTCGGACGCGGTATTCACGAAATCGAAACGATAATTATTATTATATGTTCGGAAATACGTTGCGCGATTTATTGTTTGTGTAAATCTAACGACGGGGCAGTATTTGAATTACGTATAGTGTATTATTATACGACGTTGGAAAGAATAATTATTACGACAATAATAATAAAAACACGGTAATTCGAAAAACGGCGTCAAATAATAAAACGATAAATAAATAAATATTTGAAAAAAAAAAAAAAACCGAGAGAGTCTGGTTGACGCGAGGACTGCGTGCGTGTGAGTGTGGAGTGTGCAGCAGCAACAGCAGCGGCGGCAACAGCAGCAGCAGCAGCGTTGTAGGTTTTTCGAGTGGTGTGCAGTAGACGCGGTGGCGCTTGCTGGTACAAAAATCAGTGCCAAGCTGTCTGTATGTGCGTGTATGTGCGTGCGTGCGCGTGCCTGTAACCGCGCGCGCGAGTGTGTGTGTGCGTTCGTGTGCGTGCGCCAGCGCACCGCCGCGCGCGTGTGTGTGTGTGCGTTCGTGCGTGCGTGTGCGGCGTTGCATTCACACAAGTCACCCCTGTCCGCCGCCCGCCGGCCCATCCCTGCCGCCGCCGCCAGTAAAACCGCGCCGCACCGGCCCCGCTCGCCAATCCCCGCCACCGACCGCAGACGAGGACCGATTCTTGACTCGCCGACGCCGTCGCCGCGGTGTGTGCGCCTCGCCGGCACGGACCATCCAGCCGTGTTGGCGACAATATACGCGAGACCGACGAGTCGTCGCCGCCGTCACCCCGCCGCCCCGCGCCGCTCGTCATCGGATCCGCCGATCGCTGTTGTACGAGCGTCGTCCACTGCAACCGAAACCATTGCCGCCGTTCGCGATCGGCGAACTTTTTTCTCGTGCCCCGACACTCGCTGTGCTCGGTTTTTTATACGTGTACCTCGAGTACTCTTGCGACGACGGTATTTTTCACGAGAAAAAACTGCGCCGTCGACGCGCGGCCGGTAGGGAAACGAATGAAATTCGAACACCACAACTGGTTCGGGGGAGAGGACGGGGGGCGAAGACTCGGCGGTCTGACGTACCGAAAGAATTCGACGGTCCGCCGCCGCCGCCGGCGGATCAGATTGCCGGTCGGCCCCGCCGCGTTGCCGCGCTCCCGTGAAATCCGGTCGGCAGCGCCACACCGCCACCGCCGCCTGTATAAGCATACAGAACGATAACCGTGTAGACGACGTGCGTGGCCACGGCCGGTGTCGGTGTGAAGAGATTAATAATAATAATACCCGCACAATCCCGTTTTTACCGGAAATATCGTTTTGGAAACGCGAAACGTTTTACGGTTTACTTTAATATCATATTATTGTATACTTGTACGAGGACGACGGGTGATTCGTTTTAGCATTTTAGTAGCGACTAGCAAGACACCCTTTCCCCCCCCCATTCTGCCCGCCCCGCTACTAACTGACCTAAATCCGGGGCACGTTTTTATGATATTTTACATTTTTGTCAACAAAATGTGAGAGCACGTCATTATCAATGCATAGCTGCGATCCTGATTTTACCGATATATCTTTCCAAGTCGTTTGTTATTAACATTCCAATACGGTTTTGATGCGAACCGTTTACTACCTACAGATTCATCCCGATTGAACTCCCGGGCCCTTATACAATTTTTAACAAATTTTAACAATTGTTCGGAAATCGATATCTAAAGTCTTCAATGTGAAATCTTAGTTTACGATTTATTATAAGTTTTATATTATTGAAAGATAATTACATAAATTGATCTCGTCGTCAGTTTGTCTCATTGATATTCCAAATATCTGTCTACAGTTATACATTTGCGGCTTTTAAATCGTCCGTAATACCCCAAAAACCAAATTGCGCATACTATGAAAAAAAATTATTGTAATAATACCTATTCTTTCCATTTGAGAACATAAATTATCAACATCCATTATTGTACTATTTTAGTACAATAGCTCTATTTTAGTTTTGTTTTTTTTTCCATAGAAAAGTATTTATTTCTCAAAAAGACGCATTTTCATATCGATATATTTCACACGTTTATATTTCGCTTAAAAATTAAAATTCTGAAAAAAAAAAACAAAACGCAGGATTATAACGAAAACAGATTATATTTTTATATTAAAGTTTGATAATAAGTCAATTCACTCTAATATTAAAACTAAAAACGCAGAATTGTGCTTGCTGAATGGTAATTTGCTGTTTCGTTTGTAATGTCGCATGGTTGTGTGACGGAGACAAAACATGGTGTCCTCTTAATAAATTGTAAAACACTAAAGTAAACACGTGTACTTACATATTTTAATTAATAAATAATATTGAAAAAACCAAGTCAAATATGGCTTGGTTTGTCTCAACGTCACGGTGAACATGAATGATTCATTAAAATTTAATTATAAGTTGATTTACAATTTGTTCAACATGTCTAGACGGTGTATCACTAAATAAATACTAATCGTAGTTACTAAATAGTTTTTTTTTTAATAACTAGTTAGGGTTTCAGGTGGTTCGTAAAAAAATGTCTTGTTTTAATCGTGAATATATTTAAATGATAAATAGAGCTGTACATATTTTTGAAGACCAATATGATGAAACTAGCCTTTTAATAATATTAACTAACATAAACAAACTAATAATGATAGTAATACTAGATTCTGACCGCAGTCAAGAATGTATTGGTTTTACTATGATATGTGTTATTTTTTTTTTGTCTGTTAACAACTTTTTTTTATCAGAAATCATTCTCGAATCAAAATATATTAATTATAATATTTTATAACACTTTAGATTTAGATCTGAACATATGTTTAGATGTACACATGGGTACATTAAGGAAATCATTTTTTAATAATTGGTTAAAAACGTAAACGTTTATGGCATTAACGTTACATTATTTTCGATTTTGTTTTTAGTGTTTATGTTTAGTGGCCAAAAAAATGAAATTGAGCTTAATGAAGAAGATTATTTGTTATAAGCGGTATTAAATGAAAATCATTCAAATTATCGCATTTAAAACCATATTTAAAGGAATTTCGCTCAAAATCGTATTCGTCAGCAATGATTTATCTTTGTTATCCCCCCCCAGCTTTCAATAGAGTTATATATATTTGTCATATTTAAATAATTTTTCTGTTCTTTCTTTTTATCGAATTGTATATTGCATAAAGTATGTAATATTGAATCTCCCCCCTCCTAGACAAATTTCAGCGGACTTTAATGATTACGTACAGAATTATATTACGAGTATTTCCCGCCTACAACAATGGCATATCCATCAACAGTATCATATTAAATTTATCGTATATCTTCGTGTTTTATTGCCATACAAATAGAAACATGATAGGTACTGCGTACTAGTACTTTTATAATACATAATCATATAATATGCTATATATTGTACAGGGTGTAACAGGACTATTTGACATTTTTACATGTAATTACAATGCTACACTCTGTATACCTATCGGCGACCATTCAAAGAATAAATATTTGAATAACTTCATTATTATTAGGAACTATACTTACGACTGTGCCAAATAAAGTATTTTAATAGTATGTATTTATGTTATAAAAATAATTTATTTTATTTTTATTACCTATAGGAACTTGAATTAGTTAAAGACAATAATTATAATATTGTTTTTATAATCAATTAAATGGTTTTAAAATAATGATTATAAATTGGAATATTATGTAATAAGTTATGAAAATAAAAATTATATTATTTGTTTTATAAATCAAAATAACAATAAATACAAATTAATTCCGAATCGTAGATTTGGTTAAAAACAATTATTTATGTGTGAATTGTGTTTAAAAATATGTAACCTTCATAATTTATTTCAATTTAACTTTCATCTTAGTTTACGTAGGGGAAGGCATTTTGTGGAGCTAAAAATATAAATAAAAAGAACAATATGATTAACCGATTTATAATGTTGACGTTTTGATTGTAATGAGTACTTACTAATAAGTAATGTCGAATGAACCAATAACCTTTCTTAAACACTGAAAAACAATATTCTATTTATGAATCATTTCCAAGATAATAAGTATTGAACCTATTGTTTTTGTAATTTTTTAATCATTTTACCGCTAGGCACTTTAGTCGTTAAGTGTTTTAAAATAAACAGTAAACAGTAATCTCAAAGATAACTATAAACTATAAAGTAGGTTGATATCAATATATTAATTATTATCAGTTGTTTGTTATGCTCACCAGTAAAATAGTTTAGATTGAAAACTGAAGTATATTAGGCTTAAGTTTCTTACTTATCTGCGAGATACAAGCTTAAGCTCAAACTTTACGACCCTGTAAAATACCACGAACATATTTCATCTAAATTGTTTACCTAGTTAAAAATGTAAAACTATAAATATAAATTTTGTTATAAACCAAAACAATCGGAGAAAATGATAAATCTTTGATCTTTTTACTGTGTGTCCTTAATAACCCTAAACAATGGAATTAATTTTAATATAAAAACACCTTTAAAATTAGTTTGAATTAGAAAAAATTTAACGTTTTCAAATATACAAAAAAAAAAAAAAAAAAAATGACAATACATTGAAACTTTAAAATTTAAATTATAGTATAACTATTACATATAATAGCTTGTAAATATATTAGCTTATGGGTATTATATTGCCAAGGTTAAATATATATATAGTACCCATATACGTATATTAATTTATACGGGAATGACCCTTTGAACATAGACAATTTATTTATACTTATAGATTACATGTACTAAAAATATTGATTTTTTAGAAAATTATTACATTCAGTCAGATTAAAAGACAAACGATGGGACTACGATAGCGATAGTTAACAAACGTCGTATGGCTCATTTCTCATATAATTGGTGGTGCTAATAGGAATGTAAAAAAAGGAATTTTGAACGGGTGACAAATTATGGAACTATGAAATTAATTAGTGAATGTAACGTTAGAGAATCTGTTTTAATACACAATAATTTGTTTAAGAATTTGAATTGTTACTGAATCATTGTTATTGATACTGATATTATTCTGATAAAAATGTAATTTAACTCAAAAATATTGCAGAATGACTAGCACAGGGTTACTATTTTTAATTTATACCGAAAGTTTCGATAGATCATAAAGTACTTAAGCCCTTTTGTAAAAAAAAACGGTGGCTTTAAACGAGGATGTGAAATATATGTATAAGTGTGGTTATAGTATAAGTGTAGACAAGAGAACTACAAGAGAATTCAAATGAAACTTAAAGTAAGTTCTATAAGAGTGTGGTAAGACCGACCAGATTGTATGGTTCGGAATGTTGTGCTTTAGATAGAAAAATAGAACAGAAAATGAGTGTAACAGAAAGGAGAATGCTTAGTTGATTGAGTGGAATGACAGAAGAAGATAAGATAAGGAATGAATACATAAGAGCTCGATAGTTGACAAAATAAGAGACAATAAACTGAGATTGTTTACATGATGTCATGAGGAGAGGAGAATCAGAAGTAGTAAGAATAATAATGAAAATAAATGAGACGCGTGAGGTTAGGTTAGGTTAGGTAGAAGCGTGAGACCAAAAATGAGATGGTTGGATACGATTATGAGGACGGCGAGTGTAAGTAAGGACAATGTGGGGGATCGGGTTAAGTGGTAATTCAGAACGAGGGCAGATAACCCCAAACAGTGGGGATAAAGATGAAGGAGAGGTATTTGAATATTTTATATGTGATAATTTTTCGAGACAGTTAAATATTTCATATATTTCACGTATGTTTTTAATAATAACATAAAAAATCTTTGTCTCCCCCCTACGAAAAAATCCTGGATCTTCCACTGATCTGTTTTGTATCATTGTGCGGATGAAAATGTGTTTAAAACCATTAATCATTTATATTCAATTTTAATTTAATTTAATAATTTAATAAGTATTAGGTATGATGATGGATATAATGACGTAGTTCGTTATAGTTATACTAAATTTTGGATTTAATAACAGTTTATAATTGCAATAATTTGATTTTGTATTATAACAATTATTTTACATACGACTTACGAGTTAAATTGTAAATCAGAAATTAATTTAATATTTATATTTGTATGTTGTATAATTCATAGTGGAATGGAAGACTTCTCCGTTTTTCAGTTTGTGTGCTAAAAAAAGTTGTAGAACGGTGATATTTAAATTTCAGACTAAAATTAATTATCTTCGCAATCGAATTACCATGTATAATAGTATGATAATTAACTTAATGAGCTACACATGTTGAAAAAGGTCATCGATTTTTAATAAAATGTACATTCAATGTAAAATTGTTTTTAAAATTTTTCCAGTATAATTACTAAACTCGGTTACAGATAATATGATTATTTATTATGTAATAATTAAATTTTGCATTTTATTTTTCTCGACTACATTTATATGCATTTTTAAATTTTATTTTCTTTTGATACGCATGACGATGTTCATAAACGAATAAACACTAAAGCGAATTATGAGTATCCTACTATTCTAGGAATTGCAATGTATTAATTTATAATTTCAAAACTAACATAAAAACAACATTATTCAATGTTAATATATTATTTTATTACATAAAATATTAAAAAATGTTCTTTTATAAAAGAAAAATTGTATTAATTGGTATTCGAATATTCGATTCAGTTCAAAAATTATTATGAAGAAGTAAATTTTTTACACATAGTTTATACACAGTGGTGATTATAATTGCAATTTCTTGGTACAGTAAAATATTTCCTAAATTAATAATCATGGAAATGATATAATTCAGATAAATTGTAAAAATCGTAAAAATTGTTTATCATATTTTCAGCTGACACATGGAGCGATTTC